CTAATATTATTTCAATAATTTTATTGTTGTTGACTTCAAATAAAACATTTATTATTTAAATTAATGTGGTACCTATTCGATTTGTTTCAGTTACTATCCGTTCTTTAATTCAATTTTGCTGAACTCTGATTGTTTTATAACTAAAAAATAAAACATTTCACAATATTATTTCTATTGTACTTAACTTAATATTTATACAAATAAAAAAGTTTCTTTAATAGTTTAACTCAATGCAGATTAGCTCATTTTAACATATTAACAGAAATAACTAAATTAAAAAATACAGCAGCTGTTATTCTTGTTTTATTGAACTTATTTTATTTCCCTCCTCTGCACTCAACTACACATTTTTTAAATGCACTCTTCTGAATAGCTGTGTGGGATATGAATACAGAGTGCAATCATATCTAAAGGTCACCAATGAGTGTTTGTATTATGACTAATTACTGCATATGAGCAAACCGTCTCGTTTATTCTTTATTTTTTTAACGGTTAAAAAAACGCCCAGACATAATATCGTATGTATGTTGTAACTAGTGCATAGCTATTTTATGTGCGGTTGATAGAACTTGTTCATGGTTGACGACTAATACAAGATCACCCGAACGACGTGCCAAATAATAGTATAAGTATTTAAAAAGAATGCGAAATTGTATTTACTGGGAAAAGAACAATTAGGTCTTATATTTTATCCCCCTTGTTATTTAATTGTTAAAACATGCAATAACATATTATGAGCTGTGCACTATGACTCACCATCAGTTCATTCCCTCTGTCAAAAAATAGTATGGTATAAGACCATGGTGCCACTTGACACTACCATTTCGAATGGTACCCAAACGTTGATGGGGTGAAATAATAATATATATATATATATATATACACATATAGAGAACTAAAAATGTGTTTGTAGACAATATGATTTTATTTATATGTTTTTCCGAAATCCGGTTTAGACGTAGTCTGTGATATTTATATCACAGCTGTTGTCTTAAGATTTTAATAATAAATAAACCGTCGACACGACAATCCGGAAGTCAAATTTGTATTCTCGATACAATGTAAATAGGAATGCTATAATTGTATTTATTGTTTAAAAAAAACAGGAGCGTTACTTACTACTTGCAACTGAATATTTTTTAAAATTATTTTTAGAACCAATTAAAATTAAATTATTGTATGATGAATCCGAGTTGTGATTTTCACTAAAGAAAGACAAAGAAGGACAGAAAGGTGATGCTGGACATTTTGGCACCCCGCGTTAATAAATTATACTACGCTATTTTGATTTATACGACCGGGAAATAATAAACATTAAACAAGCACAAAGAAATAGTTTTTTGTCCTTCTTAAGAGTTTGAATCCCTTGGGAAAAGTTACTGTGAACTAATTTTGCCGGTGGTTATTTTTACAATTCTAAACATATTTATATTCCGAGTAGATACAAACTTTGTACCTGAAACTTGTAGAAAAGTACTTATATCGAAATTTTCAGATACATTATATGTAATGTATTATTCATGAAGATTCTAGAGTAGTATTTCGAAAAATATATTTATTTATACCTACAGGTTTATCAATGTTGACACGTTTACACTTCATCAGGCGGCCTAATGTGTATTTATGTTTTTAAATTTCCTATCGTCAAAATTTGTAATTTATTTTAATTTATTTTTCGTAAAATAAAAATTAAACAACCTCAAATATTATTATATGATATTCCTTAAACATTACTATAATGGAAATTTCAATCAAAAGTATAATGAGTTTAAGGCCTATGCAAGTTTCATTAAATTGTTATAAAACCCAGAAACGACCTAAACACCATATAAAAATTCAGAACTTTAATGGTTTGACTTTATTAACAAAAATGTCTGCATCGACGCGCTTTTTCCGTTTCAGTCATTTATTTCTGTGAGAAAAATAAAATAGAAAATTTCAAAAATGTTCAATAATAAATAACTAGTAATTACAAAACACATCTCCGATGGAGTATAGCCCCATCTAATGTCAATATAAAGTGTATTAATAACTGCACGTTATTACGATTTATGGGTAGGTATCTAATTATTAACTTAAGCACCAACATACGATAATAATATGTTGTTTGGGTTCATTCTATTATATTGTAAATTGTATGATTGTAGTCAAGAGGAGTGTATATTAGATAATAACCGCAATTACTAACCAGTAACCTGTCAAGCCGTTAATTTAGAACCTACCTACATATTATTATATGATATATTATATTTCTTCGTATCGTTCATCTGTAATGTGTGAAAACACCACAGATGCACTTAACGAAAATAAAATAAAAATAATTCAATTTAATACTTTTTTATTACACAAAGTCTTGTATGGAACAGTGTTTTCTTTGTTATTATTTTTAACTTTTCTCAGAGTGTACAGTACTAATGTAATAATAATAACGTTCACAGTAGGGGACGAACACCAAGCCGTTTATAAAAGGAGGGTTATAATATTAACTATAAAATAAAGCCATAATATTATGCTTATTATACAATTTAACAGTAACTTCGTTTATATAAATGAGCACTTGCCAATAATTGTAGAATTAGTTAAATAGGAAAGTATTAAATAAGCTTAATGATTTTACACATTATATTTTATGTTTTAATTTTCCTTTCCTTATATTAAGTAGGAATTCTCTAGAAATGCTATTGTCGTACATTAGTTATGTTTTTTTTTTCAATTAAAGTGTAAGTATAGGAAGAAAATAATAAGAAACGCATCTCTTGTCTTACCTAGTACCTCAATTTGTAAATACTAGCATTAAAAAATAATATCGACTATCGTTTATTATTATTAGTTTCCTTTTAAATAACTAATAAAAGTGACATGTACAAACACAGAAAAACTTTAAGTGGATGAACTGAGTTTGTATAAGCTCGGCGTCCGTTTTACAACACACTTAGGGTTATTGCGTTTCTAACGTCACACCATATTTTATTTTGTGAACAAACATATCTTATAGCGTATGAAGGTCTCGTGAGATTTCCTCTAAACTTATATTAAATTCACAGGTACATGTTCTACTTGATGTATTTATTTGTGTTCTATTGTGTTACAGTTTAATCTCTTAAATTCATCTATAATTTAAAGTAAAAAATGTGACTTCGTGCAACATCATTATCTAATAGTTAATATTTTTAAAGACGGTATGTGTAACATGTTTTGTTTAAAATTTGCTTAAATGCTGTTTTTATGTATGTTCAACAGTATATTAAAATGTATAATAAAGTAGTCAAGTAAAGACTACATCTAGCAATACTGTTAACATACAAAAATAATTGTAGAATACGATCCTTGTTCATTGTTTTTTTTTTATAACCGGAAGTTCTTCGCCCATTCATACAGTCGACCAATCCTTCGAATTAATACAACCTTGTCGTTTCATATCCCCTTCAACTCTTATTCCCTTATGAACTAATAAAAAATATTTTATTTTTTCAATTGACAATGCAGAATGCTGCCATTCAATATTAAAACTAGAATAATTTAATACTTCATACAATTTGTAGGTTTCTTTGTTGGTTTAGACACTATTATCTAGATTAAGCAGTGTTTTAATTGAATTACTTATTCAAATATATAAATTAGGTAAATTATTTTATTATAATTTATAATAAGTTACTTTATGGAATGTATATGTATATATTTCATGACTATTAAATTAATAATTACAAAATAACTAAATTATATTACAATTAATAAACCATCAAAATATTATATCATAAAATAGAAGCCAGCATACCGTGGAACAGTAAGTAAATAGATGAGAAAATAGGAATTCAATTTTTATAAATAAAGCTTAAATACAGAATAAAAAAAAACAATATTTATATATTATATAAATCCAAGAACGGCATTCTTAAAAGGCAAACAAAGAAAAAGTTTGAACCTCGTTTTATTAAATTGAGGTAAAATTAGCATTAAGAGGAACGGAAATCGTTATTTATTAAGGGGCAAATGATAGGCCATGTTGACAAAAATAATTGATATAGTAACAGTTTAAAGTATGCCGACTAATTTTAATGGATAAAGATATTAAGTTTTTCTAGTTATAACATTTTTAAAATTATTTTTCTCCGAGTTTGATAAAAAAAATGGCTTTCGTAGAAGTAATTTTCTGCCGTTTATATAGGAGGGATTTCAATTTTTATTTTCTTTATAAAAAGCTATTTTCTACTATTTTCTCAATGGTGGCTAAAAGGCTGATTATTTATTTTTTAGAAAAAACTATAAAACAGTAAAAATATAAACTTTTAAAATACAAATTAAAAAACAGAAATAAAAAAATCGGCCATTTAGCCCCCATAGAGTAGATGTTAAACTTTATACCTAACAAAGCAACATTTAAGTAATATCAATGAATACTTAAAATGTTTAACAATGAATGCAGTGAAAGTACCAACATTTTTAAATACTTTTATACCTAATTAAACCACGTATACCTTGGAACCTAATTAATGACTACGGTAAATCTTTGTAACTACACTTAGTTTGTCCGTTTCTGATTATACTATTGTCTGTTGTACAATAAAATAGCCATTCAGTGGCCAATATAGTTAAGGCTACCAGTTGGAAAGGTTATCGATATTATATAGTGCATTGACATTGTTTTACTTTAGGACGCCGCCATATTAGTACCGCGTTGTGAATAATAATATGTAAACACCGTTTGTGTTAACCATCGACTGCCGTCGTCATCGTTTCTTATCAAAAGGGTCACGCCCGTCATTCGATTTAATAACAACAACGATGTACCGCAATTTCATGTTGCACGGCAATTTCCCCCTACCGACAATATAATTTAAATATAATATATTATTATATTTTAATTCCCACATCCTCGTCCGCCCGGTCGTGCATTCGAACCGGGCCCCATCAGGGTACGTTTAACAGGATTACAATATAATATGCGTCTTTTCCTTTGCGATAAAAATATATAAAACATAATATTTCAATCCTAACCGTACCTTTGGCGATTCGCTTGTTTTTCCTTTTGGACTTTTTGGACGGTTTGACGTCGCCTCCAAGGCCGACCGGCGACACACCGTCGCCGTTGCCGTTGAATATCTTTTTCGACGACAAGTAAATCGCTCGTTTCACCAGATAGTACAGTCCGAAAAATATCATAATCCAAAAAGGGTCGGTAACCAAAATTAAAAAAAAAAAAAACTAAAAATCATAAAAAAAAAGCACTACTCGGGCCGGATCGCCACAGACTTGGGCTGTTCGTTCATAGTATAACACTGACGGCCAATGGACCGCTATCGCGGATTCTGTGTGTGTGTGTGTATTTTGATTTTAGATAACAAAGCGATAACGGACACCGAAATTAATAGTAATAATAATAATTATTATTATTGTGATAATCGGCTAGTCGACGCGCGCACTATACTGTAGTTCGAATCGTGTGTCGGTGCGAAAATCATGTTTTTATTATATTCTGCAATATGTGAATATTAGAAAAAGGAGCGAGTACGATTTTTAATGTTTTTTTTTTTTTAAAAAAAACCGCGGTCTTCGTTCGTGGCTGGAGAAAAAACACTATACGTCAGAGCACGGGTACGGCGTAGATGTGTTGTGCGAGAGATGCTGGTCGGATGCCAAACGGGCAGATGTGACAGAGCGCAGAGGGCTTAGGCCCTGCCGCCATTGGTCGTCTTATTAATAGCTGCTATATACTAGCGTTGTTGTCCCGTCCACGAAACCAACGGGATTGTGTATAATTATATGATTTTTGATTTTTTTTTCTTTCACCGTTCTTTGTTTGATTATTTTTATAATAGCCCGGCTGTGCGGACGGCCGAGACGAGGAACCGAACACATATGTGTGTGGATTTTGGACCTCCCAAAAACTCCTAGGGTCCGCCGTGTCGAAAGACGTCGTTTTAATGGAGAAAAGTAAAAAAACAAGAAGCCTGGATAAAATCCGACTCGAATTTTTAATTTTCCGTATGTTTTTCTTGGCTTCGCTTCCATGCAGTTAACTATTACCTATGCTATACCGATATTGGCGGCGACATAGAACAACAGCAAAAGAAAAAAAAATTAAATAAACAGGAAACTCCGATATCCGACGGGATTAGGAGAACCAACTCAATTTCCTCCCTTTCAAGAGACATATGAATCATTCATATGTTTTACGGAACCCACCCGACCACACCTACAAACGTATCGTCCCTCCTTATCTCTTACTATAGGTCAACAATGAGACGGATTTTGATCTTGGTGAAAAAAGTCACACAAATTTTGAACCACGCCCTAGCCTTAAAGACATATTATTCATGTTCATTAAAAACCTTTTAAATTAAGAATAATTTAATTTACTAACAAATTCAAACTGGTCGATAACAAGTTTCAAAATCGTCTTTTAATCTAAAATAACATAAACAATTAACAAAAATGTTTTCATTAAGAAATCTTAAAAATTGTCATTATTGTAAAAGATATTTTTTAGTATTTCGCGTTAAATTGAGTATTGACCAAGTATTATAAGGTGCTAAAAAAATTACAAATGGAATAGTATATAAATATAATGCGACATAATTTCAATACACTTTTAATTTGATGCACTTCAAGTACTTACAAACTTGAGCAATATTCATAAAGACAGATAAAATTGGACATGAACTCATCCAAGAGCCACTTTTAATAATCCAACTAATTTTAGTCTAAATTAATATTAAGTTTTTCTCGCTACATAATTTTTAAAGCTCCTGCTTTCCGAGTGATGGCGACATTTTGATAATAAAATAACTATTGTAGTATTGAATGGATATAATTTCATAGAAACCTTACTCTGTGGAAGCTAATAATGACTATTTTTTTATATTATAGTTTAAAATTAGTGAATAAATAATAACCATCATACAGTTCTATTTAAGCGTAAATGTATTTTCAACAGTATATTGTATTTGACTTTCTAGCGCTCGTTAATAATTAAACATCTCAAATTCATACTCTGAAAATAAGGACAATACGAAAAGCGCGATAAACTGTCAGTTGTACATGTGTTAACAACATACTGTGATTATAAAAATAATAATAAAATGAGCTGCCAAGTGTTGGATATTTTTAACCATCTTTCCGTACTTTGGCGCGAAATAAGAGCGGGAAATTGAAGAAGTAAAAAAAAATAGAACCCTTCAAGAAAACATAAACAAAATTTGAATTAATAATAAACACCGTCAACGGATATGATTTGAAGATATTTGGACAGAGAAAAACATTATGAGCACTGACGATTCCAACTATCATTTTACAAAAAAAACCAATACAAATATGATGAACTTTTCACAAAATACTAAATTATTTATTTAATACAACTTTTTTTGGTAACTATTAAACAATATGTGTTTAGTGTACTTTACAAGAGTTGAGCAAAATCGTATAGAAATGATCTTGTATTAAAATACATTTTTATTCGTTAATCAAGTAGAAGTTATCCAAGTACAATTATTTACTCGGAATCACTTATTTGATATTTATTTAAAATAATTGTGGTGTTTGAAAAATATTTTTTTTAAAAATGCAATGGGGATTATGAGAGTAGATGATAAAATATTAATAATTTTTAATGGTCACAACGTTTATTTTTGTTTAATACAAGTTATGAATAGATATCGATATCGATCATACTTATTCAACTATAAAAATATAAAATTGAAAACAAAATATTAAACATTCACAATTGCTGAATTTATAACCCGTCAAGTTCATTTGAGCCAGATCTCACGTTACAAGTGATTACTAGTCAGGGATGAAAACGAATCGGACGGGTTATAAATACTTATAATATTATGCAAAATAATACTAAACTTATAATTTATATCTGTACCAAATAGAGAGCAAAAATTGTCTTAACCAAAAACTAAAACAAATACCACTTTATTTGAATGATTTTAATAATTAATAACAAATAAATAATTAATTATTTTCTCTTAAAATTGGGTAAATGAATAAAATCGTATTTACTAAGTTATTTATATACAATTTTATTGACATAAAGTATGTCTTATTGCTAGAGAATTTTTTTGTTTCACTTCAAGGAAATGGTGATGGGTAGGGAAGAGCACGGAAGGGAGGAGTCTGGAGAGAAGGTAATGAGAAGAGGATGGGGTTCTTATGGTGATAAGAAGATATTGATAATAATTGGATAACTTATAATGGGGATATTAATAAGCGAATCAGCTGCTAAGATACAAGCGGTTAGAATTATCTGGATTTGATAAGAAACAATCAGTTGGATAATGCCAAAAGCCATATAATTCATGATTTAATGTTTTTCCAAAAAGGGAAATATTTTTATTTTAGAATGATGATGATGATGATGATGGAAAATTCAATGATCAAAATTGAGATAAACCGTTATATCTATAATCTACGTCTCAAAGCACGAAATCAATTAAATAATTTACGATTAGTTCTTTGACCAATTCTATTCGGCGGACGTTAATGTCAAGCAGTCAGATTGGTGCATATTAACCCTTGGCAAATGCAGTTTGACAATAGCAGTACAGAAATGTTGGCACTGATTTTGCTTTCGTCGTTGAACCTTAAAAAAAAACGTATACTTGGCAACAGATGGTGGAAAAAAACAAACATGGCCGTTTGCATATTGCTCGTACTATGTTAAGACTACTCGGAAATCGTCCAGAACTTAACTCGTATCACTTTTGTATCGCACAATTTGCAAACTTTAACAACACTGCATGTATGTATGTAATATTATATAGTTTAAACGGAGAAAGTCGTTGTGAAAAAATCATGTTTATTATATGTGATTCCTTATGTGTACTTACTACTTTTTAAACAGGAAGTTTTTTTTTTTACACTAACCATAATAAAGAAATCATTGTCAGAGTTTGTTGGACTGCATTACTCGCTAGATTGCAATTTTTAATGGACAGGTAACAGGTTGCACGCCAGATGATAGTATATAATATTTTAGAAAACTACAATAGCTATATTGCTTGTGATTAATTTCCAGGAAATCGTCTCATTAGTTAAGTCTTAATTTTCAGGCAAAAAAAGTAGTATTTATCAAGACGTCAAAGAGCTTTATTATTTTAATATAGAAATATTTGTTTTAAAAAACCAAAAACAAACTAAAAAAAAAATATATATAATTACAAATTACTTTTCAACAAAAAAAATTGTCTTAGATAATTTAAAATTTATTTAATCCTACTTTGATCCTAATTATTTTTATAATTTATGTATAACTGTTGTTATTATTTAATATTGTCACGATCATTTCTATACTATTATGTTTTCATTAAAATGAATACAATTATTTTTAAGATAATTGATTGCAAACATACACTTGAATATATTTCTGATCTTGAATACTTTGGTAACCCCTAATTATTATATATAATGATATCTACCTTAAAGATGACTTAAAAAGTATTTTTTACTAAGCCAAAATTCAAGTTGATTGAGTACATCGATAGAATAACAAGACACAATTGCAAATATTATAATATTATGTGTTGCTCACATACAATTACATACAGTGTAATAAATAATAATAATATTAACAAAAACTACATTATAATATAAGTATAATTTTTTTTTAAATAAAAACTTGTACATACATTAACACCGCCACATATGTTTATCACAAAATAAAATGAATAATACACCTATCTGGACTGTTGTATTAATGTGCAAAAGTAATAATATTTTTTATTTTGTAATAATTTCACGTCATATGTTATGTTTACAACTTTTCGTTTTAAATTCTAATGTCTGAGTACACACTATAGTACTAGACTATATTCTATGGCCGAAAGTTTTCTTTAAATATTTTTAGAGCGTTTTTCTCGGTTTTGAAGGGAAAGGGTGAACTTTTATATTTTTTTGGCCCGATAAAGTCTCTTTAGAATCCATACACGTCTTACTACCTGAAGCACACCATTGTATAGACATTAACATTTAAATTTTACCGCTATTCCGGGTGAACACTGTATGTTGTAGACTTGGTTGTTATTGTTGACAATCGCCCAGCATAATTTATTGGTTTTTTTTTTCACCTCTTAATAACTGTTAATGTTTATAGTCGGCCAACAACAAGCGAGGAGACAAACACAAAATCGATAGGCGTTATTTGAAATCCATTAGTCGATTTCGAAAAGGAAGAAAACGCTCATATGCACGTGATAATGCACACCGTGTAAAGTGAGTGTATTAAGTCACAATTCAATTATTGCTTCTCGACGTTCACAAAGCCTACACGCGGCGAGAACGGCTTGTGTATAATATAATTTATACATTAAACACACACACATAATATAAGTACCATAGTGTTTTCGAGTGCATCGCGTTGTGTTAACGGGCCAGTTTGATGAAAACCATACAAGTTTTTTACCATTTTTGGTCGAGAAGAGGTCCCAGAGGGGGGACCACTCGCTTAATGCATCGATCCAAGTACATTTATAATCTTCGTTTTTAATGTTATTGTAAAAACGATTGAAAAACATTTTAAAAATTGCAATTTTTTGTCCAAAAATAATTGGTTAACTAAAAATAATTTTGAAATTGTGCCACGATCAATGTTTTTTTAAGCGTTATGAACAACTCGAATGTTTAGTGGAACTTAAAATCGGAGAACGTATTCTTGGGAACGCCATGTTTAAAGTAGAAACATAATATATTACTTTGTAATTGACAATTGTACACAAATAGAGTGTGTAGGTGTTAAAAAAAGTTTTAAAAAAAATATTCCTATCAAAATAGATACGTTTTTTGTTGTGTTACTATACGAGTTTACAATATATTTTTGCTTAACGTTATGATGTTTTATAGAAAAATTGCTTGTACAATGTGCCTTAATATTTAATAAATGCTAGTCTAGAGGCCCCTTAAATATGGGTTCAATAGTTAAAACTTAAAAGTATAATACTATGTACAAAGCAGCGTTCAAACTTCAAACGTGCATTGAAAACGTTAGAAAGTATTGGGTTTTTTTTAACATGATAATGATTTTAAGGAGGGGGGTGTCATCTGAGGCAAATTTTTGAGACATTTTTCGAGTCATGCTATATTTATTTATTTGTTTATTCGATTTGTGTACTCAATTGATTTACTCGATCTGTTACTTTACTCACTTATTTACTCATTTACTCAGTTTTTTATTTAACTAAACCTAAACGCGCTTCTGCTTTTCTGGGTTTAACACAGTCAATTGTCACAAATTTATGTGGCTTTAGTTTGAATTTGAAGTGAAAAAAACACGAAATTTCAACAACCCTCGTCGACGGCGGGTTAAAACGAAACTTAGCATAAAAAAAAAAAATTAAAATTAAAATTTCCCACTCACTAGGGTTGTCCGTGATGTCGTTATCGTGGCCTTCCATCGGTAGGTACCTCTATTGGGCGAATCGCACTAGACCGACGAGGGTGTTTCCAAAGGGTCGTCCGGCGTGACTCATTTTTTTCGATTGCGAACCCACGGCGGCACCACCACCGCCCTCGTCTTTCGAACAACAACACCGACAATCATTACGATTAGCACTCATACTTTACCTAGTGCAATGTGTACAAGAAACAAAAAACGACACTTAATGCTCGCCCGGTACACGGCGGTCGTTAATTACGGTACGGTTCGATATTTACTATTGAAAAATGTAACATAATCGTATTATAATAACAATAATAATATAAGACGGCGCTTACCGTGTAACCACTGCGTTGGGTTATGTCGTCTTCGGTCGGCGCGAGGTTGTTAGTCATAGGCACACGCGCCCCCCGATCGATAGCGGCCCACTCGGTGCGATGTGCGCGCTGACTTTTTCGGCTGGTGCAACTGGTATGTACATACTATTGTTGTACTATTATTTTACTATAAAAATAACAGTATGAATGGTGCTGTGCAGCACAGCAACAATCCCGAAAAAAGGAGAAAAATTAAATTTCAATACCAATCGATGAAAAATATTGTCTTATTGCACAAACACAAAATCAAAACGTTTTGGTTGTGGCGGTATTTATCATCAATGTTTCAAAATCTAACTGAAATCAGAATCATATGCATTTACACCCGACTACCATAATCTACGAGAAGAAATTGAACTTATTCGGAACACGGCCAGTAGAATTTTGGCTTTTAAAGAAAAGCTAACTTAAAACGTACGTTGAAGAAATGTCTAATACCTAATGTTAATTTTTTAAAAGTTCGATACGACAAGAAGAGAAAAAAAAATAGTATATTTTCTAACGATACTGCCATACTGGTATAATAGAAACTAATAAATCACAATTCCTGAATCAATTAAAATATGTTACAAACATGAGATAAACCATCGTTTCAGTAATTTCAGAGTTTTTTAAAAATCCGTAGGCAGTTTCTCTTAAAAATTGATTAGAAATTAATAGAATACCCGATTGACTTACAGCGAAATATTACATTAAAAGATATTTTTAATGGAAAAAAAAATGTAATCGACTTAAGGCAAACGTTTAAACAGTTTTTGAAAAAATCAAAGAGTTAACATAAAAAAAAATTATCTTTAGAAATATTAGGCTGGTTAGGTTAATAAGTGTCAATATTTATTGGGTACTTTTTTAGGGGCATAATTTATGATATAAAAACATTATTCTAACCTATGAATTCAACTGGAAATGACTGAAAAGAGTCGTGAGTATGGCGAGGAAACTATTTGAATTCAAATTTGTTTTTTTTCTAACCCAAATAATACGAGTTGTACCATTGCGTTTGAGTTAGACTTGTGTACATATTAGGTATAGTGTTTTGTAAATACCCACGTAAAGAAAAAACCTGTTTATTAGATAACTGGAAATAAAATTAAGGTAAACACAACAGCTCCACGCACAAGTCGCAAGTCAAAGGAAATAATGCAAACAAGTAAAATATGTTTATACTCGTTTTGGATCTTTTTGAACAGATGTTGTGTTTGATGTTTTCATTTTTGGACTGAAATATAAACGCGCATAATATAATTTTATTATCTCGGCATGCCACTTAGAAATTTTAAGTGGTTACTTCCCTTTTGGAAATACCGTGCCAACATTCAATTACCGACTGCGAAATGGGTATAAAATATAATTACTGTAAAGACACTTATTGAACTTCATTCGATTAATAATCGTTTATTAGACCACCTCATCTCGCCCAAAGCTAATATACTTATTTACATATAATGGCATTTGGTACAGTTACTTAAAGTACTTATTTTTAATGTTTATTGTTTTTACTCATGAAAAGCTCACAGACAACAAGTGTGTGCCAGTCATGTTACAAGAATTACAAGTAGTACAAAAATTGTTTGCGTAATTTGTATATGAATCAGAGCTAGCAAAAACCTGACCCAAAATCACAACCTAAAAAAACTTCCCCGAAAATATTCAAGTAGGTAAAACATAGCCTGTTTTTTTCTCTCAAAATTTGATATCATTAAATTATTATTTTTTAAACATATTTGTATACTGCAATATAATTATTAACGTCATCGATTATGGATAGTAAATCTTTAAAACAACACAGTAGGCAAAGATATGGTCTGTAGAAATTATAATTCATTATAATATATGAATAAAAGTGATCAAAACAAATAAAAATTTAAAAAAACGCTTTGGATCAAATTGTAATAAAATATTTTACACAGTTTAGTCTAATTTTCAGAAGTTCAACTCAAGAACTGTCGAAATTGATTGTTGAAGATCATATTATGTTTTGTACAACGCAAAACATTTATAGAGCATACTGCACAGCCAGTAAACAGTAGACACTATATTATGGTGTATTATTTTTAATTTTGATTTAAGTATTTGTATGCTTTTTAGTTATTAATATTATTATTGATTGTATATTAATTATACAGTTTCACCAGTTTCAAACCCATTATAAAACATGATTCTTATAAATATTTTTGTAATAAAAGTTTATTTTTCTTCTTAAAGAATATTCAAGACACAGAAGGGTGTTATGTGTTTAAAAAAAAAATATCTTAAACAAGTATGTAAGTAATAAAACTCCGTACCGTCTTGGTCTTTCGTATTAAACTACAATCCTTCCAGACCCTTCTTTTGGAAATTTTGGAAGAAGTCGACGGTCTAGTACCATTTCATTCCTTTATACTCTTGGAATATATCACTATTATCATCATCACCGATATCTAACCCGTTTGTCGGTTTGTCTGAATTTAAATTGTAAATTATTATTCGTTTACACATTATTCTCTTGGTGGTCGACCAAGAGAGGGGAGGATTTTATTTTTATTGCCGTCGTTTGGGCCGGATGGAATTTGCCATTACTGATCGACCGCTGGATATTATGCATAAATATGCGCTGTTTATATACGGTATGTATAGGGTGTATCAGTTATCACCGCAAATATCTGACAGACCAGCAATTCAAACTGATGTCAATCGTTTATACCATCGCTTGATGCACACTGTATATAGGGCCTAACCTATACGTGCATACGACTTGGATGGTTATTATCACATTATTATTTTATAGAAATGGGTTCCATATCGATTATAGGCGATTGCAATAGTACACATTTGTTTCGACTATTAAGTACATTTTTTTTTTTACTATTACAAATATTTTTTGGCTGTACCCAATGTAACTTGTTTAACATGAATACGTATTTCGACTGGGGTTTAACTTATTATCGACCAGTCAAAATGTTTAACAAATTATAAAAAAAAAAAAATGTTATCAAATATGTACATTATTATCTAAAAAACTTAAATCCATTAGGCTTTAACATATAAGGGATGGGGTTATATTTTTTTAAATATATTACATTTGTCCCAACTAATATCTATAAAAGTATAAAAAAAGTCTAACATATTTTAAGTTATTAACAAGGCCACAATTAACCCGGTACAAACGACCCTACCATTTTGTATCAAAATACAAATCAATTTTTGTTTTAAATACATTTTTATTTGACTGTTAAAAATATTCTGTTATTTTAATTTATTATTAAAATAAACAACTAACTATTTAGAATTGAAATTGAAAATGTATTTTAACCATTGTTTGATATTTTGTTATTTAAATACAAATGTACCTGTTTGAAAATATTTTTTGGATATTTGTTCAAAATAAAAATATTTAATTATTTAAATAAAAGATCATTTTGTATTTTTATTTAAATAAAATATTATTTAATTAATGGCCAGGTCGGATACAATCGAATTTGGTTTGTAGTAGGACAACAATATGAGATTTTCTGCTAACATTACATGTAACATTACCTATCAAAAATTTTCCTATAGAAGATTTTTTTTTTTTACTTTTCGGTACAAATGTTTTAATTTGTATTCCTGTGAGAATATCAAGCACAAGCACAAACAGGCGTTTAGGCGGAATGACTATTTATAAGCCTAATAAGTTTAAATCTACATAACTATACAAGTGATGCAGTAGCAAAGATTAGCCAATTTGTTGGGTTAACTAAGATTTAACCGGTTCAGAATTAAATATTAGGATTAGAGTAATAATGTTATTCGATAATATAATACTCACTATTCGTTGTACAGTCACGAACGGCATTCAAAAGCCCCATTCAAAAACGTACCAACAAAAGTTCTTGAATGGATAATACAAAGACCACAAAAGTAATGTGTTATTATGGTTTTACATCATTTTTTATTTTATGCACTATAAAAATTTGCGTTATGACTTCTGTAAAATCCAATATTATCATTTTTTTTTTTTACACAAAATAATTTATAATATTGCTAAGATAGGACAAATCGCACAGCGAATTTAAAAGCAAACTAAAACAATCCATTCCGCAGCATATTATAATGCGTTAACTTGTGAATCTAAAAATAACCGTCAAAGTGATATTTTTACAAATGATGCAATTTTTTGCAAGTGGGCGACTTAAACGATTACCACGAAATATTTGCCGGGCCATTGCAATAATAATACATTTTTGATCAACTATAATACAATGTAATGTTTTCTTAAACAATACCTACACATTGTGCGTTGCCAACAATCTGGCAGTTTATTGTATTTTATAAGTAAGTACCCGAGTAAAAAAATCTTATAACGTTATTTCATCATGTGAATAACAATAACATTGTCGCATTATATTATTATTAATATTTTTGATGATCAACCAAATGGTTTCTTATAATCTATGTAGATTTTTATGGGTTTACGCTTGACTGCATGGCAACAAATTAAAACAGCTTTTATTACCGACTAATAAAATAAATTGCACGTTACACCTAATAACTGCAATACACTCATACAAAATGAGCACAATATACATATGAAGTAAAATAGTAAGTAACTTGTTTGTTTTTCTCTTAAAGTACTGTGTGTGTACAGTGTATACGTTTTTTTTAACAAATATATTACCGAAAAAGATGTGCGAAAATCGTCGAATAACAATATTATTGTTTACAATGGAGACCCGAATGATTTAACTGATCGTCGAGGATTTTGCTATGATATCGAAGCATTATGGTTTACACAGAACATTGATTTGTTCGGCTTTCGCCAAAACAAAAAAAAAAAATCCGTCACGTCATTTTCAAACGACCGTATAAAAGCGTATTATGGTTTATATTTTGTCGGCAGCGTTCAATGTTAAATAATAGGAAAACGAGTGTAATAGCGGCTTCTGGCGGTCATTATTCGAACTATCCCTTGTACAAATATATAAACCCCTAAAAACTTAAATACAACGCCTTACCTGACCAGTCAAAACTAAGAGTTATCTAGTCAAAACAAATTTTTTTTTAACTTAACTTAACTTAATTATGTTTTAACACGATAATGTATTTTGGCTTAGTTTCGTCACATAAACCGTGCAATGAACATTTTGATTCACAAAAAAATTGGTACTTTCTTATCTTTGATAACAGATATTCAAAGGAGATTAATGATAAGGAATAACTCATAAGAGAATATTGATAACCGTTTAATTGTTGAAAAACAATTATTGTAAATTTTACTAAATACAGTGTTCAATTTTCAAGTATAAAAAATTGTACTATAACATACCATTTATTGTTATAAATAGGTGATATACGGTATTGATTAAATTTATACTTTTCTACACACATTACTTATTTGTCATGCATATATGTTTCGGTATTATAACAATAGAATATACTACTTTGAGTAATTTGTATTGTTTGACTTAATAAATTATTCAAAAGAAGACTTTTGATTTAACCTATACAAATATTGAAATTTTAAATTTATGACCATGCCTAAATTATGGTTCTTATTGCTTATTATTAGTTCTATATTAGGTACTGTATAATAGTGTTATTTTATTGAAGTATGGAATTACATTATATTATGGGTTGTTTTGTAAAGGGTTTATTGATTTAAAAGTATGATTTATAGGTAAAATATGTATGGACGAAAAAAGAGTTTCATTTAAAATAATATTATTGCGTGTACTTTTAAAATGTTAATGTGCTCGTTAGTTGCATATTTTAAGGTTTTTTAGTGTACACAAATCCGGACTTTGCTTATGGCTAATCGACGATCGCCAAAGTCTGTCTAATTGTTATTAAATGTAAAATCTTGACAAATTGATTCTCTGTCCTTGATAACCATTTGCATTTATCACAGTAAAAATCCCAATTTTTTTTTTTTAGAAATGACCCTATGATATTATATTAGAATGATGTGGTTATACAGTTACCGAAAAACAATATTTTTTTCATAAATTCCTCAAGTTTCACACAGTGACACAGAAACCAAATTAAATGCATAAATAGTAAATGGCTAAAAAAAGTTATAATACCTCATTTTTTATCCATTATTATAATCTGGTGTTAGAAAAAAAAGTGCTGCACCCATTACAATATAAAAGAGTATAATATATTATTCATCTATTCTCCTAATCGAAGTAGGCAGTAATGACCTTAATGTTTAATGTCGTTTAATTAAAAAAAAAAAATTATTTATTATAAGTAATAACTAATAAGACTTTTACAATAATATTATTTGTAACATTCTACAGTTCACAATGTGTATAAAAAAAGTTACGACGGTGCTATTCAAAATTTATTTTGTCAAGATATTTTATTAATATCTCAATTAATTGTCATCGGTGGACGATAGACTAGTATCTCGAACTCGTCAATGGCCACCTCTTCGCCGTTGTACGGTATATACAGTGCACTGTGGCTGGGTTGAATCTAAAAAAATAAAATAAGACAATAGGTTACATAATGAAATTATCGTTTACTCGTTGGCTGTGACTTGTGACAGTATAACTATGAAACTACACATCTATGCTTTTTCAAGAAACCATAAAAAAATCTTCAATCAGGCCTTGAAGGAAAGAACATTATTACGCACATGTTTTATACGATTTTCTGTCTCATCATCTGTTATCAGCTTTATTATCTTTTCAATAATTTATTATCAGCTATTCATGAAATATATATCTTCTCCCCACCTCTTCCACGCTTATCACTATGCCATTCTCACCGCCCAAAATCCTCCTCTCAAAAATTGGATGTATTATGGTTATTGTTTCAAAAAAAAAAAAAAGTGAAATTTTAATGTACAATCAATTATTACAATAAATGATGGACTTCTCTTTGGTCCATCATTTAACCTACAAACGAAATGATCGAAACCTCAATTATGACTATTTAGAAATATGTGCATTCCTTTTTTATTTTTGGGCGGCCCGACAGCACTCGGTAATGGAAATTTTACTTTTTTTCTACACCGCTTTTACAAAATATCTTCACAAACACAAATCACAATGTTCAATGTAACTATTTTTTATAAAAAAAACTATTACTTTTCCCGGAGTCAAAGTGCCATCGTGAAGTGCTCGTCCCATGTAAAGTTTTTCGCCTTCTAACGTGGAGCCGATAACGATAGCATTTGGAGGGATGTTGTTACCCTGTGTTGTCTGCCATGCAACGCTCGCATTGCATAAAACCTACAAAATTAAACCACAACAATGTAATGTTATACAATTATCGTTTATTATAAAAAAAAAAATTATAGCCTATAGAATCTACTACCCACATACTACTACCACTTGTTTAATCGTAGTTTTGGGAATTCAATTCTGAAAACTATTATACTAAAAGATCCAGAGTGTCATTGATTTTATCAATTTCAGTTTTAATTATTTCCTAAAAACTGTCTCCCTCCCCTCTCCTTAATTCAGCCCCCTTGTATACTGGATTCCTTTTAATCAATAGAGCTTTAGGCGTCTGCCCTTGCGATGGAAATTATGATTATTGCATGGAACGTTTGCAGACTGCTGTCAATAAATGTATCATAAACTAGAACAGTACAGGACGTATAGACAGTATGGTTACTCTAGTTTCGGGATACGTTTTAGACACACAAGACCTTAACGGAGTGTAATTTATCCGACCTCGTAGTGACTCATGGCGTGCTCGGTGCCTCCCCAGCAAACGTAGGCCGTTTCGTGGTTTGGATTTATTTTGGCGGGCAACAAGTCGCCCTCGTGGAAAGCGCGGCCGGCGTACAAGCGGCCACCGTCTTTGTCCATGCCCACGTGAACGGCTCCTCTGGGCAGTGGATCGCCGGCGTTGCAAGGTACCCACGTTATGGAGAGGTTGTGGTCCACTGGCGACCAACCATATCCACCTGAAAAAGTCAATCATTTCCAATAAAAATCCATCTATAGACCTATAAAAAAGACCTATATTGATGGTAGAGAGAGAGATCAACATTGTGTTTTTCTAAACATAAAATCCATAGTGTTGACAATTATTTTTATAACACATTTTTTTATTTATAGTACAAATAGGTATAGGTCATCTTAAAACATTGACATTACCATCAATTAGGCTGTATTATATTGATCAGATTTTATGCGTGTGACTCGGTTGTGGTTAGAATGAAGTTTTATAGATTTAAAACCAAGAAATATAAAAAATAAAAATGTAATGTGACATATTGAATTTTAAATTAAACGTACAACTCGAGGTGTACAAATTAATTGAAAACAATTCGGATTTTAGGCCGAGGTTTTGTTAATTAGGGACATTCCTAATCAGAGTACATCCTATTAAAAATTTAAAATAATATCACCAATTTTTTTACTTAAACTTACTATGGTCTCTCTAAAATTGTTTTTTTTTCTTTTTTTTACAGATTTGATATCTATTGCCATATTTGCCACAAGCTTAGCCGCACTGTTTATCTGTATTAATTCCTATAACTTATTATTTATTATCTCTACTTTTTGAATTATTATTGTTTTTGTTACAATTTTTAATATCATTAAAATGTATTTTGCAATAATATTTTTATATAAAATTTTATATTTATCTATATATCTACAATAATGTGTGTACCTGTTTATAAATGAAATAATTCTTTGTATCCTTTGTAATACCTTTATTTACTTACTGTATGATATTTTAATTATACCGTAAGTATTTTTTTTTTTTTGGCCCATAAAATGCATATATTTTGTTGTAAATTGTTTATTACTTGAGTACTACTGGTTGAATGTAAATGTGTATGTATATATGAAATATCATATGTACCTATATGTTAAAATGTATTTATCCATGTATAATGTATGTAACCATTAGTAATTAAATTTGTACATGAAGTGTAATATTTATCTAGGGTTTATACATGTATAATGTGTGCAATGTGTAATCTATTTGTCACGAAAAATGACAAGTGACATTAAGTAAGTGCATGTTAAAAATCAAAAATTCAAAGCTCGAGACATTTTAACTTTGTAATTATATGGTACGTTGAACTTTAATTAAATACATTCATCTGCAGTTGAAATGCAACTTGAGTCTAAAACATTAAATGCAGAAAGCAAATATGTCTACCAACTCAAAAAGCACGTCATAATAATTTTTTCCCACCCTGTATGTATAAGTTAGAATCAGTCTAGTTAATATACTTGACGACGGTTTTGTAAAGTTTAAACGTAGATTGTTTTTTATTGACAAAGGAAGTAACAGAAGACGTTGGAAGGAATACGAGAACGCCATCTACGTTTAAAAAAAAGCGATACATACAAAAATGTTAAGTACATTAAATTTAATTTAATACCAAAATAATTCTTCGTTTTGCCTCAGGAGAGACTCTTGACGAATATAGATGTATATATAGGTATTTAAAAAAAAAATTATCGATAAAATATGTTATAAGTATAATTTAAAAAAAATATTTTATAATATATACCGTTATTCAAGCAACAAAAATATATAAACGCTAAACATGAGTGCAATATTATACCGGTAATAAATATTGCCTATTGGTAAATACCTACCTTAATCCGTGACTTTTTAATTTTTTTGTTTTTTTTTTTTTTAAGAAAACAATTTAATGTATTGTTTATATTAATTATTGTACACGTTTCAGGTTTGAGTTACAAATGTCAGTTTCATTATAATATTTTAGCACAATAACAACGCCGTAAGACCGTCGAAGAAAACAATATTGTAATTTTCAATTTAAACATACATAATATTATGTACTATCATATTTATAGTTATTATTATGATATTACAGAACGTTTCATTAACAGAATTGACTAACGGTTATGTATATAATAGACAAATAATAGGTACACTAATTTTATTTTCCAATAACAATTTCCTTTTAAAACGTACATACAAATATAACATATTTTGATTTAAAAAAAATTCTTCTGTTAGTTATCGGCGCAATTTTTACGAATTTAAATTAGTATTATTAAATTGGTCATGGCCAATAGAATTGAAATATTAAAACCCAGGCCTTTCACTGACTGTTTTTATACTTAAATTGTTTGTCGTTCGTATATTATATCTAGCGACCACCGAATTGCGCCAAGATACTCTTAGTCGTTATAATATTTTTAGTTTTTAGATAGAAACAAAACATTAAAAAAAAAACGATCCGTATTTACTTACCGATCATACTGTTGAAGATAATTACACTTCACTGTATTCGATGTGCGACCGAACTTTGAGAGTTAAAATCGACAATTGGCCTATATTAACGAAAACTTTCTGTGTAGGTACATACACTGCGGCCTTTTGTTCTCGAGTGTCTAATGTGTTTAAACCTGTATGAATAACACATTTTTAACGCACTAGCAAATAATATTGCACACGAAACGGAGATTTCAATTGTTTTACAAAGATAAATTCGTAATCTTGAGTGCATGCTATATAATATAATAATATAATGCTAATTAGATTAGATACGTTCTCTTTTTTCATACACACTGCACACACACACAGTCTCAAGAAACGTCATACATATTGTCATTACCTACTTATGAGTACAATTATTCGAGCACTAACCCAATGTGTCATTTTAAGGTGCAGCAGGACAAGACTAGTGTCCTGAGAATTTGTGATTATGAATTTTTAAAAGCTATTAAAATATTACTTGTATTATTTTAAACGAAAACGTGGGGCACCTGCAGTGTAGAGAGTAGCTGTCGTTGAGAAACCTCACACAGCAGTTCATTTCATTTGCAGTGCAATACAATAATTGATAGTGACATAGATGAACTATTCATGCATCAATTATCTATTACTTCATAGTTACAGTTCATACAATGCCAGCAGTCATTGTCCAGAGGTCATAGGAAAAACTTAAAAAAATTCAACGATAGTAGAATAATTTCTTACTACTTCTATAAAGGATGGACAACTTAAAGCGATTTGCTAGTTTTCTCACAAATAATTTCCAACTCTTTTGGTTAGATATTTACAGAGATCTATTCTAATTTCAAAAATTTGAACTGAAACTTAAATATATATTTTACTAACTTTTAAAATTTATCGAGTTATAGCTAAAACAAATTTCTTGAAATGTTGTTTTCCGAAATGTCCAAAACTGTATTATCTGTTTTTAAAATCGAACATAATTTAGTTTGTCTTTCAAATTTAAATATATATTTTTTAAATTATGTATACTTATGCTAGTAAAAGCAGAAATTACTAATGCTTGACACGACAAAATAAAAATACAAATTTTTCTTAAATGTGTTTTTATGATTTACATATCTATTGAAAATATTAGAAAAAATTAGGTGATGTTTTGACCAGTGTCTTAAGTTTAAAAATCGCACATGCGAAGTGAACAAAAATCATGTAGACGAATTTTGAAAAACATGTCATTTTATGTGAGATTTATTGGAGCTCTGAGTAGTTAAGCCTAGAGCTACGGTGACTAATTAGTAATTTTACATCATTAGTTTTGAAAATGAAAACAAATAGTATGGACAATAAAATACATTTTGGTCAAAAACTATAATATAGTTCGTGTTAATTATTATAATTTTAGTTTATTTTTTGTAAGAATCTGGTTAGGATCGAGTTAGTTTTATATTGGAAAACAACTCCATCCTTAAATTCTGTTCTCTAATAGACATGGCATTCGGTGCAGTCACAGTTTTATTTTAACTACCCGTAATTACATAGCCTAAAATGCCCATTTCCACGTTAATCAAATTTGAATATCAGCTTAATATACTTTTTTAAGAACTCTGATAGGTACCTTATTACGAATTATTAATAAACATTTAACATGATAAATAACGTATCATAACAAATAATTTAACAGGGAAATTTCGAAAGCAAATTGTACGATAAACAAATTAATGAACGTGTATACTTTATTTTAGCTAAAACTTACAGCAATTTTAAATTATGTCTATACTATTTGTTTTAAATCTAAATAGTTATTATTCATATTTATAGTTAATGCCACATTGATGTCGCAGTGCACTGATTTCATAAATGCACTTTGCTTCTATCGATATTCATATTGTGCTATACATGTGCTCTTTCGGGCAACGCCCGTGGCTTCTTGGACATATTAATACCTGAGGGGTACGGTCGACCAAACGACCCGAAATCAGGCCAAAAACCGTAATAGGCATGCACGTATTATATATATACATATATACATGGAATTACTAAACTTTCAAGACGTTTAGGTATAATTGAATTTAAAGTCGCCGTAACGAATTTACATAACGCCGGAGTCGTGCGAGTAAAACCCTACAACACACCTGAACCTTGGCACCGGAATTAAGAATAATCTCTTTAAGTCGCTACCGGTGTACACGATATACCTACCCTCCAAGACATATTATGTATTATTACTAGAAGACGGTCGCCGCATCCGTGGGGTTTCGTTTCTAGGCTGCTAAATAATTTAAATACGGCCAATGGGGCGGGCGCCACTCACACGCAGTGGCCTCTTGCTCGGACGAGCCGCAGTCTTCGGATATCCTTCCGTCTTCCGGCAGTTACATTGGTCTCGAATGGTCGCATTTGCCACCGGAACACTTGCGGACGCCGTACGCGGTCAACATTCCATGGACTCTGCCGTTTAACTCGTACCCCGACAACGTCCCTTCCCGTCACCTCCCCTCCTGAAAACAAACCCCGAAAATCGACATTTTTATGTACTACACACGCAGCGTGTAGATTTATTTCGAATTAAAAAAATCTACTAGAGAAAATAAAAAATGTTAAAAACCATTGGACCGCATTTCGAACGACAAGAAAGCGTTTGGGGAGGTGTGCCCGACGGCGGATACGGAAACGAGACCGTGGTCGACAGGGTACCGGCGGACATGTTCCATTTGGTCGACCCATCGTGGTAAGTCCAAAAAAAAAAAGCATTTCAATAATACCTACTCGGTTATGTCTCCTTGGCATAGACATATAATATAAGTCGCACCATCCCTGCTGTCTTGACGTACCCAGGCGTCTCATTGTTGCCTGACCGTCTTCGAATCGGTCATAATCTCATCCTGCCTTTTTCTTTCTCGATTCCTCCCGCGACACAGGACATTTGACTTTTCCAATATTCTATTTTCATTGTCCCGCTATTTTTTTTAAACAGAAATACTCCTTTTTACTTTCTCTCCAGTCTCCATTATGGGTATGAACACAGAACAACTGAAATCCATCAGATATCCTCAACTGTCGTTCTATTCCCATCGCTTATCCTCCATCGTTGGATTTATTTTGGTCTTATCTATTTAACTAAGAATATATATTTTAAAAGTGATATTTTTTTTTAAGTTGATTTTACCTTTGAGCTAATGTTATTGTTGTGTTATAATAGTGTTCAATAAAGGCTAATTAAAATGTAAAAAAAAATAACATTAAATATCTAATATTTAGCTCCGATGCGTAACCGAAAAGGTATGTTTTTTTTTATCTATATACAGGGTGGTCCATCTATTTATGTATTTATCTATCTATGTAAGACGCTCATTTTCTTAAAAAAAATGAATATTTTGAAAATTATTTTTTTCGTTTACATTTAGTGTACATATATTATTTTTCAAAACTATAACAATAACATTTTTACCTTCATCCTCTATACGTAAAAGTATGGACTTTGTTTTTTAAATAGGGACATATGTTTTTAATTCTATAAACATGTAGACAACAAATTTAGGGTTTGGATTTTTAATTTTCATTAATCTCTTCGTTTGCTATGACATTGTAAAGATTTGAATTTAAGATCAATATTCGTTCGGTTTTTACAACAGTAGCACAACAGTTTCCCATTAAATAACAATACTGACCCCCGTCAATAACACTGCGTCACCGTCACTGTGTTTTAAAAGCTAGATAATTGTCTATCATTATCTCAAAACATTTCATTGTGTCTGGTTATTGGTGTTCTCGTCGCCTATAGGAGAACAACATAAATACGAATTTATGGGCTACTGGAATTTGGCAAACCGAAGACATGTGATAATTACAAAAGGACATGTAATATCTTTAAGTAAAGGGAATACATTATTTTCAAAATATTCATATTTTCTGAGAAAACGAATGTCTTCATCTTACATCAAATACGTCACTCTGTATTCTGAACCGCTTAACCGATTTCTTCGTTTATAGCGCTCTTATAGATCAAAAATCGTACCAAAAACGCACTTAATTGGGCCAAAAATTTAAAAAATTCACTTCTTCCATTCCGAAATTATAAAAGACACTCGAGAAAATGTACATACTATCACATTTTAAAATTAGGGCGCGCTATAAACGTTTTAAAAACAGTCGAATTAGTTCCAATTATGTATGGAATATTCTTTATATAAATTACTATCAATATACTTTGACAAACCAAAAAAAAATATATATATATAACCCTTTCCCCTGAAGAGGTGTAAACTATTTCTTTATTTTTTTAAAAATATACACCAATGCATTTAAGGTTAAGGACTTGAGGTTTGAAAATTAGACTTAATAGGTCTGTATTTTTTTTCATTGAGGAAAAACCAACAAAAAAAGGGAAAATCTCACTTTTACCGTATTTAAGTCGCTCGAACGAATCAATTATTTAAATTATATATTTGGTTACGATACACCAATGTGTAAAAATGGTAATAAATTATTATTATAGAAACACAATCGTAGGGCACGTTTTTTTATCCGTTTTTCATAATTGTGTGTAGTTTTTTTTTTTTACAATTTTTTGAAGTCGCCAATCGATCAGTCAGAACGTCCAACTCATCGTACAATAAATTGTTTGTACACATTAATAGTTACTACCATCTACAGTTGCACATCGAAGCGTTTATTTTGAGACTTCTGACCCAACTGTGCTGGCTGGTATTATTTATTCGACCTATTTTTTTTTTTTTTTTAAGGTACCAGTTTCCTCCTATGGAATCGATATGGTATACATGGCTAGGCCTAACGGTGTTTTTTTTGGGAATTTTATCGATGGTCGGCAACGGTCTCGTAGTATACATATTCACGTGTACAAAAAGCCTAAGAACACCGTCCAACCTGCTCATCGTCAACTTGGCGTTCTCCGACTTTTGCATGATGTTTACGATGAGTCCGACCATGGCTTGGAATTGTTTCAACGAAAAATGGATGTTTGGTAAGACAACAATAGTAATAACAACAAGTAAAGCCCGGATTTTTGTGTGTGCTTATAAAATGTAAAAATATGATGTTTTTTTATACAGTTCGAGTTTAGAAAAATAGGTATTGGGCACGCATTTGAATTTGTTTACCTTAAAAATTTACGGTTTTATAAAAACAATTGATGAATTTGTTTTTTTTGTAGAAATTATTAATTTTCTCTTCGTCTAATAACCGTTTACAAATTATTAAATTGTGTTGACTAGTTTTTGTTCGATCATCGATGACTATGGACAATTGTCCTGGAAGAAATATATATATATATATATATATATATAAATACAAAAATATAGTATATACGTTTAAATTTGTTTTTATAGTTTTTTTTTTTAATAGCTTTCTTATTGGCAGAATAAAATAAATGTTTCCAAAACATATTGTATAAAATATTCTACGTAATTGTCCATGTATATATTTGTTGGTCAAGAAATAAAAACAAAAGAATCCGGTCAAACGCGCAATTCACCTCGGCTACCTCCTGTTTAAGTTTAATACAGCTTATGGTTAAAAAATGTAATATCATAATTTTTAAAGGCCTATTCGCTTGTGAACTATACGGGATGTTAGGGTCGCTGTTTGGATGCACTTCCATTTGGACGATGGTGTTTATAGCTTTGGACCGTTACAATGTTATAGTAAAGGTAAAAAAAAAAAAAAAAAATAGATTTTATTTCAATGTAATTAGATATTTAACAATAATAATTCAATAAACTTTTAATAAAAAAAAATATATATATGTATATATACATTTTAAGGGATTGTCCGCAAAACCGATGACAATCAAACTGGCTCTTTTGAAAATATTGTTCATATACTTACACGCGCTCGTCTGGACTTTGGCGCCGATGTTCGGATGGAGCCGGTGAGGACAAACGGGTGCGGTTGAATTGTTAAAACAATATAAATATTAAAAAAAATTATATTTTTCCAATACAGGTATATACCGGAAGCGAATATGACGGCGTGCGGTACAGATTATTATACGTTGGCGTGGCACAGCCGCAGCTATATTGTTGTGTACGGAGGGTTTGTCTATCTGCTGCCGTTGCTCGTTATCATATACGCTTATTATTTTATCGTCAAGGCGAGTGTAGAGAAATCTGGAATTGACAAAAAAACATATTACAAAATATCAGGGTGGTCTCTATTTCGGGCTTAAGACAAATTTCGAACGGGCACACCCCTTGAATCGGTTCGAAACGGATATAAAAAAATAAAACAAATATTGGCCACCGAAAATCGCAGGTCTTCATTTTGTTATTGACGCCTATCAGCAAATCGCATTTTAGTCTATACTTGTATCATTCCGTTTAAAATTAAAACAGAACACACGTACACTATGAATTTTAAATGACAGCCTTTATAGATTGAAAATGTCCATACACGGCCATTCAAAAACATTAGTAAAAAAAAATATGTTTAATTAATGCGCGGTATGTACCTAATGTTATTTGCAGGATTTATAAAAAACTCGTACCAATTTTTATTCGGTTTATACTAGTTACTACTATATTAGTATAGGCGAAGAAACAATTACAACTATGACAATATATCTTGTATGCGAAGAGAAAAAATTGTGGGTGAAAAAAATAGTTTAAGAAAAGAAATATTTTTCCCCATCATAATCTTCTTGAAGAACTGCGATTATCATCGTATTGTCTTGAACATCAATCATCTCGACTGATAAAGAACATTTAAACAAACAAGTTTGGAGTGCATCATTCATGGCCCGCTTAAGACCTGAAATTTTTGGTAGCCCTTTTTTCTATCCGTTTCGAGAACACCAGTGATATTGGTTTGTACCCATTGAAATCCATTTAAACGCAACACAAGGACCTAATGTACCTAATGTACAACGGGTGTCTCAAAAGAACCGAGGGCAGCGCTCGTATTCCGAACTGCACTTTCTGGCGCATAAAGAAAAGTATGGTTGTAGTTGTAATTCTTTAGCAAACAATAGAGAGCTCTGCGAACTCGTTTGGTAGATAATTCACAGAGTAATGTATTTTTCTTGACAACCTCCTAATCTACAAAAAGTTGTTCGAATATCGAGTACGGATTTCAAACTCTCGGCAAGTTTACCAGTGCATCGAAACGCCTAATGCGACACTCGTCGCTGGTGACGCAGTACCGTTCTCCCGCGAGACACACTGCCCGTTTTCCATGCGCTAGACAGTGCGGTTCGATAACAAGAGCAGGACAGTGTTCTGGGACACCCTTAAATATTACAACGGACAAATGGCATTTTCACAGGCGGTAGCGTCGCACGAGAAAGCGATGAGAGAACAAGCGAAAAAAATGAACGTGACATCGTTGAGATCGGGCGATCAAAGCTCTACCAGCGCAGAGTTCAAGTTGGCCAAAGTCGCCCTGATGACGATATCGCTGTGGTTCATGGCGTGGACCCCGTACATGGTGATTAATTTTGCCGGCATATTCCAGTTGGCCACAATCAACCCGTTGTTTTCGATTTGGGGATCGGTTTTCGCCAAAGCCAATGCCGTATACAACCCGATAGTTTACGCAATAAGGTACGTGTGTATAGGCGAAATTTGGAGGGGGGGGGGGGAGGCAGGGGCTCGGGTGTGAGTTCGGTAGTTTACATGAAATTTGTATTATTATTTAAAAAAAATCCCCAAAGTTCTCCAAAAGCATTGCGTACGCCGTAGAAGGGGTGAAAAACGTTATTATTATTTCGCTTTTTTGGCCGCAGTTTTTAGACTTAAGGTCTGAAAATTACACCGTATGCTGCAGGTCTATCTAGTGTTGCCTTGTAACGTATGCAATTTTTTTATTATTTTTTTTTATATAAAAATCTGTAATAAATTGTTACAAACACAATCGTTTCTATGAAAATGTATATTGTTAATATTTTTTACATGGGTTCGAATTAAGTTCCGGGCAAACATCACATTTTACTCGATAACTGAAAAATACAATTTTTAAAAACAAATTAAATATGTCTTTCAGAATAACACAATCATTTAAACAATATAAATATTAAAATAGATCTTTTTAACAGTTAATCTCTCTGGAACTTTTCCGAAACAAATAGATATTTTCATTTGTTCCAGATTTTTTATTTTTTAGTATTCGAGTAAAATGTGATTTTTTTTAATGGTACTTAATCTGGACCGTTATGTGAATTTAAAATGGAAATTTCCAATCCTTTTGTATATTTTTGATGGTATTTCATTGTTATTTAATTAAATTGTTGTTTTTTAGAAATAGGTAATAGTAATTTTGAAGTCTTATTTTTAATTATTATTTTTTTTTAAATTAAATAACGTTAAGTAGCAGTTTTTTTACAGAGTTTTAATCGTTTATTTAAAATCTCCAGTAGATTGGGTTATTATTTTTTTTCATTTTTTAGTTTAGAAAATACGTTAGATTTGACCAAAAGAAATAAATTACATTTATATTTGTTTTGTTAACCATCTACAATTGAAAAAAAAGCGACAAACAAAATTTAAAATTTAGTTAACTTAACTAAATACATATTATTTTAGATTTAAAATTCAGTTTAACCACCTTAAATTTAGTTAGCTCGACTTAAATTGTTAGGTAGTGACAGTTATTATTTATTAAGGCGCATTGTTTAGGCAATTTTTTAATAAAATATAATGCTAAATGCTAACCTAAAATTTGTAAACTTATGTATTGACACAGCAATGAGATTTCAGGCCTGTTAAGTTTTTGTTGTAATTGATACAACCTTTTTTTTTGTAGGTACAAACAAATTTTTTTCATAAATAGTTAAAGTAAAAAATTATAGTCACACTTTTTGTTATTTAAAAAAAACCCAAACATTTATACTTAAAAGATTTTACCATCTAAATTTTTGCATAAGGTGATTTTATCCATTTGAGCAATAATAATTCATGAAGGCCTGTGAACTACTTGACCTCATTTTTCTTGTTTTTTTTTTAAACTAGAAACCGCGCTAGTTTTTATAAGGGGCAATGTATATTTATATTATTTTCTAAATAAGATTTTATTTTTTTTCCCCAGTCATCCCAAATACAGACAAGCCTTGAACAAGAAATTCCCGTGTCTCGTTTGCGGCAAAGTAGAAGACGACAAAAGCGATTCTAAATCGATCGCTTCAGCTCAGACATCAGTTTCGGAAGACAAAGTTTGAAACAAAAACCGACCAAATGAAAAAAAAAAAACTGAGATCTATGAAAATTAAATTATATAAAATATACATACATATATATAAATATATATTTAACTGTATAATGTATACCTTTATTTCAATTTTCTACGTATTTTCCTAATCCATTGCGTCTGGTTTTGTTTCAAGGCGGCCTCTAGCGTTTCTTTGATTCTAACTAAATTCGATGGATTTGTTTGTAAAAACAACGATTCGTAATTTGAATTTGTTTTCATTAAATCCAGTTGCAACGTAATGACGGGAACTGTTTGTTGCAAAAACGATCTAGACGCCACCTGAATGTAATAACAATATATTTATTATTGTTAATGAGTCACTAATATAACATAGTATATTATTATAATAAACATTATGTTTTTATTATTATTTTTTTTATGTGGACCCACAATATCTTTCAAACTGTTAAACTGAATACCTCATGTGGCAATTCTAAAGATCAGAAATCGTACCAGAAAAATACTTTATTGGGCCAAAATTTTAAAAAGTTCACCCCTTCCTCTTTAAAACGAAGATTAATTCCCCAAAAAATGTATATAGTTTTCAACTCAAAATTATGGTGCTCCAACCAATGACAAACCAAAAAAAATGTCTTAAACCCTTTTTCTCCTCTGCACCACTATGCTCTAATTTTACTGTACTGGCTAAGACTTTAAAAATTGCCTAATAAATTTTTTGAATAGCTTTTAAATTATTAAAATGATAAGATATAATAGTTGAACAAATAATAATAATTATTGGAATAGGTAGAGCCTAATACACCGTTCTGTCCGTTAGTACAGTTTGGGACACAATTAACGTGTTGGTAATTCTAGCATAACGTTTTTGATGACCTGGAATGTAATTTAGTTTAAACATACAATTATATTTCATTCCCGAGAAATGGTTGTTACTTAGTATTAGCGTTTTGTAACTTAAATGCGTACTAAAGAAATAGAATTTAATAACAATTCCGATAACATTGTTTTGAGTAAATAAAACAAATTACGAACTTACATCAGTTTCGAACCTCCATTCAAGTTCTTTGAAATGTGGAAAATCAAATGCGCTCGAAGTGAGAATATCTAATACGTGAGGTTTTACACTTTCGATAAATAATATTATCATTTCTAATTTGGCTGCATCGAATCCGTACTCCATCAACGATTCTTTTATCTCCTCGTCGCTCAGCTAAAAAACAATTTAGCAGCGTAAGTAAATAATAAGATTCATATTAAAATATATGCAAAGACCACTTACTTTGCGTTTACAACTTTGTACACACATAAGACATATGCTTTTAACTATCGAAACTACTTGTTCTTCTTGAATGTCTAACTTTTCTATAAAACAATAATTAATACATCTTAAACAATAGATTTCATTTGTTAATTTATCTGTGCTTTTTTTTAATGTACAGATAAATCTCTTTCGCCTTCTTTAATATTTTACCCCGAGTAAATTTCTAAAATCCTAATACGTTTTCTCACCTTCCATCCTATTCATTATTCCTTTATAGTCAGTTTAAAATAATAAAATGCCTATTCGAAACGATATAATTATTCAAATAAATTTTTATTTGAATAGTTTATTGTTTTTTTTTAATCGAATAATATTTTATTGGAAAAATATGTTTTTACTTAAGTTATAAAAATCATAAAAAAATATTCCAAACTTTGTTGTACCAAGTACAACTGATTAATTTGGCCTGTCTCGTAATATATGTAAACCTAAAGAAAATTCCAAATAGAGAAATTTGCAGTCTTATTCAGTAAAATATACGTCATGCAAAGCAGTTTGACGGGACCACTTGTTCCGTCTTAAGAAGTTTTACGGTTTGTTCCGTATCCATCTTGAACACGCTTAGTTGTGTAAATAAATAAATAAAAAAATTGACCACAATATCATCGATTTAGGCACACACAATAATTTCAATGTAGGTTGATTATATTACCAGTGGCTTTGTGGTATATTGTTGGATTTGGGCCTTTGTCCATAAATTCTTTGGCGAGTCTTAAAAAGTCCTTAACAACTGAAAATATAAAAATACTATTTCAAAAAAAGATTTTATACTTATGAATAAGAAGATCTAATGTAGAAGATAGAAATATAAGTAAAAGACATTATAATCAATTTATTTAAGAGGTTCAACATAATATTTAACTACCAATCTCGTATTATGACTTATTAGTAATATACATGTACTTTAAAATAATAATACTGTACTTAAAATTGCTATAAAAATAAAATTTATAGTAAGAACAATAACATGTTCACAAAAAAAAAATTGTATTAATCGGATAACACTATTGCCTAACACTTCGGTCATGAGGTACAACAACTCACCGTTTTCCGGTTGTCTAGCCAACAGTTGAAAACTACTTCTGAACACTTCTTTCGCTGAAGTCATTATATTGAATGACGAATTTGTAAAAATTACAAATTAAACTTTACAAAGATAATTCAAAATTTAATAATAATTTAAAAAAAAAAAACACTTATCGTGTTTTATTAATTTCAACAGTACTTTAATTAAACGATATAGGCAAAATACTTATAGAGTAATGTTACAACTTATTTCTTATTATAACTTAAAAGTTATTCTCTATATCCATGAATCGTAGGTATGATATAAAAACGTAGCCTGTGGGAATTGGCCATTGGGATTTAATTATTCAAAATACGAATCATTGCATAACCGATAACGATAACAAGACGGGACAACATATTATTATCATTACGGCTAACGGTGATAACGTCATGTTATCGTGAGCTGCCAAAGTGGTTTACTGCGCTAGGGACCGGTCCGGTTTGCAAGACCGAACCGAATTCAAGGCCGCGGCCGCGGCCATAAGACATATGTTTACATTGGTATTACATAAGATCAGCTGTAAAAGCGCATGCGCCTTATCACGGCATTGGTGTTATCATGTTACATTATGTGCACTGCAGTTGTTTATTGCTATATGGTGTGTACACCGTAGAATGATATAGCGAACTGCAAAGCTATTGTGCTTTAGTAATTAGTACTTTGGCTACTACGTCGGTCGCCATACTACGTCTAGTAATGTAAAAACTAGTGAAGTCTATGGTGTCCATTAAAAGTTGATTGCAAATAAACGTATTGCACCGATGCGTAATAATAATACAAACTAATTACAATACCTATTAAACGATTATCGGCTATAACTTCTTGGAAAATCGTCGTTTATTCTCATTTTATGTTTACAAGACAAAAACATCACTTACGTTTCGAGTACGACAATACTTATTGTAGAGAGTATACGGAGAAAACATTTTAAAAGTGATTTTGTTTAAAACGTTTAAATCGAAATATGGCGTGTTTATTGTTTTCGAACAATATGAATAAAGAATAGAAGTAAGAAAAACGGATATAGTACCTACCTGCGTTGAAGATGGCCGAATGCGAATTGAGACAGAGAATAAAAGCAGAAGATGGGGAGGAAACGAAAAAAGCCAACGATGAAGTTAAGGTATCGGAACAGGAACTAGATAAAAATAATCAGGAAATGGTAAATATTGAAAGAACATTGCTAATTTCGTTAAGTTATTGTTTTTAAATAAAAAAAATAATCTACAGACTAAGTATGTCCTGCTTAATATAAATTACTAGTTTTTAGTTGTATACATTTTAGATATACTTCTTTGGATTCCGAGTCATCATGGTTTTTTAATGAGACAAACCATAAATGAGCGTATGAAACAAGTTTTTTTTGTCAATGTTCAAGTTTAAAACTTAGAGCTTAACATATATACTATATGTATTCAAAATGAAGTGAGTCATTTTTAAAGTGACTTGTCTCTTCATTCATTGTTTTGGTTTCTCGCACAGCATGTCCGAACCTTTGGTCTTTGGTCTCTAATATAACTAGTTCTAGCTTCTACGCCATAAGATAAATCCATTGTCAAAACTAGAACACATAACCTTTTTAATACTTAGTTGTCATAGGCATAGCTCTAATCGTACAGTCGCTTCGTGGCCATATGTTATCATGGATCATATTAGAGCTGTTTTTTTAGAGAATAATTTTTATTTTAAAAATTCAAGTAATGCGGAAATATGCCCTGTCTACGTTTTATATGTTAACTTGTTCAAATAGTTTGTTTATTAAATTTATTTATGGTTATATTACATTCTGTGCTTCTAAAAAATTATTAATTACCCAAAAAAAAAAAATCAATCAATTTTCATGGTACATTTTATGAGTTTTTTAGATTGTAATTGGAAAAATAAAATTCTGTATGCCTATTTTATAAGTACGTTTTTCAGGTCGATGATAGCACTCAGTCATATGTTTTAACAAATAACATGCCACCCATGGTTAGACGTTACAGGCCTGTACGTAAAATTTATAGTGCATATGTAAACTTACGGAAACTAAAAGGTCCTAAACATTGGTACGCAGGTTCAAATTATTTTGGTAATCAAGCTCTAACCAATAGTCGATCACATAGTAATCGTAGGTCTAAAGTAAGTCATCCAGTAGAACTTCATTCGCAAGGTCTTGGACGTAGCATGAATAAATGTAAAATGAGCTAAAATACATGGTGATGGGAATCTATTATAAATATAACAATATATTTCTTTTCTTATATTATTTTACAAAATAACGGCATGTGCATACGTTTTTATAAGTTAATTGGGTATATTATACCGGACTTGCTTTTAAAGAAAATTACTTAATTTTTTTTTAATTTAATCATAGCCTAAATTTCATTGCAGAACAATGTCAATATTAACTTGCTAGCAAATTAACAGTGTAATATATTATATTTATATATTTTGAATCGCTTAACTAAATTAAAAGAATTGAATGAATAGCTTATAAAATATATTTTAATAATAACGTTGAACTGAAAAATGAACAGGAGGGCAAGATAGAAAATACATTAAAGAATACCAATGAAAAAAAGAAGAACACCTAACCTAACCTATCAATTCCATTTAAATTCAAATTAATTACTTGCAAATTTATCACTACCCCAAAACCATATTTTAAGATAAATATTGCTCCAAACGAGTAATCCTTTGAGGGGATAAAGTCGAGGACTACGAGGAACTTCGATATTGGAAAACATTGGCAACTTTGGGTAACAGAAAATGAGTTTGGCAACTTTGGGTAACACAAATTTGAGTTAACCGATTGTTAGTTTTAGCAAGTTTTTTTTTTTTTTTAAATTAGGAAAAACAATGCTTAAAAGTGTTATCAACAGAAATATAAAAATATTAATATTCCACATTATATTATTAACCATAAAAAAAAAATCCTAACAATAAAAAAACCATTATTTAAAAAAAAAAAAGTTAACAATAAGAGAACTAAGTTGTTAAATATTTGTTTTTATTCAAATTTTAGTCAACAAGTTCAAAAAAAAAAAATATATGTTTGTTGGCTTTTAAACAATAGAAATAAACAATGTTTTAAAACTTAAAAATGTTCAACAGATGTTTTATACAAAACATAATGTTTAAACACGTAGTTATGTTGAACACAATTTTTTTCCAAATTTGTCTTGTAAAAAAAAATTAACAAAATATTGTATTAAAAAATATTGTTATAGTTTTCTAAGAGAATTACGTACCAACTATAATTAGTAGGAATTATTTATATGTATGTTTATTTTTGTGTATAGTCATCATTACATATTTATTTATAAATTTATAAAAAGCTTTCTAATTAACGTACAATACATTTGCTTATTAATAACCTTCAGACTTTGTTACCGTTTTTTATGCAACTCGACAAATATATAAATAACCTATTATAATGGTTTTGATATTTATATGTTGTAATTTATGTATTATTCATTTTTTTTTTTTTTCTAGAAAGAGGATATAGATTCTGAAGATGATAAAAACATAGATCTCTCGGCAAAGATACCGTCGGGTACCAATAAAATGCCACATATTCTAGAGACGCTACTCAGCGGAATTTCGGACAGGCAAGAATTTTATCCGGTCTAAATTTTTGTTGTATAAATTAATTTTTATACATTAATAAACAGGTGGAGAAATTGGATAATTCGTGGCATTTTCGGTTGGTTGATGATTGGCCTGTTTTGCCTTTTATGTTATGGCGGACCATTAGCCCTAATGATAGCCGTAAGTATTGCCGTAACGTCTTACCTAACATATTGTGTGTGATATGTTTTTTTATTCTATTACATAACAACCTTCTAAATCAGTTCTACGTCCTTTCAGGGCTTCCATCCGACCCATTAAAATAAAAATCTATCAAGGTTAAAAAACAGTTGAAAATAAATTTAAAAGTTTTATTTAGAATCGTATATTTTATTTTAAAAAAAAATGGTAATAATAATAGAAATGAATTTAATGCTAATTGTAAAATTGTTTTACATTTATAATTTTTCCTGCCATGGGAATATTTCAACATTAATCCATCAGAGACCTTGAGAGATTTATTTTATATTACATTTTTGCTTATGTCTAGGACGCATTCTTGTTCCCAATCATGGCTATTTTCTTTATTTTATTGTTATGAAGTTCCCCTACTTTTATTTCCAAGAATTGTTATGTAATAACTGAAAAATTGTAGGTTTTAACTATTCATTATGAAGTCATTAACGTCAACCGCTAAACAAATTAATAACAAGCAAGGCATTAAATGGTGTATTTCAATGATAGTTCAATTATCATTATCAATACAATTAAATTCAGTAACTTTTTGCTGAAATATTCTAAAACACTGAACATGAGGTAAAACTATAATAAAAATCAAAAGGTTAATGGCCTTTCTTACCAATTTAGCTTGAAAATTAAGTACATTTTTTGTACTTATCAAAATCATAAAAGAAACTTGCCAATGTCCATTTATGTAACAGACAATTGTTTACGTGATGTTTTGGTATAATCTTAAAAACTAAGCAATCATAATAACACAATTAAAAAATTTGAAACTTGCAAACCTCCTCCTGATTTAATATTGTTCTAATAAAAAAATTCCAGTAAAAAAAAAACCTTTTATGACCAACACACCAAATTCAAAAATAATATGAACTTAAATGATTTTTTCCCCAGGTTTTAGTTGTCCAAGTAAAATGTTTCGAAGAAATCATAAATATCGGATACTCCGTCTATCGTATTCATGGCCTTCCATGGTTTCGTTCGTTGTCGTGGTACTTCCTAATAGCTTCAAATTATTTTTTTTACGGGGAAAGTCTAGTCGACATATTTTCTGTAGTCGTAAACAGGACTGTAAGTACTACAAAAAAAAAAAATTAAAACTTGGTGCAAAACAATAACAATCGACTAATAACATGTTTCGTTTAGGAAAATATGAAAATGCTAATTAACTATCATCGTTTCGTCTCGTTCAGCCTGTACATCGCTGGTCTCGTGTGGTTTGTGTTGTCGTTAGTCCGAAAATATTACATGAAACAGTTTTCTCTGTTTGCTTGGACTCACGTCGCACTTATGATAGTCGTGTCGCAAAGCTACTTTATCATTCGGAATATTTTCGAAGGCCTCATTTGGTACGTACACGGTCAATATTTCACTTGTATAATTTTGATTAATGTTTTAATGTTAAACAAATTCCAGGTTTATCGTGCCGGTGTCGATGATTATACTCAACGATATTTGGGCTTACGTGTTTGGATTCTTCTTTGGACGCACTCCGCTCATACAAGTTTCGCCAAAAAAGACGTGGGAAGGATTTGTCGGGGGTGGTGTGGCAACTGTCATTTGCGGTATTGTAGTAAGTGTAATTTTTTCTTTCTCTTGCTAGTTGTACCGTAACATTCTATGATTTTTAAATATATGCATTATATGTTTCACTTTTCTAAACATGTTTTGTACCTTCACAGATGTCGTATTTCCTTTGCCAATACCCGTACTTTGTTTGTCCAGTCGAGTACAGCGATAAATTGGGCAGAATGGTTATCGATTGTGCGCCGTCACCATTGTTTACCCTTCATGAATATATTTTACCGGATATATTCACACGAACTTTGAGTATTGTGAGTTATATATTTCTCTTTATATAAATACTTGTATTTAAACTAAACACAATTACGTATGCATATAAAATGTCAAATTAAAAAAAAATTTCAATTCATATTTCTTCTTCAATTTTAAAAATATTAAACTTTTTTTTTTACCCACTGAAAACTTTAAAAACAAAACCAAAATTCCATAGTTTTATATGATACATATACTGCATTGTTTATTGAAATTCACCCAAAACAAAATTATTAATTGGAAAATGTATTTTAAACACGTCATTTGAAATAAAAAAAATTACAAAAAAAAAATTCTAACACCAAATTTCTTGCCACGGTACTAATAAATGTTAACATTAACTAATGTTTATTTTTTAATCAACAACAATACTTTTACAGTTTGGGTTGGCCAACAAAGTCACCATCTATCCGTTTATGTTCCACGCGTTTTGGATGTCGCTGTTCAGTTCCATCATCGGACCATTTGGCGGATTTTTCGCCAGCGGTTTTAAACGTGCATTTAAAATCAAGGTAATTTTCGAAAATAATTTTTTCCTTCTATCTTTTCTTGTTATTTATTACTTTTGCACGTTTAGGACTTTGGCGACGTTATTCCGGGACATGGCGGCATAATGGATCGTTTCGACTGTCAATACTTGATGGCCACATTTGTCAACGTCTATATCTACAGTTTTGTGAGCACGCCGACCTTGCAAAAAACAATTCAACAGGTATTTGTTTGCAGGCGTCTTTTTCATCGTTATCGTTGTTTTTTTTTTGATGGTGTAAAATAAAAAATATTATCGATCCAGGTGATCGCGTTAAGACCCGAAGAGCAGATGCAGTTGTTCAACTTTCTGAGAGGGTCGTTGGAAAATCGAGGTTTATTGAACGTGCAGTAAACGTACTACAAGCGGACATCACATTGCGGTAGTCAATCTTCACATTCCTTTTATTTATTTATTTTTTTTAACACTAAACAAAGTCATTGAACGCGATAATTTTCAAATGAAATATTTATTTATTTGTGTCTTGACCTATAGTATTCGGTGTTACAAAATATTTTACCAATTTTTGTTTTTTTTTATATATATATATATATACATACATATATGTATATTTATTTATATTTTCTCACAATTTATTAAATCTTTTGTTTTGGACATGTACAACGTTATGTGTCGAATTCACGATACATATTGTTAACTTCTCGTAAGACTTTATGTCCCGTTTTCTGTATTATTAACTATGTAAGATCCCCGATCTTTTGTCGCGTCTGCAATTAGTACAGATTCAATTATAATTATTAAGTTAACTGCAAAATCATCCTAAATTTATTTTCGCTTAACGTGTTGTTTGCTCTTAACAATTCTATTTTGTGTAAGTCATATTTAATCAAATAATATGTTTTTTTGACGTTAAAACATCAAACAAAAATATTAAAACATAAATTTATTTTGAATTTATAAAAAAAAAAAAAAATGTATTTATTAAAAACTGTGTAATAGTTGTTTGTCTTAAAAAAATTACATATTCAGGTTTGTCGTAGGTATTGTTTGGCTAACGTTAATTTAATAATTATTTATATAAGTAATTTTAGTAAATTATTATTGTTTTTTTTTTCTTGCGAGACTTACTTAAGACACTATTTAATACTGTTGATTTAATTAATATTACAATATCATATTACTGACTTATTAAATAGTTGACGAGTTTTGATCAATTTGTATTACGATCCGTTTTGTGTGGTGAAATTATGACGTTTGTATAGACTTACAGAATAAAGGTGTTGTTTATTCCTATTTTATGTTTATTTATTTTTTCAATTATAATTTATTTTCATTCTCTCCTTGTTTTTGTATTTGTTTTGTTATTTTAGTTACCGTGGCGACACTAATAATTTTATCAGTCGCTTCCAAGTGTTGTGTTATGTTATGTCTTTCTGTTGGTTAACGTTGACATACGGCTGCGAGATATGGACAACGATATTATCGTACAGGATCTGGAATTGCGTTCCCTCATCGGTTTCGACGGCAACCCGTCCAACGGTCTTATCCTGCATCCGGACGGCGTTCACTTGATCTACCCGCTCGGCACCAACATAACGGCGTACGACTGGTCGACGAAAAAGCAGAGGTTCTTCGAGGGCCACACCAACGTGATATCGGCCGTGGCCGTATCCAAGTCGGGCAGACTGATCGGCTCGGGCCAAGTCAACTACATGGGTTTCAGGTCGCCCATAATCGTGTGGGACTTCCAAAGCGGCCAAGTGGTCACCAAGTACGAATCGCACAAAGTGCGCGTTGAAGCCGTGGCGTTCTCTTGTTGCGAACAGTATTTGATATCGTTGGGCGGCCTCGACGACGGATCCGTCATTGTGTACGACGTCGACAAGAAGGAAGTGCTGTGCGGCTCGTCGTCGGTCAAGTCGACGGCGGGCTACACGACGGTGCTTCGTTCCGTTCATTTGCGCGGCGAATGCTTCATAGTGGCCGGCGACAACATGCTGCGCCTTTGGACGTTGAACAAAGAACAAAGGAACGTACAAGGGCTCGACGCGTCGTTTGCCAAAATCAAACGGAAAATACTTTGCGCCGAAATCGACTACATGGACGAATACGCTTACTGCGGCACCAGCACAGGTGATTTATTTATTGTTTTGGAAAGTGTTTACCGTTTTGGGTAAACTCGTTTTTATATTACCTATGTTAAATATTTGAAAACTATTGTTATTTACAACCGACATTTTGGCACAGGTGACATAATGAAGATCAAGTTGAACTTATCGCCGGACACCAACGTGACCGCACCGGCCGGTTCGCCGGCTCTGGTCGGCTGTTTCGCCAAGTATCCGACCAACGTGGGCAAAAAAAAGGCCGGCCGCGCCCCCGCCGTCGAGTTGTACAGCAACGGCGTGACGGCCCTTTATCTGATCATGGACGGCACCGTGGTCGTGGGAGCTGGTGACGGCACCGTGGAGTTGGTCAAACAAAAGCCCAGAGCCGGTGTGAAAAACGACAAATCGGAAAACCGCCTGGCCACGCCCACGCACCCGCTGTTGGTCGCGTTGAAATCCACAAACGTCGACTCCACCGTGACCAGCATACAGCTGATGAAAAACCTCATCCTCGTCGGCACCATTGGCTGCGAGCTGTTCACCGTCAGAACGGACGACTTCCAAGTGACCTGTTTGTTCACGTGCCACACATCTGTCGTGTACGACTTGGCGTTCCCGCACCGGTACAGCAAAGTGTTCGCCACGGCCAGCAAAAACGACGTGCGCGTGTGGTCGGTGGACACGCTCCAAGAACTGTTGCGCATCACCGTGCAGAATTTCACGTGTTCCGGCGTGCTGTTCTCGTACGACGGGTCGCAGATCGTCACCTCGTGGAACGACGGCAACATCCGGGTGTTCACGCCGGAAACCGGACGTCTGTTGTACGCCATCAACAACTGTCACAACAAAGGCGTCTCGGCCATAGCCATGGCCAAGGACGGCAAGAAGCTGTTGAGCGGCGGCGGCGAGGGCCAGGTCCGCGTGTGGTCGATCGACAACACCAGCGGCACGCTGCTGGCCGTCCTCAAAGAACACAAAGGACCGGTCAGCTCGATCGACGTACACGAGCTGGGCCACGAAGCCGTCACGGCCAGCGCGGACGGCACTTGCGTGGTCTGGGATATCGTGCGTTTCACCCGGCTGTCCATCATGTTCTCGTCGACCATTTTCACCAGCGCCAAGTACCATCCCAACGGCGCCCAACTGCTGACGTGCGGCACCAACAGGTACATCGGATTTTGGGAAGCGCTGGACGGGTCGCTGATTCGCGAAATCGAAGGCTCGTCGGCGTCCGCTCTCAATTCGCTGGACGTCACCCCGAATGGTCAGTGCTGTGTCGTTTACCCGTTTAGGTTATTATTCTTCTTATCATCTCCCTGTCCTGACCTAACCTAACCGTTTCCTCCAACCGTTGCGCTATGATTTATAACTCCCGACGCTCCTCATTCACATACCTACGGTGCTTTGCTATTTATGTGTCCTTTGTAAGTTCATCCGTTACTTACTCGATGATAAACTTTATCGACATTTCAGTTTTTTTTTTTTTTAATATTACGGTTTGTTTGCTTGTAGGCAGATACATCGTCACCGGCAGTTCCGACCAAATGGTCAAGGTGTGGTTGTACAACGAAGGCGTGCCGACCCACGTCGGCGTCGGTCACGCCGGCGTGGTCACCAACGTAAAGGTCAGTCCCGACGGTAAGTCCATAGTGAGCACGAGCGCCGACGGCGGCATATTCCTGTGGCGTTTTCCGCACGCCGATACGACGGACGCGTCGTCCCCGAGCCGGAACAGCGTAAGCGGCAGCACGTGCAGCAGCCTACGGGAACAGCAAGCCGACCGTTCCAGGCAATTGTCGCTGAAGAAAACGATGCCGGCCAAAAAGGAGAACATCAACACAATATCGAAAACGCAAAAAGTCAAAACGGACAGCAGGCTAGGTGCAGAGTGCGGAGACAACGTTATGTCCACAGCACAACAATTGGCCAACACGGCGGTCAAGTGTCTGTGCACCGGAACCTGTTCTTGCGACAACACCGGAAAGAAATGTAAATAATTTCCGGTCAAATGACAAAAGCGGCATATAATTTTTTACATTTAACATTTCTTACAATTTAAATAATCAAAAATAAATGCAAAAAGTTTTCTTTAAAAAGTCTCTCGGGCTCCACGGCCAAGAATATCAGGATATAATAATAATAATAAATTACATTTTATTTGAACAATTACAATTTTAGGCCAGTCAATAAGTATAACATTTTGGCAAATGGCCGAACTAATGTCCATCTAAATTTGTTTTTCAAAAGCCTTATTGACATGAGCATTTTGGAACGAAGTTCCTTATCGCGGGTTGGCGAGGGGACCTAGCCGAGAAAAAATGTTACGAAAACGCGTTATGAAAACTATATGTGGTGCGGTCGAGCGTGATCGGTTCCCAGGAGTGAGTGGTACCGGGTTCAAATCCGGCTACCCTCTCAACACTTTTTACATTTTTTTACAACTTTATTTTCAACTTTTATGGTAATTTATATTGCAATAAGTCTAAAAACGTATAAAATATTTATATTTTATTACTACAAAATACGTTTTTACCCTTAAAAGTACTTGATAACTGGCTGATAACTTGCACTGGCTCTTTATCTCTCTTCCTTTTTCTCACTATCTACTGTGATGCTTGAAACGGTGACTCTCTGACAAATACATTTATGAATATAGTTATTTATTGCATCAGTAATCAAAATTAAAGAGAGGGGTGGGTAGAGAGAATGAGAGCTTGGCACGTTAATGATTTTTTCTTATTCCTCACTTCAAATTCATTCTCACGTGTTACTGCTTACAAATTTCTTATTCCTAATTAAAATTCTTTCACCCGTTTTACTACAAGACGTTCGGAACTTGATAAAGAACATTATAATATATTTATATTTTTATTAAAGAATACAATTTTCTTTTCGAAACGTTTAATTTGTCTCTGAACAGTGATCCTACACAATCTACGACAAAATATAGTACAATCATTGATGCTGTTTTTCCAGATATTTGAACAAAATTGAGTCAAAAATATACGTATCATATTTTAGTCATCATAAATCAATAATTTCTATGATAGAATGCGAGATTTAGTAATATATAATAATATACATATGATAAAAAGATTTTATATCAATCACTTTTTACAAATTAATCGAATGCAACCATATGATATCTGAACTTTGTTCCTACCGAGGATCCCGTGACCCACTCAGTTTTTTTTTTAAAGCTCCGGAAAGCGCAATTTTTTTAACTTTGTTATTAACTTATAGTTTCAGTAAGAAATCAATTGTAACTTTGGCATATTTAAAAAAAAATTATATTTTTTAATCTTTTTTTTTTTCCTGATAATTTTGTTTATAACTGATAAAACAAACTTATTATTCTTAACGTTTTAAAAAACAAGGCGTTGGTGAGTAGGCAAACTCTCTTACGCTTGTGTATATTTGAGCGTATATGGCATCTTTTAGAATGGTAGTGTATATTTAACAAATAATCGTACAATTCCAATTAGTTTTTTTTTTTAATTTTCATATAGTATACTTATTTTGTGTTCACGTAACAGGTTGTGTACTAAATTTAAAGTTTGTAAACACATATTAGTCTTCAAAATCCACATTTATAGGGTTTTGAGTAATTTTTTTTATAATATAAAAAATGTTAACAGATTTATTTTTCACAGGTCGTGTTGTAAGTATATCTTAGACCTATCTTTAGACTAATTTTCAGCCATTAAATCCTAAAATTGTGCCAAAAAAATTCCAACTTCTCCGAGAGGAATGCATTTAAATATATGTGTAATTTTAATTTAATCGGATTTAATTAAAAATGTATTTAAAATTAATAATTGGATAATCGTTCAAAAAAAAAAAAAATCGTACTAATTATTTAAGTTTTTTTTTTAAATTACATTATTGTTTTAATATTTATTCAAAAAAGAAATCATTTAAATAATGCCCAGGTTCGGCCCATAATATAAATTAAGATATGAAACTGCTAATCAGGAATTTTTCTAAAGAAGGCTACCTATAAGTAACATACTTGGTTCGCTATCAAAAAAATTCAGGCAATTGTTAGTCGGCATATTATAATAACGGTTAAGTTGAAAAATTCCGTCCAAGATAATTTAGTATTTATTAATTGTAATAAGTATAATACAATTTTTTTGAATAAGACTGTTTATTATGTTTTTAAAAAATTTCATATAAAAAATACATTTTTATTATCAATAGTAATAAATTATAAATTTTATCATTTACGAATTTAGACTCTGCGAAATTGTAATAATATTAATATAACATGTACCTATTATAATAGTTTAATAATAAATACTATTTTAATTTAAGAAGAAAAAATCAATCAATAGTGTATATTTTACACGCTACCCACACAAAAAAAAATATATATATATATAAAAAAATAGTATAAATAAGTATTTTTGAAAAGTTTTCAAACTTTAAAGATTAGCCTTTATGTACTTGGCTCGTTTCAACAAATCTTTGACATTGTCTCCCAATTCCTGGTCTATCTGAGTGAAATGGAAAACGGCTTTTTCCTAAACGATGGAAATAAAATAATCGATCAGAAGTCTATATTTAACTAGTAAATTTAGGAAAATATTGAAATACTTGTATAAAGTCTGCGGCGTTTTTTACATTGTCGGCTAAATTTTCTGCTAATCTCTTTTGTTCAGCTTTGGACATGACTTTTCTGTAAAGTTGGCCGGCTTGACTGTAATTATCGTCATTACTCAAATCGTACCTGTTGAAACAATATAATTTGTTTAAATATTTGTATAATAAAAAAAAAATGGTACAAATTGGGACAAAAATAATATTTTCCATCGTTTGAAAAGCAAACATTGAGTTTTTAGTCAAACGTCAACGACTTATGTATTACTTTTAACATTTCAAAAATATTTAAATACAAATTGAACAAACGTTTAAAAAATGTAATTAAAATTGCCATTGTGTAATTAGAAATGTTTTATAATATTTTGACATTTTTAAAACGACAATCAGCAAATAGCAATCGGTTCATACTTATCGACATCGCCAGAGACGGGATAAGGTGACAAATAAGCATGAGGCTGTTGTTCTGGACCGGAAAAACTATTCGGGTAATAATTTGGAGCCGATCCTTGGTTGTCGAAAGCTTGTGGCCCGTCGCGTTGATAATTAGTAACTTTCGATTGATATGGACAATTTATGGGCAATTGTAGATAATTTGCGCCCAAACGATGACGGTGCGTGTCACTGTACGAGAACAGACGACCCTATAACAAAATATATTTTTCCTTGATAAAAAAAAAAGTGAATTATAAGATTAATTCAATTTTAACCTGGAGAAGTTTGTCTGGACTCGGTTCAATGCCGGGCACCAAATGTGCCGGGCTGAAAGCAATTTGTTCGACTTCAGCGAAATAGTTGGTGGGGTTACGATTCAACACGAGTTTGCCGACTTGTATCAACGGATAGTCGGTGTGCGACCAGACTTTGGTTATGTCGAAAGGATTGAACGAACAAGTGGCTGCTTGTTCAAAAGTCATAACTTGAATGTAAAGAGTCCACGAGGGGAAATCACCGTTGGCTATGTGATTATACAAATCGCGGTTCGAGTAGTCAGGATCGTCGGCGGCTAGATCCCGAGCTACCTTCACGTCTAGATTTTTGATTCCTTGGTCAGTCTACAGTAAATATTGGCAATTAATATAATTGTAATGATGCAAGTTGACAAAAAAACAACTATGTTGGTATTATTTTTAACAATTTACTTTGAAATGAAATTTGACGTAAACGGCCGTGTTGTTTGCATTGACCATTTTAAATGTGTGTGACCCGTAACCGTTCATGTGACGATACCCATCCGGAATGCCTCGGTCCGAAAACAAAATCATGACTTGATGCATCGACTCGGGACGCAGGGTCAAAAAATCCCAAAACATATTAGGATCCTAGAAATTAATATATATATATATAAATTATTACAATTCATATGCCAGCCATAGCTTAATACAATAATATAATATGTTTGTGTTCAAATTAAACCTTTAAATGTGTGGTTGGATTTCTCTTTTGAGTGTGAATAAAACTCGGGAATAGTACTGGATCTCTTATGAAGAATACCGGAGTGTTGTTGCCGACTAAATCCCATATTCCATCATCGGTGTAAAATTTACAAGCAAAACCTCTCGGATCTCTGAAAAATATTAAATATTAGTTTTACACTAAATTAAATTAAATGAGCACATGATTATAAAAGTTTCCATATTTTAGGTATTAATCTTATTTATGATAATCAATTTTACAAATAAATACAATTTTATTTTTTTAACATTTAAATTACAATAAAATGTATAATAATATTTTTAAGTCATTATCCAACACAATTATATATTGATTTAATGAAAATTGAAATAAAACTAAAAAGAAAAAAACACTTAAATAAAGTAAATTAATAAAAAAATATTTGTATATTTATTTACTAACTTTATCAAATGTGGTTACATAGTTTTTTTAGCTTTTTTCATTGTAGTAAAACCCATGTGGTTTTATAAATGCGATTTGTATAACGTAAACATTTTTTAAACAATATTTAAGTAACTCATTGTTTGTTACAGTTAAATAATAATAATGAGACCAGACAAAGCTGTATTAGATCAGAAAAAAAATAATTTGACAGCTCAAATAAAAATATATTTTATATTAGTAAATTATTATTAGCTACGATGCAAAACCGAGAAAAGGTAATAATTTTCCAATGTTTTTTTTTTTTTTTTGTAATCTCACTGAAAGAGAATGGTCAGGTCTGTTTTTCATGTTGCCAAAACCTAAACCCTCATTAAATAGTTGTATACATACCTTACTGTGTCAGCCGACCCCGACTCGCCGCCGACAGTTGAAAATCGTACAGCTACAGAAGTTTGTTTGCCGATACTGGAAAAAACTGAAGCTTTGCAATACTGGCTGATATCGTGTGTCACTTCGAAGTAACCTTGTGCACCTAAAAAGAAAATTTTATGTAATTTAATAATAATACTAGTCTGTTTTGTTTAAGTAGCACAAATACAAAATCCAAAATCATACTATACAAGTATCTAGTTAGAAAATTTAAAAAATGCAACATTTGCCACACTTACTTCCTCCTTTGGCGTGGACAACACGTTCAGGAATGCGTTCCCGGTCGAAATGAGCGATTGAATCCAAATAAGTAAAATCTTGCAATAAGAGTGGACCACCTGGACCGGCCTGAAGCGTGTTGGTAATATCGTCGACTGGTGCGCCGTTTCCGGTTCTCAAAACTCCTACCGACTGGAAAAAAAAATAATTTAAATATTTTTATTAGAACAGTTATATTATATTAATTATTAACACTGGTTATAGCTTGCTATAAGTTGTAACTAAAACAAAAATTATAGGTGATTTCTATTTTTAAATTGTGGTAGCGGTATTACATATTTAGTTGGGAAACAATACCAACGCAAAGTAAAATTTGGGTATAAATTAAGCGTGCTATTATTATTTAATAAGCATATCTTTATATATAAATAGTTTATTTATAGGAAAGAAAAATGTTCACTTATCAAAAATAATTGGTTGTAATGAAAGTATAAATGAACTTATAAATATTGTTGAAAAATTAATTAAATACATTTTTTTAAATAATAATTACTTGAATTGGTCTTTAAGTAACATTCAGGTGTGATGAAAACTTTAATGTATATTTTAGAATGGGAAAATATCATAATATTTTGTCTAAATTATTGTAATTATAATTTATAGTTTTCATAATATATGGGTAACCTTTAATGGTATAAACGTATTATAATTAATTCATTTTTTTCAGAATGAATTCAATAATAATAATTTTTTAATTAAGTAAGTCATTTTTTTTTTAATTTAAGTTCATTAAGTATAATATACTGTGGTATTTACTTTTAAAAACATTAGCTTTGACTATTGGCTTAAATCTAATAGTAAATTTAGTTAAATATTTGTGATTATAAAAAATGTCCTATAAAACAAATTTGTGAAATATAGACATTAGATATCCAATTATAAAATATCGCATCGTTGCAAAAAAAACTTTTAAACTTTTAACAGTTATACATATATTGATGATTTATGCTTAAGCTGTACGTATTGCGTCAAGTTTTAACCATATGATAATTATAATAAATGGTTCATATTATTTTTAAAAAAAATTAACAATATCTGGTCCAAAATTATAACAGTATCCAGTTTTTAAAAAATTGTAGTTTTTAATTATTGTGATAACTGTAATAAACTTAATATTTATTTGGCGATTCTTGCATGTAACCTTCAGAAACAAAATAATGCCAAAATCAACCAAGAGTCAAGATCCTAAAGTGTATTTATATTATTAGGTACTTGGTACTAAATTAGATAAAGAAGGTTAAGAAAACCCCAAAACTGATCTATACAAAAATATTTTATCTACAAATAATAAAATAATTTCCTATTACGATAAAAAAAAAATAGTTTTATTTAAATAAAATAATAGAACAAATATTTGGAACGATAAAAAATTATTTTTAAAAATCACAAAATTATAAAAGAGAAGGTGTAAATTGTAATTAATGGCTTGACCTTTAACCACATGTTTTACTTGTGTACTTGTGTTGACCGAAAACAAATTTAATATTCATTAACTACGTTAAAACTCAATAAGGACGAATAATAATGGCCTTGGTACAAATAAGTTAATGGTACCTATATAGCTGATATAGGAGAGTGGGGGGGGGACAAACGTTTTCAAAGTTTCATTAATATTCCTTACGGTGAAAGGTGTCTACAATACAAATCGAACGAACAATAAGCAAGCCTGGTTGAGAAAATTACCAAACACTACTATACAATATTACAATTATTAAAAAAAAAACTTCTACTGCATTTCTAAAATAACTTGCTTTGGTCTCTATTCCGTTTTGCATTAGGAGCACCACTTAGAGCTATGAATAATTTTGATTTTTGACCATGAATACCAAAAACCGTTTAACAATGGTTCAATCAATAAGTGGGTAACATAATATTACAAAGGACGTCACACGGCTGTAGTCTGTAAATACAGTTAACCATTGACTGTCATAGGTTACAACACATCATGTTACCTACAACCTAACCGCTGCGCTGCTACAGCCAACCAACAGAGTCTTCACTTTTGTGGTGCCTACAGCTTTCTACTTAATATATAATTAAAAAACAAAAACTTACTAAATATTTCCATGTTTTTATTTTGCATAAGTATAAGGTTCATTTTTTTATTAATTATAATTTTGGATAATTTTTTTAAATGATATTGTGTTCGAATTTTTAATACTACATCATTTACTAAGTATTGTACAAATTTTCATTATTGTTAATTTGATTAGAATATAGTATATGTATTATTTATGTATAGTATCATACTTGAGCATTATAGTATTGTAAAAATAATATACTTTATAATATACCAATTTCGCGAACAAATACTTAACATTTTTCGATAATTCATAAAAATGTTTACAGTCTCGAAGAAAACAAATAGGTACATAATGTTATTTCTAAAAATTCAACACAAGAAAATTATATTAATGGAATTCACCAACCTTCCTTAGGAAATAGCAAGTTGATATTAAACTTGTAAGATTTTGAAGATGTCTTGAGTCATAAATTCAAATTGGACCATTTAATAATTATTTCAAAATAATATTTGATATTATATCAACATGCACGTTTTAAATTTTCTACTGCATAATTATTATGTCTTAATACACCTTTATTCTCAAAAATAAAGCTTGCTGCCTGCTGTTACTGTAGTTTAAGTTTTCCACTTTCTTCTTAGTAGAGTTGCTTAAAATTACCCATCGTTAGGTACTTAAACGTGATTTAAACAACAAAAACAAGCGTTCTCAATACAAAACTATGATAATTTTCATAATTATGCATGCAACGTCCAATGGGTTGATAACTAAATATATAAATTAAATTTGTAATAAATACAAAAATTGTTGTATTAATATCATCTATGATATCACTATGTTGTGGACTTTAAGTGTGTTAATTTCGACGATCAAAGATGTGGAGAGTATTTACAATTGATATTGTTTATTTGTCTATTGTTTAATTGATTACATTTGTAATCAACGATATAATTATTACATATTGTGATTTTGCAATTGTGTGTGACCAATAATTATTATGTGCAATTATGAACGAGACATTAAAGGTACACCATATATAGATATACCATATATAATATAATACCTGACGACTCTTGTTATTTTTATAAAACTCGGGCATTTGTAAACAAGGCAAAAACAACAGTGTTATTTTACGTCCATAATTCCAATTACGAGGTGGCTTCAAAATAAAACAACATAATAATATAACTGTTATTGAAATTATGAAATTATCATATTTTTTAAATAAATATTCTTCACGTTGACTTGTGTGGTGGACTTGTGTAATTAATTATGAATTCCCACGACCGTGAACATATAAATAATAGGACGGTTAATATAATTAATAAGAAAAAAAAAGATTAAAAACGTTTCACAATGTTGTGTCATTAATAAAACCAACAATTATATTGTTAACGGTGTCAATAATTGTTTAATAACTAATAAAATATTATCTTGATTATTATATAACGCTCGGAACTGTCGTTTGCTATTATCAAATTGTTGTTCACCAAAAGTATATTATATGTACAACTAGAATAATTAAAGTAAATACTAAATACATCGCGTAACTATAGTTTGGTAACAACAACATGAGTCATGACGATAATTAAGACAAGAAATTGTATTAAAAAAAAAAATGATATTTTTATTTATAATATAATATAATATGTAAGTGAAATTAAATAGTTAATAATTACACCATATAACGCGATTTTGAATGAACCAAAATACATCCGAATTGTTAAACCACAGATTTTTTAGCTCAATCCGAAATCTATAGCCCCTGAATTGTTCTAGCACTGATAAGTTGTAAAAAACACAGTTATTTTTTTGACGTGTTTTGTATGTTTGTATGATGTTTTAATATTTATAACATATAACATATTGTATTATATTTTCTTTGTTGAATTTAGAACTGGTTTCAGAATTAAAGAAGAATTTTCAATAAACATAAAGGGAATTAGAAATTATTTTGGTTTTGTAGGTTGTATAAAACTCTTAAGGCGATTTCAAAAAGATATTGACGTGCTGGAGAAATTCTGAGGTCAGATTCGGTTTTAGCGAAATAAATTCAAAGCCAAATAAAACAAATATATTTGGTTCATGTTCCAAAAAAGAGGTCAAATTCTGTTGTACAGTGTTATTATTAAGACCTATATCTTTTCGTTGTATACTATACATACCGAATACACGCATATGGTTTGCAACGTTTTTAAAAAACGTGTCTAGCCAGCCATTCTAAGATTTACTTAAGTAGTATAATGATGGTTTTTTTTTGTTCAATCCTAAGGTCAAAAAATATCGTAGGCGCACTATCTTAGAAGTTTGATCTGCACATATCAAGGTTTGTCCCTGATCCTAAACGCTTTCTAAACAACTGATACTACTTAATACTTTGACGTAAAGGTTCATCCCACGCACAGAAAAATAATATCTACACAAATACATAAAATACGACTGCAAAAAAGGGATTAGTCCAATTAAGTTTGGTAATCAACCAAAGAATTTTAGTCATTTTAGTCTTCAGAACTTAATGTATTCACATTGGGGAACTTTTAAAAAATATTATAAGCAAACATAAGTCCAAGAAATAATCATGATTTACTTATGGCAATTATTGTTCGATTTGAATGTATCAAGAGAGGAGTTATCTTGATTTTAACAGGTTAACCGCTATAGAGAACTTAAAAATGTTTGGCCATACATGCCCATATTGAACAATTATGTTAAACATTATCTTGAGTCCAGCAAGAAAAACAACCTTGAACCTATCACTGTTAAACATGTATCTTATCAGATTCGTATTATACCAATATAATATATTTGAAAAAGACAATTTTTTATTGGTTCTCAGTTTAAAAAACACACAAAATCCTATGACTAATGTTAAACTTTAAAAAAACCATTCATGTTTAACTGCGGATCGTAAAAACATACATACCTTGCAATTTATTTTTTTAACGTGTGATAACGGCTTTTACAAGATTTTAAAAGTAAGTAGGTATGCATTTATTATTTACTAAGTGATGTATATATATATATATATATATATATATATAACTACTACATATATTGCCTTGACTTGTTCAGTCATAGTCATTTTAGTAACAAATATTTACTGCCGATTGTTGTCAGTTTCCTTTAGTCATAAAAATTGATTTTTGGTTATACTTTAACCATAGACTATGTCAAAAAGACTTGAGTGTGATCACAGAATCGGCTTAATTATTATTATTATTAACAGCAATAAAATAATACAAGTATAATAGAAACTTGAAATTATATAGTTTACAACAAATTGGGAAACTCAGGGATTTATTATACTCAGGGAAAAGGACAATTAATGTAAATGTAAATTTAAACTTAACTTATTTTTTATCACTTTTGACATTTTTTATCAGCTTTCAAAAAAAAAAAAAAATCTTTAGTATTGCCAATTGTTTTTCTGAAACATTCCTTTTGTTTTGATCGAAAATGATTGTTTTTAAATTTTTAGTTAAATCATAAACATAAATCAGATTAACGGGCCTTTTCCATAGCTATTATAATCAATATTCAAGGACAAAGCATGTATTAATTTCGACAGTCGAACATCGTAATATTTGTAATAAAACAATAATAAATATCATGTTTCGTTTCATTGATTGATAGTGTTTTTGGTTTCAACTACGTGCCTAACGTTGTCTTTTAATAATACAAAATAACCTAATTCACAAGACACAAAAGTTACTAGACAAAAATAGGTACTAGGCACGTGTTAGTACGAGATTCAAATATAAATAATGATACAATATAATAGCATAATAGTAAATTGTAAATAACATTTAAAAAAAATCCTCTAGCCGCACTTAACAAAATAATATATCATAAAAACAAACATAAGTTAGGTCGAGTTTATTTATCATTTTTAAGAACATTAAAAAATAGTACCAGCTATCGTAAAAGGCGTAAAAATGTACACTTATAAAATATAATTAAAAATTATTATACTTCAGCGAATAATTAAAACTTACCAGTTTTCAAAATAAATGAAGCCCGTACAATGTTACGCAGTTCAAAAACTTTTATTATTATTATATTTTTTTTATAAAAATAATTTAATCAGAGTTGTTCATTATTTGAATATTTTTTTACCTAAATAAAGTGATCAATAAAAAATTATCTTTTATTTAATAATTTATTATTTGATTACCTAACACACATTTATAAAAAATAAAAATCTTATTTTAATTTATTATTTAGGAAATGTATTTAAATAAATTTACATTTGTAAACATCTAAGATAATATTTTATCTATAGAGATACGAATAAAGTTAAGGTATAAATAACTTATTAATAAATACTTTATTCATCGCATCAAATGATCGATAATTTATCAGGTATCTTATTAAAAATTTGCCTAAATTCGAACACAATTATATTTGTAAATTTCTACTATCTAAAATACTACTACACTTTTGTCTGACTTGAATCATTCTTACGGTTTGGTAAGCAGTTCAAAAGAATGGCGTAACCACAACTTTTTCAATTGTAAAAAAAAAGGTTTATTGATTATTTCTATAATATTGTAGACAAAATCGATTTAATTAATAGAACGAAACAATGCGAAAATTATGTGTACTCTTAAATTCAAATGATGAATCAATAACGAGACTACCTAACATACTGTAGTAGGTATTATTTTCCCCTGGAGCTATAGGTCAACATAACCGGATTAGCTGGAAATAAACTTGAACGTTATTTATGAATCCAGACTCAAGGATTCAGTAATTACTTTGAATCGCTTTATATAGTAAGTACTAAGTACATTTGGTTAATAAAACATTTTAATAATCAATGATTGCGCAACAATTTAGGTACTTACCTTAAGTATTTATTTTAATAATAAAAAAAATTGGAGATGATAAAAAAAAATTATTAAAGAATTTACGTAATCGACAATAAATAGTCTCAAATAATTTCTAACAAATAATACAAACAAAATATTAGAAAACTAATAACGCTGTTATGATATTATGTTTTCTTCGTTTTAAAAACTAAGATGATAATAATAATTATTGATATTATTCAATAGATAATTCTATCAATAGAATACTATCAATGTTTTATTAAACAGCTATTTTTTTTTTGTACAGTAAAAATACGTCATTGTATGTGATTATCATTTAACAATTAAAAATACTAATCAAAAGCGGCTTTCACGTTCCTTACATATTAAATACAATGACTTATCAACAAAGAAAGTGCATCATATCGAAATTATAAATAAATCATTAAACACGTTAAACGTGTAATCGTTATTGTATTAAAATACAATAATTTATATTTTTAATATCCAAACTGACTTGATGCGAAAAAAATTATTTATACCAACAATAATACACACCACCAATCTCCTGTCGCTTATAGCGTTTAATAATATTATGTTTCTAGCTTATAAACTATACTCAATATTTATTTTTTAATTCTTTCTTTTTGGGTTTCAATTTGATTTTTACATGTCACTTTAACCCGATAATGGTCCATGACCAAAAAATGTAGTTAATAATTATTATGAGATGAATATAATATTTTATATATTAATTTTAAACTATATACTCTCAGCGTTTTTATACACGAGCGTATAAATTATATTTATAAGATCTTTTATTTTGTTCTATAGTGTCCGTTATAATTTGTATTAAAAATTGTGTTAACCTTAACATTAAATAATTATTATAGTTAATTTTTTTTTTTTTTTGTAGGTATGTAAACGCAATATTTAATTGAAATTAACGACTAATAATCAAAATGCAATTATAATCTTCTTACCTGAACGGTCTTTTTGTAATCTTCTAGCTGCCTGTCAGCAGGATCTTTGTCGTTGTTTGCCATTTCGACTACCTATAAATTAATTCGTTAATGTAAGTATAATATTATAAACAATTAATCGTGAAGCGTTGCCACAAATTGCGTACGTTATGTATGTATATTGTATACGTTGATCGGTATTATTGTTTTCTATCAGACACGAGTATCGACCAACGACATTAGTGATTGAATGTTAACAAGTAACTACTCTTAACTCAGTAAATACCGGATTGACGAGCTCAAAGAACTCGTTCGTGCCGCTGCTACTCGGTAAACCAAAGTGCTGTGATAACATATTATCAGCACAACGCAATGAAAGCGACGGCCGACTACTGATAACAATAAAATTACCACAGCCGGCGCCGGGCGCTGTAGTCAAACAAGGTTTGCCCGCGTTTTAACCTACCATACAAAATGTTGTCAAGTCATACCTTGTTAATGAAATATAATATTATGATTATTATAACGCTCTATGAGTAAAAATAAAACAAACCTATTTTACATTCTCTTATTCTCATCCGACATGAAACAACCAAATATTATAAAAAATATAGCTTTATGAAATAATACAATTTTTTTTTTAATAATTATTGTTTTTTAACCATTTGAACTGTCGATAAAACTTTCTAAAAGTAAAAGAGTTATCTTTTTTATACGCTTTTCTTTAACTCGCTAACACGTACGTACGTTGTACGGATATTTCTCAAATCTTGCAAAATAAATTTAACCCACTTCCCAATATCACAGAAGGCTGAAATTTAACACATCTCTTTTTGGATGACAATGCAATGTTCCGACCCGGACATTCAGGTCGCAAATGCTAAGGGGTCAAATATGAGGGTCATTTCACAAAAATTTCAAGTTTTTTCAAATCTTCCAAAATTAATTTAGTAATCTATTCATCAATTATTAAATACCTTTAATAGGACTAAAGAGTAAAAAATAAAAAATAATTTTTTTTTTTTAAAACATGCTTCTCTAAAAAATAGTAAAAAAGTGAACTGAAAAGTAAAAAATAATTTTACTACAAGAACAATTTACCAATCAATTGTGGCACATTTTATTTAAAATATCAATTACTTTCAAAACAACCGAAAATTAACTACAACTTTCAATAATGTTAAACATCTTTAATTTTTTACTAAAAGAAAAGCGTGGGCCCTATTCAACAAAGTCCAAATTCATTGAGTTAAGTATTATAAAATGTATGTGTCACACACTAATATTGGACCAAATTTAAATTACAAAAAAACTTACAATATAAAATATTATCTGTAATGTTATCTGATAAATTTATTAGGGACTTTGTTGAATAGGGTCCACGCTTCTTTTTTTTAGTCAAAAATTAAAGGTGATTAACGTAATTAAAATTATAAATGAGTTGGCAATAAGTAATTTTTTAGTTTAAGCTTAGAAAGTATTTTGTGCTATCCAAAAAATATTTGTTTGTTGGGTTTGTTTATAGATTTGCAATGAAATTACGCCCATGTTGGATTGAACTCAATTGTTTAGTATGCATGCATTTTTTCGGGATTAATTATTTATTATTGTATTATATGAAAATGACATATCATGTTAAAAAAAATCATAATATTTTAAGGGGCCTCTACACTAGCATTTATTAAAGCGCATTGTATAGGCAATTTTTCACTTAAATTTTACATTAAGCTAAAATTGTTCAACATAATATATATTACCTACCATACGAAAAAATAATTTATTTTTATTATATAATAATCTCATAACTATACTTACCATCTAGGGATTGGGTCGTGACTATACTTATTAAGGGGCAAAATACAGGTAACTTTTGTCAAGTTATTGTCAATTTGTTTTATTCTTGGGTTTAATATTTACGTGTACTACTTTTTCTATGAATTATAGCCATAATTGGTGAACAGACTCGTATGACATGAGTAGGATAACTTCCTATAACTTGTTTTTTTTAATTGACTACAGTTTTATATCAAATTCCTGATTTTTTAAAAACATTTGTACAGTTTTATCAACTAAACTTTTTCGTTGGCAACTAAATTTAAATCCGAGATCTATAAGCAAATTGTAGGAAGTCTTTCTCATTAAAACTAAAATTATAAAAATCCGCTTAATTATCGAGTCATGCGTTAAAACAGCGCATACAATCCCCTTAAAACAAAATATCGTAATGTAATGATAACAGCAGTAAATAACCATCAACCAAGTCTAATGCAAATGTATAACATATTATATTATTATATTGTTTTCTAGACATTTCGGTAGATTATAAAGGAAAGAAACCCGAGAAGATAGAAAAAAACAATAGTAATAAAAAATTAAATCGTGACTACCGGATTGCCTATACAAAACTCCTTAAAAACAGACTGCATGCATTCCCCTTAATAAAATATGTAACTCCAATATTATAGGGCAATATTAAAAAAAAGTGGTTTTAATCAATTTCGACCATGCCAATTTATTTCCAGGACAATTCGTAAAAGCTTCTGATTATACCTAATTTTAAACTTAAACAATTTTTTCTATGAGTAAAATACATTTTGGTCTTACGTTTTTTGTGGCTGTATAAGCCGTTAGTGTTTCATACTAGGATGAGAAAATATTTTTGAGGTTTATAGATTGCTAATCATTATTTTCTAATGAAAGGTGGTTTAGTACTGTAGTAAGGACGGAGAAGAGTGGATAGATTAAATATTCAAGCTAACCTACCCTTAAAAATTCACCTCTTATAAAAATTATAGTAGGCATATGCTACAATTTCTGAAAAAATAGTTGGACTTGGGTAGTCAGCCCCCCTTCCCTATTCGAGCACTGGCTATAGATAGCCCTTTGCCTGAAAGAGACATAGATATTTCTATGAAAAAATTACTGCTTTTCTCTCTTCCCCATTTCGGAACGTCACCCCTTATTTTTCTAATGCAGACATGGCTATTTTTTCATTATCTATGGCTTGAACAGAGTAGAACCCAGGTGGAACCGTTCTGTCCGTTTTATTAGTAATTTTACGATTATAGCTGTAGTCCAAAGTGTTGTGATTATGTTAGGCAATTAGGTTACGTAAAATCAACGTCGACTGTTTGCGACAACGACGTAGCGAAAATTAGACACAAAATTATATGAATGTGTAAAAGAAACACTTTAAACGTACCTAAAATTGAAAACACGTGTTGTGTGTGAAATCAAAACCTGTTTTAGATCATTTTTAATTTCAGAAAGTGGATAATAACTTTATAAGTGGGCAAATTATAAAGATACCTACGGCCGGTAAGTGCAGCATGTGACATGAACAGCTAACTGCTTTAGATTTTTTAACAATGGTAATAACAGTACTTAAAAATGTTTAGGCTGTAGTTTATAATAGTTACATGCAAACGTCAACTTTTATTCTGGCCTAAATTCGGTTGTATAGACTATAGCGTGACAAAGTTATGACTTGAAAAATAAGCAATTTTTTTTTCTTAAATTGAAGTAATGTAAAAACTAAAATTACAAATAAAATTAAAACAGCATTTGTATTTTGGATAGGAGAAGGTTCGATTATGGACTATGATAAGAAGAGTGGATATTTTCAATATTCAATTTTCAACCCATTTAAGTGAGTATATTCCTCATGGTTAGAATAAATCGGGCCAAAGAAGTATATGTTAAAAGATACCATTAAAAAAACACTCATTATTATTGTTAAACCAATAACTTTTCCAACCTCTATGTGACTTTATGCTGTGTCGGTTTAAATCATGAAGTTAAGATTTTTTTAATAGCAATTATTGTTTATTGAAGCAATGTTTGTACCGTTAGAAATTAAACATAATAATAGTAAATCAACATTTATCGACCGACCACCACTTATTAATTAACCATATGTAATTTGGGTATCTAAATAAATAAGACAATAATTTATAAAACTTACCGAAGCTAAAATGCCAGTGACGAAAAACAGGAAAATTTTACGGGCCATCATTTTGGTGGTAAAATTATAAATAAACTCTTACAAAAATGTTGTTTCTCGTCCTTTGAGTGTTAACAGGAAATGTCACACGTAATGATTATTTGCCTATTTCGATACAGATGTTATGATTTGTAAACTTGTCAAAAATAAAATAGGACAGTTACACATGTGTGAAAATACATTGTTAGTACCTGGTAAATGTTGTTTTTTTAATTAACAATATACAATATCGATGTTATTAAATATCGATTATTATAATAGTCAATTGAAATGTGGGTGTTTATGTTATAGTAATTAGAGTTAATAATGAAATATTATATTCTACGCGAAGAATAACTAGTAAAAGTCAGCAAATATCATTTCGTCGCATGAACCTCCAGAAATGGAACTACATTCCGCATTCGATAATTCTTGTCCGTTAACAAACCCCACCATAAAAAAATTTGGCTTACTTGAGGAGGGGAAGCATATCCTTTTTTAAAAATGTGAACATAATGTGTAAACCTAGGAATTGGCGTGTCTCCGCAATTTACTTAATTTTATAAGCCGAGATATAATTATTACAACAAAATCACAAGTCTTATAATTCGTCGTACCTGGTATGTTGTAACAGACCTTAGAAATTAAAAATTATTGATCTGAAAAATACATGTACTCACGTATGTATCCGTGGTATTGAAGCCAAAGTGTGTTTATCAATATAGGTATAATGTAAATATTTTTGTATGAAAAAAAATATGTATATAATATATAAAAATATTTAAAATCGCAACAAGCAAATGACAACTGGTTAAGGAATTTCAATTTTTTTTTTTTTTTGGTATACTTTTTTGTGATTATAAAGGGTGGCACAATGGAAAGAGCGATTTTCCAATGTATTTAAATGAGGAAATAGCTCATTTCTTTGACCTATAACAGGTCATATACTACATTTCTAGTTTTTAAACCAATAATTGTCTTCAAAATCCACATCCCTTTTTGGGTTTTTTATAATAAAAAAGTTTTGATTACAGATTTTTTTTTTACACAGGTTATAACTTAAAGGTTCGTGTTAGACCTATTTTCAGGGAGCAGGGGGTTGTCGAAATTTGGGTTTGGGGCCATATGTGGACAGAGGCATGCCTAATCAATGTTTTTTTACAAACTTCGAAATGATTCGATGATTTTAGCGAAGATATAGCAAATCAAAGTTGACGGTAGAAAAACTCGTCATTTTTTTTTTGCCGGTTTTGAGGATGAAGGAGCTCACTTTTTTATTTTTGACCTACCATAGTACCATCTGCATACGATTTAGAATCTATAGAGGTCCTACACAAGTAATTCGGTCCGAGGAAAAAAATGATTATAGTTTAAAAATACTGTGCATGCGCATGGCTTGCATTAAAAATAAAGCTATCATGATAGCTTCCTCGCCATCATACATTTCTATTTAAGGACCACAAACAACCTTAATATTGTTAAGAAACAAATATAAACCAGTAAGGTATGGTAATTTTTTTTAAACAAAAACACTTGTGTTTATTTAATTTTTGGTTATAAGATTTTAAGGTTTAGATTAGTAGAGTAATCATATGTAGTTACTTGAACGTTTAGCGAGAACCATCCTTTGCGATTTTTAAAAACTTCTTTGTTGGGACCACCTGGGTTTTGTATCTTTACACGGGTACAGTCAATACAAGCACCAACTCCAAGCATTCCAACAACATTATAGAATTTTTGTTTAATTATATCCCACTCGTTTTCTGTTCGAGGAAATTTAACATATTCTCTCATTTTAATGGCTATCTGATGAGATATTCTTTTTATTGTTCTGGACACCGTACTTTGATGAATCTCTCTTTGGTCACCGCCAACAGACTGTCATAAAGAAGATCAAAAATACATGATACCTAAAAACTAAACAATAAAAGCCAGTACAGTGGGGTCGGGGCATAGTGGGAAAGGGGAGGTCACAGGGTTACAGGAATTATTATACATAAAAGTGTTAAAACTTAAAATTAAAAAAAAAAAAAATTAATTAAAATCTAAAACCGGTAAAATAATATGAAAGTGAACTGCTCACCAAGTGAGTTGCCAATTAGACACAGCTTACTATTCAGTACATTGTTTATAGTTGTTTTTTAAAATACATATTAATTAATTTTAAGCGGGTAAAAGTAAACGAAAATTCATACCTTACCACGATCACTCTAAATAGATGCCCATAAAAATATTGGAATAATTTGATAATATTTTTTTAAGATTTAACGTGTTTATGTTAAAATATACAAAATTTGCGAAAAAAACTGGTTTCCGACAATAAAAAAAATGTAGTCCCAATGTTTTCCTTCGTTCAACATGTTAGGAACAAATAAGTTCTAACAGACAATTTTTCAACTAAAAAGTCCTAAAATTACGGCTAAAAAACAAAAAAAACCTGCAACCCCCGTGGGGCGAGGGGCATATCAAATGAAAATATCTGATAAAATACTCTTTTAATTATTTTGGACACCGTACGGCGTACTTTGTTAAATTTTTAAATTGTTAATAATACAATAATTGACAAATATATAAGTACTATGGGCCCCATAAATTGACTGTGAATACGGCTATAAATAAATAAGACAATAATTTATAAAACTTACCAAAGCTAAAATGCCAATGACAAAAAACAGGAAAATTTTACCGGCCATCATTTTGTTGGTAAAATTTTAAATAAACTTGTACAAAAATGTTTTATTTTACTCGACCTTTGAATGTCAACAAGAAATAGTTACACCTAATGAGTATTTGCCTACTTCGATACAGATGTTGAGATACGTACATTTGTCAAAGTAAAATTGGACAGTTACACATGTGTGAAAATATATTATTAGTACAACGAAAATGTTGTTTTTTAATTTACAATATACAGTTGTTTTTTTTAAATATTGATTATTATAATAGTCAGCTGAATTGTGGGTGTATATGTTATAATTAGAGTTTTAATAATAGTAAAATATTTTTGTCCAATCACAAATCCCACCATAAATGAATAGGAAACATTTACGTATGTTTTGGTAAATTATTTTACTTTTATTACTTTACCGATAAATTAAATTTAAAACGATACGGTCCTTGTAGCATACACTGTGCCGAATTTGGATTTTATGCAAGAACAAAATAAATAACAATACGCCAAACTATTAATAGACCACATAAATCAAGCATACAAATTATAACAGAAATGTATACTTAAGGTGCAGTAAAATTTGTTCCAAATATACCGATTACCTTAAGCCGTACCTATAGATGTTATCAGTAATTCCTTACCATTGTATACCTAATCAGAAATCTGTACAAGTCCTTTAAACGTTTAAGATTAGTGATAAATGAATTTCCAAGGAAAATATTATAAAAATTTTAGAACTAAACAAACCGGATTGCCTGTATACTTACACAAGGGAAAAATGACAAATTATGCGTATTTTTTTGAAAAATGTATGCATTTTATGTTCATAATGTATATTTTTAAAATAGTTTAGCTAACAATAATTAATATACTTAATAAAAACAATTTTTTTTTTATTCTTAAGAGGACATCATACATTCATACCCCCATTTATTAAGGATTTGGTTATAGGCAATTTTATTGTAAAATCTTATTTTAATGGTTAAGCTGTGATGTGTAACCATTATTTATTAGTTCAATAATTAGGACTAGACAGCGATATAAAAAAACGTTTTCATCTAAACATAGCTACGCTACGAGTATTCTTTATTGACTAAATAATATTCGAAGGAAATAAATGTTTACATATTTCGAATAAGGAGAACTTTACTAGGTTCTTTAGTCGGCTTTTTTTATATTATTAACCAAACATTCACAACTTACATTTTAATTCTGACATTTTTTGCATGTGGTCGTGACGTATTCAAGACCAAACAGCTAGACAAAATGTCGATTACTTAGGCTGGTCCAAATTCAATTCTGTAAGCATATGCTAGTTCTTTAATAATTAGTCTAGGTAAAGTAAGAAACAGATGTTTGATTTTATGCTTTTTTTATGTAAAAAAATTGAGGATTGATATTCAAAAAATTTCAAATATAATTTTTTTAATTACAAGAAGTTGACATTTTTTAATGAAAATCGGCAAGTAAACTAACTAAAATGCTTGAATCTATTTACAGAATTAAAATTGGAACATCTTATGTACTTGAAATTTTGTCTAGCTTTTTGGTCTAAAATAAACCAAAATGGCTTTTACTCTTAGAAACAATTATTTAAATTAAAAATAATATCTTGAAACTAATAAAAATTAACCGGTAAATTAATTGACACGGTAGTAATTTATTAAAACCTCTTTTTCTTAAATATTGCCTATACAATAACACTCCCTAAAAACAGTGCAAACAATCCCTTAAAACAAAATATATAATAACATCAGTAAACAGTCACCAACTAAGTCTAATGGAAATGTATAACATATTATTATACTGTTTTCTACACATATCGGTAGATTATATAGTAAATAACCCCGAGAAGTTAGAAAAAAAACAATAATAATAAATATTAAATAATTAAATCCTGACTACCTGATTCGGTTAGAGTTTGGACATTTATGAATTTACTTGAGTTATGGCAGTTGATAAAAAAGTAGCTGTGATTACGGCGTAACGCTAATGGTGCCCCAAAATGCCCGCTTGTCCTGCGCGGGTGTTTCATTGCCGATCGTTATGAACTTTTTATAATAAATAATTAAAAATTTAAAAAAACATGTAAATTTAGAGAATATTCGGTGTCGGTTTACACTAGCGTCGTCGTCGATCGGTTAAATTTAAAATTGTCAAAAATAAATAAAACTTTCTACCATAAAATATACCAACCCGCCGACTGTACACTTTGGGAACCCTGTAAATGTTCGGCCGACACGAGTGTATGCTGTGTAATGTATTATGGATTATTCTGAATTGAGGAGTATTCACGATTCAGTACTTCGTAGTTCGTATATTGTACCTTTAATGAAACGTTGTTCGATAGTCACGTCCTAAACTCTATTCTGGTGTATAAATATTTTCAATTCGGTGCAGTTTACAATTATTAGTATTATCGAATATCGCTTGTAATTTATTATACAAAATCATCGGTACCCGTCGAGAATTTTATCTGTATTCATAGGTATGTAGGTTTGTATATAAATAATATACCTTTGTATTATTATAATAAATATTTTGTAAGTATTTGTGATAAACCCATTACTAAGCGTTCTGCATTTGCAATGGGCAAATATTGTTGTTCCGAACGAGCAGTTTTCGATTCAGAAGTTTATTTTTTCTAGGAGTTTATACAAGTGGGTTTTTTTTGCACACAAACAATTAGGTATATCCGTTTTATTTTGTTGTTTTTCTAAATAATATTTTTATATAATTGATTTTGTTTGGAGAAAACTTTAATTTTTGTTTTGAAATACTTCTATTAGATGTAAAAAAAAATTGGCATGGATATGATGTTTAACAGCCCTCGCTGAAATGTCGAAACGAAACAAAATTAATTATATCAAACCTCAAGAACCATCTTTCATAAGAAAATTAAAGGAAGAAATTAATTTTAAGGAAGGACCAACAGTCGATACCAAAGTAAGATTTAAAAAAAAAAAAAAAAAACCTACCTATTTACTTGTGTATATTTTGGCAAACTAAATAATATGTATTTAATAAGTTAGGCAGTGAGTTAAGTGATACAATAATTAAATATGGTTCGCCTACTCATCGTTTTCTGCTCCAATCAAAATATTTGATCATGAACTTATTCTTTTTAACCGCTGTAACGGTCATATTTAGCCGCCTGTTACCATTTGCTTCAAAATATGCATTAATTATTATTAAATATTAATATAGGGCGAGTGGTAACAGGATGCTGATGTACCCGTTACACTAGTAATTGATCAGTTGTTATTTTTTTTTAGTTTAAATGGCATTATTTTTACAAAAAATATTATAAAATAATCAACTATGGTTTGAGAATCAATTATAGCAAATACACTGTCACATTATTGAGATTTACAAATTTTAGGATGGGGATGGTAAAAGGGTTAACATGGCGGCTTTCCTACTTACTAAATCGACGCCCTGTTTAAAAAATCACATGTTTTGATTTGTCTTTTAGTTTGGCAACTGAAACGTGGTATTTTTTGTAAGGAGCGTCGAGGTGTAATTTACAACATGGTTACGGCCAGTTTCTTTTTCTAGAGTTATCTGCTAGAAAAAAAAACAGTCCTCCATCTAATTTTTGTCCTAATCTTGCACAGTAAGTATTAAAATATAAGTTGTTGCGTGAGTATGTTGTTTGAGACGTTGCCCAAACATTGATAACAAATTGAGAGCTTTTGTTATAAATAATTTTGCCTTTTATTAATGATGTATTCGGAATAGCGATGCTATAACTCGTATATTTAAAAAAAAATTGTAAGCGCTATAGACATGATGTAATAATTAATAATTACTCTTTATGCACACGTGTCTATAGTTTACATTGTTTGTAGTAATAAAATATAGTTGATGTAAATAATAAAAAATGTTCGATGGTATGTAATAATTATAATTTTACAGAAAAGAGCATTTCCAAATTCTGAAGAAGACGAGTCTTACGAAGATGATAATCCTACAGTAGTAGTACTAGGAGATGGAGATTTAACCGCTGAACAAGCATTAAAAGAAAAAGTAGAAAAAGAAAAAGGCAAGTTTATTATAGGTGTATTAAATTATTATCAGCTATGGCTCCGAAATTTTCACCTTTTCACCTTAAAATAATATTAAACAACTATGCATTCAATTTCAGAAGAAAATACCAAACCAGCTGATTTGACAAAGCGTGTAATTTTTAAACGACCAGCCAAAAGCACTCCGCAGTCTGAAGAAAAACATAGAGTGAATAAAAAAACTAAACGATCTGAAAAACTTGTCTTGTCATTTGATGACGAAGAAGAAGATTCTTAATATATGGTAATACATTCAGATAAATATTGTATATACATTTTTTTTATTGAATTTAGCTGCCGTTTAAGGGCTATTTGCTACCATTGGACTGATTGTTAGTCTGACCTGAGGAAGGTTAGGTGGTGACTCCTAAAATTATATTTATTATAAAAAATAATTTGCTTCTCTTAAACCGTACAATACCAAGGTGATATTAGCTTTGAGATAATATTCATAAATAAGGTACTAACGCCGTTTCAGTTTTCTAACAGGCAGCCTGATATACCTAAACTTAAAATGTTTTATTGTCTTCACCAACACAATATTTGTTTTTTATCATATTTATCTATTTTTTTTTTTAATTTCACCTCATTTACAAGAAAAAAAAATGGTACTTTTCTGGCATCGCGGATTTCTTTACCTCCCAAATGCAGTCCTTAATAAAAAGTGAAATGCAACTTAATATTTTTTTGAATTGATAAAAATCAAATCCTGAAGTTTGCTGTTTTACATAAATGTTTTATGTTTAGAAAAATAATAAAAGTCAAGAAAATGTAATTGTGCCAAAATACTTATCAAATTTCCACAAAAATTTAAGTTAACTTTATGCACTTTTAGTTTTTCTTGACTTTGAAGGGGACAAAGGTAACTTATTTTTAACTTGCAGCCTTTTGAAATTTCTTTTGTTGCTAATAAAAAGTTTATATAAGTCCTGACATGTTTTTTTTTTAAATAATCTTTTTTAATAACACAAGATGAGGCAGTTTGAGGCATAATATTGTTTTTATGGTGAGATTTTTATTTACCAATATTCAAAATTTGTTTTAGCAGATTAAAAGTTTTTTTACCCCTAGACAAATACTATTTCCCGACCTATCACCATAAATAACTTTTGTAAAAACTGTGAAAAAATCTTTTAAAAAAAGAGACCCCTTCCAATGATTATTACTGAGCCCTCCGTTTGAGACAAATGCGTAAACCCGTAAACAACTATTTGTACATTTTTTCTTTCGTCAAAAATCAAACTTGATATTGATGACTTGACAAACTCTTTTTTTATCTATCGCAACCAATTATTGTACCTTCTACCTCATTGTTTCTTTTGTATGTGAAAATTTGCCCACATATTTGCCCCCCCCCCCTCAGCTCAGTCTTTTTTGTTATAGACAGTACCTCCATGAACGTAATTTTTTTCCAAAGTTCTCATTTCAAAATTTTCTTTACGTGTATTATTATTAAAATACAACTATATTTGTTGTTGCTATTTGTTTTTTGAACTCTCATTAAACATTTCAAAACATCAATGTTATTTGTTAAGTACTTTTTTTTTGTTGTGTACTGAACGTTAATTTGTTTTTTTTGGCAACTACCATTTTTTGGCAGAGTTCCTTTTTTTTCATAGTAAATTTCTGCAATAAAATCTTTTTATTTATTTACTTTAATGTACAATTTGTTTACTAAATGACAATTCAGTAGAATCATTGTTTTGATCAGTGTAATGCAAACAATTGTTTTGGGGTGCTTAAGAGAAATTTATTTGATAATTTTATTACGTTGTAATAAAATGTTCTCAGATTCGACTTGAAGTTAATATAAAATAGATTAAACCAAAATGGTTATAAGTCATTGATAGAAGAGGAAAATAATAAGTGAATAAAGACATTTAACTACTGCTGTAAATGGAAGTAAAGAAAAAAATATGTTCCTAAAACAAATTTTAACGAGACAGAAGTTTTTTAAAACAGAGAAGGAATATAATGGTACACAATAGCTTGAGGACTTCAACATAATAATACCCAAAATGACCCAGGAGACTCTACTACTGATTAAGTCAAATTTTAATCCACAAAACCAAATAATAAAAGTCTCATTTCGATTATATAACAGACTATAAGATAAAATAGCATTTATTTATTAACATCTTTTAAAATCAGCATAGACTCTACAACATGCATATATGCTAAAATTGTATGTAATATTGTAGCAGTCATGGCTTGTGTGCGTACCTACTTTAAATTTACCACCACTAAATGAGAAACAGTTTAAAATTATATCATTATAACATATAATCATATATTTTTTGTACTGGACTTTATGAAGTAAAAGTATTTTACGTAAGGTGGTGTATAATAAAGTTATGAGACCAGTTTTTAATTCTTGTCAAATACTAATTTATTGAAATTAATTATTTCCAAACTAATTTACCTAACCTAATCTAAACCCATAAATAAATAAATGTTTTTTTTAATTTATATATACCTTAAAATATTTGTCTCTTGACTTGCGATATTATTTTTGATACTTAATTTTCTATCACGGTCAGTCAAAGGAATTGACTAATTTTGTGTTATTATAGTTATAACTAATATTAAACTCATACATTAACCGCTCACCTTATAAGGAGGTATAAACAAATTAACAACAAATACTATTCTATTTATTTAGAAATATTTGTAAAATAAAAATATTATTACATCATATAACATCGATAACACTATAAATACATTTATTATTACTAAATTTATATATATACTAGAAAAACTAAAAAGTACAAAAGTTACATTAAACATATTTTGGGAATAAAATAGTTTAATTAGAGAAAAAAATCAATGTATAGTTAATATTATACATTTTTTTAAATTTTAATTGAATTTCATTTAAAGTATTTCATATGGTACAATTATTTCCTAGTAATTTTTATTGACTAAATTTGGTTTTAGCATTATGCCTAGAAATAATCTTTAAGAACGTTTTATTTGTATTAAAATGTGCTTCTTTCATATACTTTTATTTCAAATAGAGTATATTCTCAACTTGAAATAATATTGGTATAAACGTTTTTGTTTGTAGTGAAATTCTATTTGTATTTTGTGTGTATTCTAATGATGAATATACATAGACAATTTTCTGGCATAAAATGAATTCAAAAAAATTGTTTAAATTTGTATTGGAAAATATATATTTTAAATATAGTGCATATTGTAAACAACACAATTAAATATTAGTAAGTTGATGCCTAATTATAATTGGTCAGTTAATTATGAAAAAGCTCCAATTTTCCATTGCTAATGCGGTACATTTAATAATTAAATTGTTAAGTTTTAATAGTTTTTTTAGACATTTTTTTTATAGGTAGTTGATTTATTTTAAGGACATTATTCGATGTTGAAAGGAGATTTCTGTCAATAGTAATAATGTTGTACTAAAAATGGTAAAATTTTGGTTTAATGTCAGAAGAAGTCTACTTAAAGTGTACCAAAACTAGATTTTTTTTTCTTCGCCTGTAAAATGTATACATTGCCTAAACTCCCATTTTAAAATGTAGGGATTCATTTTTGAACTACGGAAATTATACATTATAATATTATACAGTGCATATGTTATTATTATTAATATTATTATTTCGGCATACAAAACGTTCATAGATAGCTGGGATTTAAGTTAATATACATTGGTGGTTAGGTAGGTACCTAATTATAAAAATCGATTAAATTATAATTCCGTTCCTGTTCTCCCTTAGTAAATAATTAATTTTTCCGAGACCCTAAGCGTCGTTTAAGTAGAATTGGTTTTTCGGAGTAGAGGAAAAAATTCGTCCCCCCGCGCCCTCTTGTCCCACACAGCCTTCCCTGCCTGTTTATTCCAGAGAGTAGCACAAAAATATATTCACCCCCCACCTAACAATTTCTGGGCGCGCCATCGCTTTTCTACGCATACATAAAATACATCGGCCAAGCACCATACATAAACCAGGTTGGCCAACCTAAGCGCGCAACTTGAGAGAGAACATAGACTTCTCCCTTCTCCCCTCCTCTTCATCGTCTGCCGCCGCCGTTTACTATATAGTTATATACATACAACATTTTCTATACGGTTTATAGACGCACGCTCGACATTAATAATTATTATGCGACGCCGTTTAATAATAACAATAAAATAATTATTATTTAACAATGTTTATTATCGTTGTTGACGGTTGGGAACATTTGTCCCGAAATGCGGTCTCTTGGATATCAGCATTCTTTTCTCCGACAATGGGGGTCGATTGATTTTTACTTAATTTTTTTCAAATTATTCTCGTCCACCTCCATCCCTATTTTTTCATTTTCGTCGACCACCGAAAAAGCCCCCAACCTTTCCTGTCCTTCTCTGTCTGTTCTCATTAGGCGGGCTTTTTTTTTCGGATCTAAATTTTTCGAACATCTCATCTCTCCTCAGGCCGCCGATTCGGGAGGAGGCTTTCCTCGACGGGAGTTTGGCCACCGCCGCCGCCACTTCCTTTTTCCTGCACACTGCCGGCGGCTACGTCATAGAAATTTTTGATCACGTGACCGGCAGCGCCATCTTGCTTGATTTTGGTATTTTTGTTGGCTCCCTGTTGGTGTGTTGTGCTCAGCCCGGCGCTCAACTCGGCGGCGGCGGACAGCACACATATAAGCCATAGCCGCCGATCTAAAAAGGCTTTCCCCCGTTTGCGTGACGTGTGGCTTTGTATGCGTGTAGTGCGTTTAACGTCTTGCCCGTTTGGAGGAGAGTGGACGAATCGCCGCATATCATTGTTTTTTTTTTTCTTAAATTTTTCTCACCGTTTGTTTTGTGAGATAACGTGTTAACTCGTAGAAAATTTGTTTTCAATTGAAAAAGGAAAAATGTAAATTATTCGAGTGTGAAACTTAAATATTTTTCGTTCGTCGTTTCGTGAGAAATCGGTGTCCGCGCGCGTTTTTTTTTTTTTTTTTATCTGATCCTCTACTCGCGTTTGTGTTGTCGGGAAAGAAAATCGTCGTTTGTTTGTTTGCTTGTTTACGGGTCCGTCGCCGTCGGTTGTCGTGTGGCGTAAACAACTCTTGAACGCGGCACAGCTACCCCTACATATTTTTTTTACCTCTCCTCCATCATCATCGTCGATCGATCGACAATCGGCCGCTAAAACGTGAGTTTTGTGCATCGACGATCATTTTTTGTATTTTCTTAGTTTCTTTACCTTTTGTCTCGTCCGACGCGTTTTAGAGCTGTCACTGTACAATATCAAATAATATAATAATAACAAATAATTGGGCTGATAGTGATAATACGACGTCGGCCGTTGTGTGCGGTGTCGAGCCGCGGTCGACCGTTTCTGCGGCCGTTCCGTTGATATAATACACTATTGGTGGATATATTACACACTTGTAGGTTAGGTTTACGCTGACATTAAAATGATTACAGTTTTCATTTTGTCGAATAATATACCTATATATTATTAATATTTATTATTATATGTGTGTACTCTGGATGTAATAATTGCAATAATGTATTGGTATTTTGTCGGAACGGCGGCAGCAATCCAATCGTGTAATAAAACTAATAATATTCTTCTTATTCTTATCATCGGCCCAACGTTTTTATTCTGGCGGAATTTTATTAACGATATTATATACATTTTATTTTATTATTATTATTATTATCATTATCATTATTATTACTATTAAACGATAGTCGAATGTCACCGCCGATGTTGTGACTTGTGTGTTATATGATGTTTACCTATATTTTATTTATTAATAATTTAACGTTTTATTATTGTCGCCGTGTACGAAGTCAAACGATTTACTTTTTTTTCTCTTAGTATTTGTTTTCGTTCAATTTCATATAGTATTGTAATATGTACATAATATAAATTTAGGTCACTGATAATATCAGTTTGGTCAAGATAGTTTTTTTTGTAAGTAGGACGTTATCGCATAATCTTGAAGCATTTTTTTATTATTCTCAATTATACTTCCTATTTTTTGAAATCTTATTCATTGCGAGTTCCTACTTTCACAAATTTAAATAATCGGATATTAGTGTGTATGACTTGTTTATGATTCAATACTAATATGTACTTACTTCTTATATTATATCATCCGGAATGAGTTCTGACTGAGGCAGAGTGTAGGTCTAATACGCTCACAGTTAACCCGTTCTTTATAATATTGTAACTATAACCCACAAATTAATAGAAGTACTATAGAAACTAATTACTATAAGTGTAGGAATTTCTTCCTTAAAACTATTATCGTCAAAATCTACGAAAATTAAAACAATGATATATGGGTACGATTATTATAAAGAAAATTGTTGCAATTTCAATGAAAACATAAAAAAATATTATATATTTACAAGGAACTAATTTTCATTTAAGTTCTTCGAAAAAAGGAATTCTTTTTAGCTTCATAAACTATAAATTCTAAAAGAAACCGTCTCGATATTTTTATAACGCTGTTTTTTTTTGACACTGGTACATTATATAATTAACAATGTCTCGTATAGCTAATTAGTTGTCATAATGTTGGTTGTTGTATGTGTATTATTTGTCACAACTGTTGAATTTATATTAGGTTTTTAAGTTTATTGATGTACAATCAATTACGTAAAGTTAAACAGTAAAAAAATCAAAGAGTAACTTAAGTGTTAAGTCCCAATTTAATTTTAACATACCCAATTACATGATTCAAATATATTACCATAGAGGTAGCAATATTAGAAACTTTCTAGTTTTTGTTATTTAATATTTTTAAAATTATTTTTTGTTTCAGCTATATTCAAAGTCATCTACTAAATATTACTTTATATAAATATATATAATTATGGCCGATGCTGAAGTCGAAAAGATAAAAGAAACGGATATAAGTAAGAATTTCATTTTAATAGGTTTTACATTATTTTATTTTCATTATTTTTGAGGTGTAGCTGAGAATATATTGTTTTTATAATGATTTGTTTTTATTTTTGTGTTTGGATACACAATGTCTTCTAAACCACTAAACCGATTTCTTCATGTAGCAGCTTCTATTCAATAAAAGCTTAGATTTACGTAAAAGGCACTTTATTGGACCAATGTAATTTTCCCTTCCTTTTTTATTCTTTCCTAATGAAAAAAAAAATTGACTACAGTTTTTAAAAAGTTTTGTGTGTTATAGCAGCGTTCTAGATCTATTTTCAATCTAATATTCACACCATAACTGCTCAAAAAATAAAGAAAAAGTTTCCACCCCTTCTAAGAGACGATATTTATTCTCATGATATTTTTCTATATGATTCTATGATATTTATTTGTTTTGTTAGTATTTATTGATAGTACTATGTCTAAAGAATATTCTGTACACATTTGAAATAATTTAACTATTTTTAATAAAGTTATAGAGCGCCTTAATTAAGTTGAAAAATAAGTACATTTTTTAAGTGTTTTTTACAATTTTAAAGGAGAAAACAACACCAAAAGGTAAACATTTTACAGTTTTTGCCCAATAAAGTACCTCGCAAGTACTAACTCTGATATATTGACCTGCTACATACAGAAATCGGTTCAGCAATTTAAAAGATATCATGTGTCCAGACAAAAATAATAAAAACATCATTGTATACCTTTTCAGCGCCGCGTTGAAGCTAAATAAATTTAACTGTAAAAGAATATACTTTATAATATTATAAATAATATAATACATACCTATTTATTATTTATTTTGTTTTAGGTGTTAAGATAAATGGAGATATATGTGAAAATTTAATACCTAATAAAATAGAAACTAATGAAAACAAACATGTAACTAATAAAAATTCATCAAATCACAGTAATAATGGTGATGATGATCACGACAACCAAGAAAATCATAAAGGTAACAGTGATGATGATGGTGATGAAGAAGACGAAGATGATGATAAAAATAATAGCAAAGACTGTAGATCAGACAGTAGCAATTTAGAATTTGAAAATGGCAATAATGCTAGTTCAAGTGAGACTGCAACACAAGCTCTTAATGGTATTAAAGAAACGGCTGAAATCCACAATCGCAAAGAACAAAAAGAAACTAATAGATGTACAGAACAAACCAATAATAAAGATGAAGAACAAATAGAAGATGACAATGATGAAGATGAAGAAGAAGAAGAGGATGATGATGATAATAATATTAATGATCAAAACAATACTGAAAACCGATCGGACGAAATCAAAAAATCACTGGAAGACTCTAAAATAAATCTAGATAAATCCGTCACCATCGTTAAGGTAGCGGATCCCAACCGATCTCCCGATGGTAAGAAGAAAGTAAAAAGCTTGCCAGATATTACATTAACACCTCGCAGGAGTTCTCGAAATTTAAACCGATCGAAAAATTATTCCGAAAAAGAAGAAGAGAAGAAAGACATAGTAACAATAGACGATAGTGTCAAAGTATCGTCATTGAAATTGCCGGTGGCTACCACTAAACCGATTGTCGTTAACGATACCAAGAAACTTGTGGAAATTGCTGCTGGTACTAAGCAAAAGAATAATAAAAAAGAACCGACGTTAGTGATAATTGATACTAATATGCTGTCGGGAAGAAGTAATTTACCCATATCAGTGTCAGTGCAATCTAGTACTCCACACAATTCTATTAACGTCTCTCAAACGAGTAGGGCGATACAAAATTCTTTTAATCGTGTTCAACAACAACCCCAAACCACAATCAAACCTTTCATTCTTGCTACTACCCAAGCAGCGCCCGTTATTACGCCGCCACCAGCTCTTCCCAAAGCAGCCCCTGTAATATTACCAACACTTACAGACGATATGTATGTCGTCGAAGCTCCGTCATTTATAGTGCCTTATGTTTATGAAAAACCTCCTAAAAACCCTCTTAAAGAGTTTGTCGAAAAGATAGAAGATAATCTTAAGGATAAGGAAGTAGACCTAGACCAAGTAAAAGATAAGAAAGAAGACGGTAAAGTAATCAATGAAGAGCAATCCGATGACATTGATGGGAAAAGAAAAAATGAAAAAAATGAGTCTTCAGAAAATAAAAAGATGAAAAAGATAATAAGGACGATAAAATTGTGGAAGATGAAAAAATGGAAGTTGATGAACCCGAAAGTAATGACGACATTGTAAATACTGAAAAGAATAAAAATGATAAAGCCGATGATTCAAAGGAAAAAAACATTGAAGACGAAATAATGGACGTAGACGAGTTAGACTCCAATAAAAAAGAAGAAGCCGCCAATAAGAGTTCATCGTTAGAAACTACAGATTTAAAAAAAAGTGATAGTATTACTGATCTGACTATTGACGTAGATGAGAAAAAACCAACTGATGTTAAAGAAAAACCAAAGACTCTTCAGCAAAGTGCCAACTATTTTGAAAATCCTTTGGGAAAGTTCTTTATGCAAATTGGCGTTAACCTCGTTCAAGAACACGTACAGCTTGATTTGTTGCGAACTCAGAGACGAAAAAGAGATAGGGAAGGTGATAACTGCTCTGAAGATGTACACATGGCTATTAGTTCGCTGATCAAGACGTTAGAATTCAGCAAAGAGAACAATGATCCATTTCAGTTTGGCATGAAGAAATGTGAACTTTGTAATTTTAAATCGGAATCAAGTCTTGTCATGGCTCATCATTTAGAAACTCCACACATGACAGCCAATTATTGTTATAGATGTAATTTTTGTACCTTCCAAGTACGAAATCCACACGAGATATTGCAGCACATGGACACGCATAACATAAGGGGACGTCTAGAAAGAGGTCCTGCTCTACATCAATGCCCAAGTTGCCCATTCGAAGACAGTTACAAGGGCAAACTTACCAGGCATTTGATTTCGTGTTCTAAAAAGTATCGCCCAGAAATCAACCAGGTAATTTTTTTTGTAACCGATTATGTTAGTTCGGCATTTTTATTTCTTAATAAAATTGTTAATGTATTATTTGTTTAAAGGCGCCACCATTGGATTGGGAACCTCCTGCGAAAATACCGAGAGTGTTGCGAAACAAACCTTCCATGAGTCCTGGAAACGCTGTTTATCAAGCAGCGATGTCTGGGTTTAAACAATTTCCTAACCCTAATATGTTACAACTGCAACAACAACAGTACAACAAAATGGTTCTTGCATCTGGCGTACGTGCTCGTGGCCGTACTGTCTTACCTGGCCAAAGATTCCCAGGAATGGTATCTTCGTTCCCATCTACATTACCCAATCAAACTGCTGGAGGTAAATATTGCTTAGATATGTAGTTAATTAAGACGAGTAGCATACTAGTGGGTAAGGGAACGGCAGTGTGTTAGTTTTAGTTTTCTAAAAACAAGAAAAACTAAGAGACCAACACTTAAATATTTTTTAGTTTGAAATTTTTTGATTTAATATATTAAGAAGAAAAAATAACCGCTTTAAGATATAACTTCTAAAATATTATAATTAAATAAAGTTTTAAAAATTAACAACCTTTAACCACCTAACCAACTATAACTTTTAATAAATGACAAAGTAATGTTGAACACTATTTTTTTTCCCCAAATATAAACCTTCATTATTATGTTATAAACCAGTGGTTTTCAACCGGTGTGCCGCGGTACATTGGTGCGCCATGAGCGTCTTCGAGGTGTGTCGCGTTAAATCTTAAAAGTTGTATAAGTGTGTAGTATTTCCTCGTATTATGGAGCTTATTGGCAGTCAACGACAAAAAAAATAATGGAAAAACTGAAAATAAAATGTACAATTTTTTATATTATTTTAAAATGGTAATTTTTCTTCAATCCTATTTTTCTGAAGTATACCAGACGTCTGGACCGGTTGGTTTTATATTGTTTTGATTAGTTCTTTTTTATCTCAACCGCAGTGGTTCTAATGTTTATACTTAGTTTTTTTTTTTTTTTTTGTCTTCGTTTGTGTGCGAATATATAGTGCACGGGACACAACTATAGTTATATTATATTATTATATTCATCGCGTAATATTTAGTTTATTTTATATAACAGTATATGCGTTTTTTTTAAAATTAATTACTTATTTTTATTCAATAATAATTATTATTATGGATAAATGTATACCTCGTTCTGCTAACAACACTTAAGTGAGTCATGAGTGAACCAACAAAATATATTATCAGACGTCAGTATCATGAAAATTATTTAAACATAGGATTTTCTTGGTCTGGTGATGAACATGATCCTCGTTTAAAACTATTCATCATTGCATTCATTTATTTTACAATCATTAACTCTTAAGTCTAATATTCTAGATTCTAGAATCAGTATGGTATTAGAAACAAATAATCAAATCTATGGTTTGATGTGCCACAAGAATTTTGTAGAAGATTAAGTGTGCCATGTTGTTGAAAAGGTTGAAAACCATTGTTGTAAACCAAAATATGATTTGTAGCAACTGTTTAATATATTTATTATTAAATTTATGTAAACCTATAGTGCAACCCAGGATTAATGTTTTTTTCTTTTATTATGTAGGTATTTAAAAAGTGTAAGACCTTTTTTTTTGTGTTTCAGGTATTTTGTTAAGAAATACAAGTATTAAACCGATTAACCAATCGATGATTGTCCCTACGCCGTATTCAATTAGTAACCACACATATCAGGTGATACACAAAAATATGTTATTTAGTTTTTCTTCAACTTATGGTTTTTATTTCATTATTTAGCAAACTTTGAGTAGTTCCAAGTCTGTTCAACAACCAAGCATATCGATAACGCCTTTGCCAAGATCGTTCCCATTAAACAATATGCAATCGACGCCTGTGTCTACCATATCGAAAATTAGGTCTCAACAATCAAGTCAGTCGTCTTCAACAAACAGTGGAAATAAACCAACGTTTGTTATATGTGAAATTTGCGACGGTTACATAAAAGATCTAGAACAACTACGCAATCATATGCAGTGGATACACAAAGTGAAAATACATCCAAAAATGATTTACAATCGACCACCACTGAATTGTCAAAAGTGTCAGTTCCGATTCTTTACTGACCAAGGGCTAGAAAGACATCTGCTCGGATCACACGGTTTGGTTACGTCCAGTATGCAAGAGGCGGCTAACAAGGGAAAAGACAGTGGGAGGTAAATGACCAGTTTGTTAAATTGCGCCAATTTTCATGGCTAATAATTGTTTTTAATATATATTTTTAGATGTCCAGTTTGTGGTAGAGTGTATCAATGGAAATTATTGAACCACGTCAGCCGCGATCACGCTATGTCTTTAAAGCCTGCGCATTTATCTTACAAGTGTACAGTTTGTACGGCCACGTTTGGCATGTACAAACAATTCGAAAATCATGTTTACTCCGCGCACAGCAATGTCGCTAAAAACTCTAATAAAAAACCACACGGTAATCAATCTGCGTCGTCTGCATCCATGTCATCGCCCGTGGCTTCGACGTCATCATCTGCATCTGCGTCTTCTACATCGGCTTCTACACCAAAGGTATTTTTTAATATTTAAAATAACGTAATTCACAAAAAATAAAATAACTACAGTGGTAAAGTATACTAAAGTGTATTGAAATTTTTCAGCCATTAAAAATAAATGATGAGATCACTATTATACCTCAGCCACCCAAGCCACAAAATCTGTCTGTTAAAAATAATAATAGTAAACCAACTACATCAAGTGGAAAACCAAATACTAGTGTTACAACAAAAACCAAAGTAAGTAATCGATTGTTAAAATGGACCATTAAAAAAAAAAAAAAGACTTCTTTCCAACCATCTTAACTACTCTCATTTACTTTCGAAAATACATATTTTTATCCATTTTGGGCCTATATATGTATATATAAATATATTTTTTATAGTCACAATAAAAAAATTTTTTTTTTTTTGTTATCACTGTTGTTTTTGTTAACTAATAATAATTTTTTTTTATATTTGATTTATTTCAGGTGTAAACAAAGATGTATACACACGGTATATTGTACAAAGATTTTTTTATTTCGAAGAACTCTGGAGACATAATCAGGGTTACTGTTCTCCCCGGTTTTTAATTCGCTTGGGAAATTTTTTATTATGTTATTATTCTGTCGGGCAATAAAAAAACAAAAAAATGTGTACAAACATTTAATTCTACGCGAATTAAAATTCAAAACAATTTGCCCTGTACACATTTTTTTTTTCGGTATAATAAACATTATTATTATTGACTTGAAAACTGTATTATCTGTTTAACCCACGATGAAAGCGTGTACTATAAGTTTTAATATATTTTACTTGAACATAGATAAAAATATTTACAATTTGTTATAAATATTATTACTAACTAGAGATATAATTTTATTGGTAATGTTATTCTCCCAGAATATTATGTATGTCCATGACTGTAAATAAGTTGTTTATTTAGTGGAGGCGTATCTATAATAATTTTTGTATTCCCAACTATTGATTACACACACGTTTATTATAAGTTGTCCCTTCCCTTTTTATTTATTTAATTATATATCATTATTATTATTATTATATATATTTTTTTTTACTTTGCCCAAAGCACATGTACTGTTTATGTAAATTACAACACGTATTAAATATACCTACACTTAATTATAATGTTTAAATTAAGTATTAGTATAAATCATTGTATATAACTTGCCTGTTTGGCTTATCTGTACAATATTACACAATGTACATTCGAATATAGAATAAAATATCTATATTTCTTAACTGATACTATTACGAGTTAGTTAAGTGTTCTTATTTTCAACTCTGTAGTGTTCATCATCGACATCAATGACTTGTATCGTAGCTAAAGAGAGAGAGAGAATCCAAAACATCCAGTGTATACATAAAAAATAGAATAATAATAACTGCATTGAGGGGAGCGTCTGTTTTTTTTTCTTTCATTAAAAAAATGTATGCATAATGCGTCTGATTTGGACCACTCGGTACATCATTTTATACACATTTTCTCTACAATTATTGGTTAATTAGTGTAAACTTGATTGGAAATAAAACAATTTTTGTAATGCATAATTACTTACAGGAAAGGTATTTTTAATAATAATGTGAAACGTTACAAACCAAATTTTTACATTCATTTGTTGTTTATCTGTTTTCAAGACTTATAGGAGCGTTCATTTCTTGTCGGAACGATAATACCTGTAAATATAGTTGGATACACATTTAGAAATTATAAGTAGGTAATTTACATGAACAAATTAATAAACTTTATTATTAAAACGTGATGTGATGAGTTTGAACATTATACTAGACCATACAAAGTTAATAATGCATTTAATTATTTATTTATTATTACAAAACGGGCTGCGGCCCAAAGGACACATATATAATACAGAAATTTAACATATTTTCATATTATTGTCTGAATCTGACAATCATTTTACACATAAAAACCAAAAAATAGTAAAAAAGACAAACAGTAAGTAATTCTCACTGGATTTTTATCGGATAGGTTAGGAATTTGGTCCGCACAGTATAACTGTCAAAAATATTATTTTAAAACATTTTTTTTTTGTTTTTAACTGATGTTAGATTCAAGAAACAACCAATTTTGTTTTAAACTAGAGAATTGTTCAAATGTATTTATAAGTGTTAAATTATGATAATTAGGTCTACTATTTTTTTTTTTTTTTGAGCTATTTATAATGGTTGTTACAGAATGCTCATTAAGAGTAATTTTCACAAATTATACATTTATGGCACAATTAAAAAATTATAACACTTAAGTTCTCACATATATAGCTGTTAAAAACAGGATTTGGACTGTTACCATTGATATTAAAATATTATACGACTTTGAACGACGAACATATTGTTGATCATAAAAATTCCTAGTCCTGATTTAAAATATCTAAATTTATACTACGACTTTAAAATTAAAATTGTTTATAAAATGAACATGTTAATAATTATTCATAATAAATATATTAAATAAAATAAAAGAATAACAACAACAATATAAACGGCGATGTACATATATATTTAGCGATTTTCAAAAAGTAGCTTGAAATATTAATGTAAACATTTAAAACAAATATATCGAAACTTGTGAAATACTTGAAAATTTCAATTCGAATTTATCCAATTTCAAAGATATTAAACAAAAGTTGTTAGTATCGTGAATCGCTTATCATAATTTTATTTAGGCGATATTATCATGTTATCACATAAAAGGTTTGGATTTTTGTTTATACTCGATCAGTTTCTTGTTATATTAATAATAGTTTGTGGTTTTTTATTAATTTGTCTTTTTTTTTCAAATAATAATGAAGAAAATGCACCAGTGATAGATTTATCGCAATAGATTTTTTTAATTTGAGTTTTTTGACTACCTAGCAAAGTTTGAAAACATGGCTTTGAGTACAAGTCAACCGACTCAGAACAACGTTCAAGCGTCGCCGGGTACCGGTTGGCCTAAAAGCACTGCAACTATTAAACCATCTATTTGTCCATCGCTAAATAGACATATTAATTTGTAAGTACTTCCAACTCGAATCCCCCAAATTTTTAGGTTGCATAGCTAACTGCTTATTTTTGAGTATAGCAGCAGAGTTAGCAACGAGACCCGAGATTTTTTGTCTCGAAAATTATGATGATTTTTTTTTACAGAATAATGCAAAATATTCGTGTTTGATTGTTTATATTTATCGGAAAAATAATTTTCATATAATTTCGGGAATTGACTTTTTAATACACATTTTTGATTTTTACCTGTAAAAATTAAATTGATTTTTTTTTATGGCGATTATAAATCTAACCTCGGAAATTCTCTGCGGATTCTTGCTAAAGCCACTTAGACATTTACAGAATTTTACATTTAATTTGAATAATCACTTTAAATATTTAGTATATTGCTTGTATTTTGATAATAATATTCATCGCAATATTTACAATTTCTCTACATTTTTTTTTTTACAATTTGACGAGTATTGGCACATTTATGATATGTAATAGATTTGTATATAAATTACACTTAAAACATTTACAAAAATCTGTTGACAATAAGTTAAACCTTCTTCTTATAATGCTTAAAAATAGACACTATGTAGGAGAATTGTTGTTTTTTTTAAGTTGTAGAATGTCTAAGGTAATATTACGAATTTTGTTTTTCAGATATCCCTTGTCAAATTATAAGTTTGGCACAAAAGAACCTCTGTTTGAAAAAGATCCGTCTGTACCGGCTCGATTCCAGCGAATGCGTGATGAATTTGAAAAAATCGGCATGCGTCGCAGTGTTGAAGGAGTTCTTATTGTACACAAACACGGCTTGCCTCATGTTTTACTATTGCAATTGGGGACTACATTTTTCAAATTGTAAGAATATTTTCTAATAAAAAGTACCGTAACTTTTGTGCAAAAAGAGTAATAATTAAGATATTACACGTGGGTTTGATAATTTCAAATGAAATAAATTGAAAAGAAAATCGAGTAAATAAAAATAAACATGACTTAACCACTAAAAGAGAAGGCCATTGTTGTATAGACGTTTAAATGTAAACTAAAAATGTATTCCGAGGATCGGTAGGCCGTTAATTAAAAAAAAGAAATAGAAGAATTGAACTACATACACCAAAATAAATCAAAGACATACGATCCTCGAGGAAAAAATCCACTAGACGTTATCATGTCAAATGTGCTTTTTATATTTTGTATTTAAGGGTGCACACTAATTTTTTGAACATTTTCTTTGTATCCTTTTCAACTCTTTGTTTAATACAGGATGATAATTTCATTGTGAACCACTCAGTATCTCATTGGGTGTAATAAGAAATTACATTTTTTCTTATAGTGTTTCTATACAATGTGCTCTCAATATTTTTTGGTTTTACCCCCCTTCCAAAACTAATTATTTTTGTATACATTTTTGAAACTTGAATGGTAACATATATATTTTATTAACTTATTAAATTGGGAATATTTTACTAAAAATGTCTTCTTGTAGATAACCAATTTTGAACAACTATTTATAAAGTTATAAGAGTTTAAAAGTTAGGACGGGAGGAGAAGTGCGATTGGAAAGTGCACAAATAAAATATCTATCTTAATTCTTACCATTTAAGTTTCAAAAGATGATATTAAAATAGTTAGGGAAAGGGGTAGGAACATAAAAATTTATGGTAAATAGAGATCATATTATATAGAAAAGAAACAATTATTAATTAAACCCAATGAGAATATTGAGTGGTTCACAATAAAACGATCACTTTGTATACGAATCAATTTCCAATCGAGTGTACTTGTAGACGTTATCATTTATTTAGTATAATTTTTACAGTAAAAATATACCCCATTCTACTCGAGTATAACTAAATTAAAAAAAATATGTAAACATTTTTCATGTGATCCATGGCTAAAATAAGGTGAATTTTTTCACCTAAAAAAAAAATTATCAACGGAGAAAAAAAAAAATCATTTGACATTATAACTACATTTAAACCAAACTTCTTAATGTAATGTAAAGAAAAATAGGATAGAGGTTTGTGATGGACTTGTGTGGAGAAAGATATTGTAAAAAAAAACTTAATAATATCATCATTATTTTCCTATTGTCGTAAATTTGTACATAATTTTTACTAACATTGTATTAATAGACCTGGCGGAGAATTAAATCCCAGCGAGGACGAAGTTGAAGGGCTTAAACGACTATTAACTGAAGTAATGGTTTTTTTTTTTAATTTTTCTAAAGATGTTGTTATTATTAATAAACTGGTATATTTGTAGACTTTAGGAAGACAAGATGGCATACAGCCTGAATGGACAGTCGAAGACACCATAGGGAATTGGTGGCGGCCTAATTTTGAGCCTCCCACATATCCGTACATACCACCCCACATAACTAAGCCTAAAGAGCACAAAAGACTTTTTCTAGTTCAATTACCCGACAAAGGTAAGAGTATAATCCGATTCAAAATTAAAATTATAAAACTAGGTGTACTTAGGTATAACACTCTGAACAGGTGTCTGTGTTAGGAGTAATGACAATTATTTTATTTTTTACTCGTGTGGAATATATTATTTTTTGCAATATGACGGGGTTTTTTTGCCATGATCCTATGAAACGGAATTTAACTAACTTGTCGTGTATTCTGTCAAATTTGAGTGATAATATGTTAAATTACATTATATTATTTTATATTCACAGTTCACAGTTTACGATGGCAACATGGTTTGCTGGTTCAAAATGGATCATCCTGGTTGATCATAAAATATCCGCTTACAAGACTTGTATATTTAATTTTTTTTAATACAACATATTTATAGGTTCCATTTAATTTGATCGATAGACGATTTTCATGATAAGGTTTCCTCTATGACTTGTTTTTTATCGACGCAGTTCAGTATAATATTTGCTACTGTAAATTTCTGTCATGGATAAACTGTTATTTTTTAACATATCAAGAATGTTTTGCTATACAATCACTTAACCTAGTATTTTTTTGTGTTCAAAATGTATCAATATTTTTATTGTTATGTTATAATTTATTCTCACTGCTGCTCATTTACTGGATGATTTAGATCAATTCAAATGTGATTTTTAACAAAATAGGTAGTTTAAAAAAAATCAATAGCAATATTGTTAAACAATTATTGTTTGATTTAAGTTTGTTTTTTTTTTTACTTCTATTTCATTCGTTTTGTTGCACATACGGTTTAAAACATTATTTCAATACATTTGCTTCGTGCTGAAATAATTTTTATTCAATTACAAATAGAAAAAATAATGTATTTAATTAATTAATCAAATACATTTTCATGTAGAATATTTAAAAAATAACAATATTATTTGTAATCAATAAAAATAAATATATTTTAATGAAATATAGTTTTAAATAATAAACTATTTCAAATAATTCCTTGTTTAAAACAGTATTTAGAAAGTTATTTTAATTGAAAAATTATTTGATGCATTAAAAAATATGTAGTATAAAATTATATCGACGGTGGAAAGTAAAAAAAGGCATAAATGCTAATTTCTACAATTTTTTAAGTCGTTTTAGTTTTTTTTATTGATCACCAGTTACTTAAAGTTCAAAATTGAATTTATTTTGTACCCCTCAACTATTTTGAAAAATACACTAGCGTAACATGATTTGGATGGCTACTGTCTATGTTGTAGCTTTCGCCCATTTTTCCTTTGCGCCGTCGAAATGTACAGTAGCTCTTACGGCAGTTAATTATCTTATTGTATGCTTGTCAAAAGTTTATGTTCAATATCTAATTTTTTTTTTAAACTTGTACCTTGCAGTTATGTATATATTAAAATACCAATACCATTAAGTGTACCAGTATTCTTATTATTTCGCTTCAAGCAATTCCTTGTAAATAAATAATGTATTATAAATTATGTGTCGTTAAAAATATAAAAATAATAACAATTATAAATTAATTTTTTATACCTAATGAAACAATAAAAAAATAAAATTAAAATAGTGGCTATTGTCTTAAAAAATTGTCTTACAGTAATTGGAACATTTATTATTGTATTAAACAATTTTTAAATTTTAGTATAACAATATTAGGTTGTTTTACGATAATTTATATTGTTTGTATTATGTTTTTGTATGAAATTAAAGTGTTTGTATATTATTAGGTTTTTTTTCTATAATCATAAGTAACACGTTGAATTTTTCTTTAGCATTGTTTGCTGTGCCGAAAAATTACAAATTGGTAGCGGCCCCTTTGTTCGAGCTGTTCGACAACTCTCAAGGATATGGTTCTATTATTTCTTCATTGCCTCAAGCTCTCGGAAGGTAATGGTTTTTGTATAATGTTAAAATAATGTACCTACTTGTAATTTTCATTGACTGTTTTTTGTTTTTAGGTTTAATTTCATCTATATGTAATAAAGAAATTAGTTATAAGATAATTTTATAAAGTTTGCTGCCCATTAAACGAAAAAGAAGAAATAATTTTAAAAACTATTTTTCCGTTCATTCTTAAATGTAACATACAATGTGTTACATTTGATTTAATATTAGTATGTTTTGAAATTTGTTCAATCGTAATATTAATAATAGTTAATACAGCGTGTTGAGTTTTTTTTGTTAAATTAAAAGAATCTTCAATGTCGTGGATTTTAATTAATTATCTAGTTTATACATTAAGTAACTTTCAGTGTGTCTAATTGAAATTCCCATATTTTATATTTATATTGTATTATCGTTGGTCAATATATTTCTCAAACTGAGTACACTTTTTTTTACTCGAAGCCGCCAGTATGTGTAGTATAGTTAGTAGATAATAGGTATAAAATTATGTTTTTAATAATCACTTGTCAATGAAGCTGTTTATAATATTGAATAAAATGTATTTAAATTACCCATAGTAATTTTGTAACGTACGTTTCTATTTTATGGTCGCCAATATTGTAATAGTTTTTTTTTTATTTAGAAATTTTAATTCTTTTTTTTTTGTTGTCCGAAGAATAGACAAAAAACCGCCTCTCTACGACGTCAACTTTACAATACATGATTATTAACGGTGTTTGTTGTGCATCCAGCACCACATATTATTAAGGAGTAAATAGTAATGATCCCATCTCATTTGGGAAGACCACATTGATTTATATAAATATGCATTTTGACAAATGTAGAAATTATTAAGTTATTAATGTAATGTTGTAATGTTCCAACATTATATATTATAATTTTATTTATTCAATATAATGTTATATCTTAGAATTATCTATCTAAATTAGTAAAGACATTAACCAAACTTAATGAAATGTAGTGTCGGCCGGGGCGCTATGTTTTAAGCAATATGCAAAAATAGCCATACTAACCAATTTACTACTTGATATTTATTCAGTCACAACTCCAGTATATATTTATTTACAAGTATGGAAAATTATAGCTGCTCTACAAAAAAAAAGGAGAAATGATAATGATGTTTCGATCTTGTATGAAAAATGTCAACATTTTTGTTAAAAAAAAAATCCTAAAAGATTACATGTAAACGTTTATAGTAAACCGTACAGAAACGCCCTCAATTAAAGTGTGCCCTGGGGCAGCTACTTAGATCTATTATTTTATCAAATGTTTGAGAGCAACCCACACTAAAACAAGTATACACTAAAACAATATTAACAGCTAAATCGTAAAAACTTGCTTGATATTTATTTTTGTACAAAAAAAAAAACAAATAATAAACTATACATAGTCAATTTACATTCATTATACATTTATTGTATAGAAAACGACAAATAGTAATAAATAAGGAGCGTAATGTGTATTTATATAAAATACTATTATAAAAAGATTATTAAAAACTATTATTTATCAACTAATTAACGTTCTAATATTCTCAACAATCTATTTGTTATCACTTTTCTTTTTTTCTAATATAGATCTTAAAGACTTTAAGGTTTCAGCTTCAGACGAGTCATCACCAAAAGTTGTACTACCTGTAAACAATTTTTACATTATTATATATATTCTGGGGTGAAAAATATAAATAAATTCTTATACGAGTTAAATTATTAATTGGTTAGCAAACAAGCAGTTAAGCCTACAGTAAATTAGTACACCAGTCTTCATCATAATAATAAGCACACCAATTACAAATCATTAATTAATATTTTAACTCGTATAAAAATGTATTTATATTTTTTACCCCAAAATAGCTTTCTTTATTTTTGATAACAATCCTTCATCAGCGTTTGGGGTCGATTGAGTTTGTTCAGCAGAAGGCCCTAAAAACAAAAAGTTCAATTTTAAATTCTGAGCGGAACATGGAATGTGTTATTTCGCTATGACTGCAATGAGGGGTAACTAACAGCCCGATTAGCACATTATTCGTACACTGTAAATTGACCAATCTCGGGTAATTTTTGTTAGGCTAACGTCCACTGACACACCTATTCTTATTGTACATCAAAGCCATCACACCACTGTATAGTTGGCAATTTCAATATTTATTTCTATTATTACCCTTATTATATTGTTCTTAGCTAATTAACCAATAGTTTTGCATTCCCTATTTTAATTACATTATTTGTAATTTACTCAATTCGTAAGCTATGCAATACGGGTGGGTGGGATAGGTAAATTAGTGATACGTGCTTTTGTCGCACGTGAATGCCGTCGTTGTGTGTGGCTTTTAGGCTGTGTTTCATTAGTCTGATTATTTTTTTGAATACTATAACAAAACACTATGTTCCGCTCAGAACACTTTTTTGAACTTAACTGGTTACCTATTGCTTTCAAGTGTGATTAATAGAGGGATTCGAACATCCCATTTAACCTGACTGTCAAATTTTTTTCATAAAAGATTTTATTTAATACGATTAAGAATTTTTAATTGAATACAATGTTTATGAAATAGCAAGAACCATTAATATTAGAAACGTGTCTTAATTGAATTTAGGATTAATTATAATTCCAAGTTGTATTAATGAGTTGTTCAAAAACATGCATTGCGGAAAAAAGAAACACCTAAAATCATATGATCAAAAATTAAATTTCCATAAACTGGAAAATGGTTTGAATACTACAAATATTGTTGGTGTTGATTGTCGTTTTTTGCAAACTAAAGTAAAACCAAATTTTGAGGTCGAAATTTCTTATACAATTTAATTATCGTCTATATTCTGCTGTTTAACAAAGAGCATTGAGCGGGTCTTCAATTGTAAGGGATTTCAAATGGTTATTTCTGTCCCTGTCCCACTCACACGCAATAAAGACATATATATTCTGATCTGTATTCCAACATATGTGCCTATCGATCTAGTGATGTCATAAGGGACCTGAAAATACATTTGAGTTCCTCAGCGTCTCTTCTAGAAAATAACTCCATCTGTTTTCACTTTGTCCAAAATAAGTCAATGCCCAGAAGAGATCTTGAGGAATTAAATCCGTTTTTAGACTACTTAACACAACACTAAATTGATCGGTTTGTTGAGAAAAACATTAAACATACGTTATACATAAGTCAGTCGAAACACATACCGTCTTTTTTGTAATTTATGCCTCGTATCGTTCCCGGTGTGTTTTGTTCTAGTTCCGCATAAGCTTTAACCAAGGCTTTTTGTTTAGCTGTTAAAGATTTGGGTATGTCTATTTGAATATTTATGTAATGGTCTCCACGCAGGTTAGTGGTCACTTTTTTCAATCCTTGCTCTTTTAACCTTATTTTAGTGTGCGAACTAGTACCAGGTGATATCTTAAAAGGGAAAAAGAAACAATGAACAAATGAAAGCATAAATTGCATATTTTTTTAATATTATATAATTTTACCTGTACAGTATGATCGTCGTAGATGCCTCTAATCCTTATAGAGCCGCCTAACAATGCTTGCGATATGGATATTTTAGCGTCTGTATGAATATCAGAACCATCTCTTCTAAAATAATCGGATTTATCAACTTTGAAAGTTATAAATACTTCACTCTTATTCACTAAGACTCTAATCGTTTGCCCATCTTCAATTCCTAAACATACAAAGTACTTTATTGAATAAATAAATTAAAAAAAATGTAGAATGTGACTAGCCAAGTTTGTTAGCTAACCCGCCATATTTCCTCCACTCGGTCAAACCTCATTGACGATATATTACTTAGTAACGACCTCATAGATTTTACTTTTAATCTAATGTGGTTTGATACTTTTGATTTGACTAATAAACAATAACGATAAAAAATTTGTTTAATTCGAAATGACTCACCTGCAGGTACAGGGACCGTTACGTTTTTATGCTGTACAGTACTTCCTTTACCATGACATTCAATACATGGATTTTTATTTATTACACGAGTTCCCTGACATGCTCTGCACGTCGATTTCATTATAAATGGACCTACATGGTTAATCGTTAAATATTAGGACTTAATAACAATACATTTATTCTATAAACTATAATATAATCAAAAGTGTCTTGTATACTATACCTCTAGATACAGTTTCCATTCCTGTTCCATTACAAACTGAACATGTTATCGTCTTATAGCCAAGTTCAGAACGTGATCCTCGACATTTTGGACAAATATCAACCACATTTAAGTTAATATCTTTATTTAACCCTCTAGCAGCTTGTTCGAATGATAATTTTACAATAACCTTAAAATAGTATCATTAAGTTTTAAAATTAATTTTAATTCTTATAGAGAAGAAACTAATTGACTGTTCTTACTTCTTCTGCAGCTCCAAATCCATAAGCCGAGTCAGAAAAATCATCTTGAAAAAATTGAGAGTTTCCAAAACCAGTCTGATTGAAAATCTTACGGAAAAGTTCTTCAGCATCAACATTAGATTTATAACTCCATGAATTTTGGTAATTTTCATTTCCCATTCCTCCAGTTCCTCCCATATTCATATTACTAGTCGATCCCCACGTATCATACTCTTTTCTTCGACTTTCATCTCCCAAAACCTATAAATATCATTTAACATATTGTATTTAAAAATATTATTATTATTATGAAAAAAAACCATTATTGTCAAATCTATGACTAACCTCATACGCTTCAGAGACTTCTTGAAACTTTTTGCTTGCACTAGGGTCACCCTTGTTGGTATCTGGATGAAATTTTTTCGCTAACTGATAATAGGCCTTTTTAATGTCTTTTTGAGATGCATTTTTCGCAATTCCCAAAATGTTATAAAAGTCTTTCTTGTTATTTAATTTATTAGTCGTATGTATAAATTTAGTGTCCGATGAAAAAATTGGATGTATGACTGTGAAACATAAAAAAAATGTATTACCAATATTAAAAAAATTCTACCTGCAAAAATTGAATTACAAATTCCAATGGTTCGTGATATATTTACGTGGTGTTTTTTATTATTATATATAATATATGCTTTGACATTTTTTCACATGTCACGTCCTAATATAATTTATAGTATTATTAATATTTTATTGTATTTAAACTTTTGATTTTTTTTTTTTAGTGAAATACACTGGAATGATGCTTTAAGTACGCAAGATGGCTGCTGTGGGTTATAATTTGTTTATTTTAAACAACACATTTTATTATTATTTTCTCTCATATGAGAATTAATTTATTTTGTTTTTCCTAGTTCCACCAATTTACTCTTCACCAGAACAACATACCGAGCCAATGATGTTTACACACCAAAAACGATGACCGGTAAAGTAAAATTAACTGTTCTAACATTTTAACGATAAGATCGAGAGAAGGCAATGTACAATTTTTGTTTAATAACAATATTAGTAATTACCACGCTTTGTTGTCGACTCCTTTGTTGTTAACACCGAATATTTTAAGAATGTGCCCACATTGTTGGGCATGTGAGAGCTACTCAGTTTTATTAAGTTAATTAATCTCATACTACCGTTGTACGCACATGAAGACATATTTACAAAGTGTCGGCACTCGGCTATCGCCTATCACCTGGTCACCGCGAGTGCGAGGCACGACAACCGCTTTTCGTATGAGTAGGGGAAACGTAACCAGTGCCACCACGCAAAAAAAAAACATGAATAATTTGGTGGCAATAGAAATTATTGAAAAGTCACTTAAAGGTGCGAGAATTAAAGTAAATTACTAATAATTAAACAAATGACAATTAAATGAAATTAATAATACTTAAAAAATGTTTTTTTCACCTACCTGTATATCTTGTTTTTTAGTTAACATATTTTTTATTATGTTCATAATGTAATAATACATGTAGCGTTAGCTTTTGTGTTAAGAGGGCGTCGCATCGCCCATTTTTAAGGAGTAAAGTATAGGCAATTTTTTACAAAATCATAATTTTAAGGTTAAACTGTGATGTGTAATTATTAGTTCAATAACTAGGACTCTATTTTGGTAGTTAATTTATTTTTCGGACTATCGCAGCATCCTTGAAAGCGATTTAAAAATGTTTTTTCATCTCAACTTGTTTATGCAGACTGAAAATAACTCGCTTAATTTTGGATTTAGAGTAAAAGCACCCGTTATAAAATTAAAAGAGAACAATATTTCGGAGGGTTTTTTTCACTATTCTAAGTATAACGCTCAATACATAGTTTAGAAATAACGACTATTTTAACATTTTTAAATGACTGTAACTTTCCGAAAAATTAATTTTTTTTAAAAAAACGCACCGTCTTGCCCTCCGGAATATTGTTTTCTTTTAATTTTATAATGGGTGCTTTTACTCTAAAACCAAAATTAAGCGAGTTATTTTCAGTCTGCTTAAACATGTTTTTACCACTGAAAATCACCGGTGCGACGCCCTCTTGACAGAAAATTTAACTAGAATAGCCAAACGTCTATTTGAAAAATAAAATAATTAGTCATTGCAAATGTTTTCTCTTTACGGATCTTTGAAATCTATTAGATAATATATATAAATTTATATACATGAAATGTTCACAAAACACCAACATAAAATAATACCCAGAGGTTTTAATAACGTTGTTTGATAAGTTTAAACTAAGCACATTATATTTTTAACTTAATTTTTGCTCGAAAGAAACAGAAAATGATTAAAAATTATACATATTTATCCATCTGATATAAGACTTATACATTTTTCCTATACTTGTAAGTACACGTTTTACTATATTTTTCAATACTTTGAAAATGTTCACCTTCATTCCTTATACGAACATAAAAGTTTTAATTCAATAAAATGTATGTAGACGAACAATTTTAATACAATGTAGCGATTGAATTTTCAACAATCTATTCGTTTACTATGACTTTGTAATGATGTTGTTGATCGGTTATGTGTGGTTTGGTGGAATTATCGAATTTACGGCGTTTCGTACAGGCAAACCGCAACGCCGGAATGTTTAAAGGTCGATATAAGGCACGGCGCGGCGTTGTTTCTATACACCAGTACGGAAAACGACCGTGCTATGACTTATAAAATGAACGAATAAACTGACAAGGGAAAAAAAGAGTGTATACAACGGAGTTTTGCTAATTCTTATTCGAATAAAACGTTTTTCGAATAAATTTTTACAATTTATTTAAATAGAAAAATCATTAGAATTATTATTTTGAAAATTATTCGAATAATTGTTTTACAATTTATTCGAATAAAAAATTGCCTTTTACAAATAATGGTTTTTTGTATTTTCTAAATGTAATATAATATATTAAATTTATACGAAATAAAGTCTGAAAGTATAATTACATGAAAAGAAAACCCTTGGGCTTTTTCTGATGAATGATGCTTCGAAGAATTCAAATGTTTTTTCAAAACTTTAACCTGAGCATTTGCGTTTCTTAAAGTTTTTTAACTATCCGAGCTTTGTGTCGGAAAGTTTAAATAATAGTAGATTATTAAAAATGGTAGTAAATAACTGTTTGAGAAATATGTACACACGACTAATCTCTAAAACTCCTTAAAAACCGACCGCATAGAATTCCCTTGATATACATTTTTTTTTTTAAATCTCTTCTGCACAGCTGTAAACCTATAAAAAATTAAAAGCGGCCAAATTCTTCATATAATACCGTGTTTTATAATAACTCATGGTATTATTTTATAATACTGGAGCAAAACAACGCCTCTAACCTTATTTTTTTATTAACTATAGTTTATCAAGACACCGCCACCTTCTTCAATACCGTTAGTAGAGGGAATCTACAGTGAATACCAGTTTTCTTCAAGTAACATTAAAAAGGTGAGGAAGCTGACAGGATACGAGTATGTTACGATTTGACTAACGGGAAATTGTATGGGACTACGGAAAATGAAAGTCTCTAACAGACACCAAAAATCCAACAGGTACCTAAAAAATAATTAAAGATGATAGCAGATTACTGTCTAGATACATTTTAAAGTATGCATGTGTTTTAAATAAACTCGAACCTTTACCTGCCCCCCCCCCCCCAAACTTATCACGATCTACGCCATGTAATAAGAGTATATTTTTGTTTTTAGCGGGCTTAAATCGCTCAAAATTCTAACAAAAATGTGTTTTTCAAAATAAATGTTCCCTAGAAAAAATTAATTTTACTTCCACGTAGTTTCAAAAAAATGCATTATGAAAAAGTATAAAATGGCTTTAATCAACTTGAAACATTAAAGTGGGGATTAAAAAAGCTAATACATAGATAAATTTAAAGCGTTTTTATTTCTGAAATGTATTATTTATCCGTTTTTAATATTATAAAATAAACAGTTTTATTGTGAGCTTTGAAAAATTAAATTATCATAATCTTAGAATTTGGTTCATCATACAACATTCATATTTTTTTTCTTATCTTTTGTATATTCATGTATATACCGTATAAGGTGTCTGTCTGCGATAAACAACAATATATTATACAATTTCAAGGTATAATAAAATTAAAAATAGGAATAATATAATGTAATTAAAAACTACTATTGATCTCTTAAACCAGTCACTTTTCACATAGTAAACAAATACATGGTGTTAGATGGTCGGTAATAAAATACAAAAAATCCTAATAAAACATATTAAGACTTCTATGACGTCAGGTCGTATTGATTAGAGATGTAAAACTTTATAAATAGATTTGATGATTAATCTATTTCATAGTATTAGCTTCAGGCAATTAAGTTAGTTTTAATAGTAAAATACAAAACACCGAGTATACACTTCGCAAACATACTAGTTTAGAATATTCTATAAACTAATAACTATTATATTATATAATATTTATGTATACAAAAATGTTGTATGTTATTCTAACATTAAAAAACTTAAATAATTAATTATATTATAGTGGAAAACACAATTTTAAACCTAAATATTAAGGTTTACATTCATAATGATACGTGTCTAACGATCTCAGATCTCTCCAAGTAGGCGGATAAGCGTTAAGTAGTCGATTGCCGCACGCTTTGCAAACTGAATTGAATAAAGTCATATAGCTATTCAGCCATGTCTGGAAAAAAAAAAATATTATTATTATCTCAGCCATCATACTTTGTTACTTAATAATTAATTACCATGAATGACCTAACAGACAGATCAGGCAATGTAGGGGAGGAAAAATGCAACATCGCAGCATTGGCATGATCTGTTATCTTACGAAAAACATGATATCTTGATTCTTTCCAAAGTTCTTGTTGAAGGTTGTTTGGATTTATTGGCTCGTTGAAACCTTTAACGATAACCCACTCGATCATGACTCCTTTGAAAGCTATAATCGCTTGTAAAACTCTACTTAAGCCAACCTAAAATAATAAAACAATTAAATACTTTATTTAATTAATTTTATAAGCTACATGTACATCAATAAAAATAAAAATTTGATTAATTTAAAAGTGAAAACCTAGAAAAAACTTTAAGCAACGCTTGTAGCTATATATTATACAATTATATATAATAAAAAATTAAATAAACCCTTGACCAGACTGAGCAGTCTGTTGTATGCACTAATAATGATGATGATAACATTGCTGCCAAAATACATTTATGCTATGGAGTATTATTTTTGTGGTTGAGGGTTTATTTAAATATTGTATTGCTTTAAAAGTGAAAACTGTAATCCATAATAGTATTATAGTGGAAGATAAATAATATTATTATTTGTTTTACCAATAATACAACATTGGATGCACATGGTCGAGTAATCGTAATATTCATGTCTGGAAACATCCGATCAATATTGGTCAATAATCCATCTACGGCTCTATAAATGAATAAACACATTTTTAATAATACATTGTATAAGCCTTTGAAATTAAAAACTTACCCACAAAAATTACACTTAAATGATATTTTTAGTATGAAGATTTTATTTTCAGAGCTTATAGGAAAAGTTTTATAGTGACATATTTTTGTAAAACTCATGAAATTAACCAAAATATGTAAAAAAATGTTTTCTTTATCAAAAAATTATTCTTTTAAATTAATTTAGAATTTGTCCATGGTTATGAAAAATAGCCAATTCAAAAAGGCAGCGATGTTTTTACTACAACTGCTAGTTTGTTAACTAAATAACTGGCAGTTTTAGCCTCCGAGAAGTATAGATACGAACCCCTATTTTGAATTGTGAACTTGTTTGATTGCTGTTGGAGTGACTACAAGTTATAAAGTTTGTTTTATATGTAATAAAAGTCCCTTTCAGCCCTAATTCACGTCTGATAGGAAAATAGTAAATACAGACTATAAAAGAGAAGAAAATTATAGCAATATTTACTGTGGTGATATATTGTGTACGCTGGACTGTTGTCTCTTTTTTTTATTAGTGCTCGAGTTGTAGTACGATTTTTTCAATGAATTTTGACTTAAAATTTGGACCGCATTTGAACTAAACTTATGAACCTAAAAAAAAGTACATATTTTATCAGAATTGTTATTTACAAACATTTATACAGGGTGATCTTTTTAGTGATTTTACTTAATCTTATAAGATTTAATCAGTTATTCATTTTTTTTTTTTTTTTTAGTTTTTATAAACAACGCAGTATACTTAATAGTTTATACTATAATAATATTTTATACATAAAACACACTATATAAATATAATAAATAAGTTGGTCACTCAACAACAAACACTGATTTTCCATTCTCAAAAAAAAACATTCACACTTTTGTGGCCCTCCATTTCTTATTTTACCTTCTATATACACTTTTTTAATTACATTCTCAGAACCAATACTTTAAAACACAAGGTATAACATAATATACTGCACATTAATTAAAAATAATATGTTACTTTGTCCAGCCATTTATGGGAAGAAACCAATGGAGTATATAAAGCTTGACGATCTGAAGTGCTTTCTTGTGTTAAAAAAGCTGTATTGTAAAGAAGCATCGCACCAGGAGGACTGGAAAGGGAGCCAACAACTTGTTCTAGATCTCTGCAAAAATTGAACAACACTTACTTAAAAAAAAAAGTCAGTTTAACCATTTAACTGTCTTAAAATGTCATTGTATTTGAACTAGTCAATAAAACATACAAATCCTGTGAAAATTACTGTTTTACAACCTAAAGCATTGCTCTCACTAGTGAGTCGGATCCCAAACTGCAAAATGAATATGTTATAGCTAAATGGTGCAGAAACATACACGGCATTAGATGGATTTGCCATGCAGCATTCATTATTTGTTTTGCAGTTTAGGGTTTGGTTTGCTAATGTGGACAAGGTTTAATAAACAGTTCATATCACAACACTCACCTCATATGACTTCCGAGCTTTCCCACCATGTCGTTCATAGAACATATATAACGGTTGTCTTTGGGTTCGGTTTGGACTCCATCTTCTTTTACTCCTTCGCCAATCTCAATGATGAGTTGCATTAGTTCTAATCTTAACATTCTAACCGTGTTTAACGCTACTTGCATTGGATTTAAATCCATTTTAAAACTGTTAAAAAAAAAAAAACAGTTCTATACAAACAATTATCACTCGCAAATAAATTTCACCAAGTCCAAAACTAGTATGGCTATAAAATTTGAAATTAAATAAAAATATAACAAATACGAAACGGTTTATTGTTTAAATTTTGTACGACATAAGATTAATCATCTAAATTGTGTTTTGTTTTTTTTAGTATGAAAACATAGAAATTACAATTACAATTACATTGTAATTACAGAAAATAAATAGAAGTCATATAAATTTTGAGATTTGAGAGCCTTATCACTTAAATAAACAATAAACAACCACACTGATAAGAGATAACTATAGACTGATAAGAATTATCGCTTATTTTTTTTTCGTATGGCACTTGCCACTTACCTATTCTGATTTCTAGCTTCTGTGCATCATTGCATATTAGTTATTCCACAATTTTACATATTTTATATATTATGTTATTTAGTATTAGACACTGTTTCTGTCTAGTCCTTAAAGTTAGAAGATGATCATCTATAAACCCATTCTACCAACTGGTTTCAGTAAAACACTAATCTGGGCCGGTCTGAAATCAACTTTTGAGTTGTCAATTACAAATAATATATGTCTATATGGTTTTTGAAACACTTAAAATTGTCTTCTAGTTTAAAAATTCTTTATAATTCATAATATACATCAAAATGGATTTTTTTTATCTTTTCAAACTTTAATATAAAAACAGACAACTAAATTGAATTATATTGTTAATTTTAAAATAATTGTACAAAAAAAACAACGTAACTCATGACAATAATGAAAAATATAGTTAGGTACATTTGATCAAATGTAATAATAACAATTACATTTTTGAAATGCTAAAAATTGTAATGAAATGTTTTAAATAAAAATGTATTATAATATTTTAATTATTAGTTTATAATTTAGTGATAGTATAGTAAATAAGTCACTGTTTTATTTTTTATTTTCAAGCTAATTGTTTTCGTCTTAGTCCTTGCCTTATCCACTTAGAAATGGGTCCAGCTTAGGCTCACACGCTAGCCAATTGTTCTCCTCATTTCTCTATCTAGTACACACGCTTATCTCAATTAATTCTGTTACTGCCTTAGGTACTAAATACCAAACTAACTTGCTCTCCTAACTGCCAACATTTTATAATATCCTCATTCCTATAACTATATAACCTCCAAACTGTACACATCCATCACGATGATATTCAATTTTTAAGCCAACTGTAATTTTAAAAACTTATTTAAAGTAATCACAATGGATTTCCTTAAAACTATAAGAAATACATAATATAATTGTACATAATACACTTTATTAGAAGAAAAAAAAATATTTTAATTTCCAACTAAGTTATAAACCAGCAAAGAATTGATGCATTACTACATAATGTTATAAACACAAAAAAGATTACATATTATACGCAACACACAATATATTAAACAATAGATTCTAAAAGTGAAATTTCACTTTTGATTTAAGGCCAAGACGGACGTTCACCAGGTTTCACCATACCGCCATACAAAGCGCTTCTATCTCTAAACAGTGTCATACGTTCGTTTTCTTGGTCATCTAAAAATTTCCCAAACCAAATGCCAAATGATATTGGAACAGCGGCGGCAAAATAATGCCAGGTCAATCCAAATAATGCGTGTTTAGGTGCCATATTAATCTAAACGATCGTACAAAAGAATTATAACACACGAAACTCTTGTCAAACTTCGTTATACCTACATATTATTTTGTATACTAAGAAGTGTTCGTTTGGTTCTGAAGTTTTTTCCACTTCAATGTACGCGTGTAGTCTGCGTAAATAGCCCAAGATGCACCCACAGGCAATATCACTGAGATGAAGTTACGTTTGATGTGATACCACGCACGGTAAAATGCCATTTACCTGTAATTGTCGATTAATACTATTGAGATTAAATAATTATAAAAATATTATTATAATTTATTGGTATCTCTCACTCACCGAATTTCGATAATATCGTAAGAAAATTACATTACATGTCGTAATCGTAGGTAAATGTCCACTACTCGGATATCATATTGTTAATATTTTGTGTGCTCCCTGTTGACCTTGCGAATTTTGATAAGCCGCCGGTAACAGAACAGCGGTCGTGGTCACCAATGGTATCTCTACCGGTAAATAAAGTATATTAAGCAAGCAACAAAAGCACAACACTGAAAACTGTATTTAGATTTTAGCATCAGCCAATAGCCATTAATGATTAACACAACTCACAAGCAAAATATACTTTAAATTTATAGTATTTGATTTGAAAAGTGACCAACTAGATTAAATTTGCTTTTAGTATGTTCAGTGATATTAATGTGGACAACTGCTGGTCGGATCACAGCAAGGTTTACAAATTATAATAATAATTATTATTATAATCTATAATTTATTTATTTATTTTCTCTTTTATTTATAATCTATTTTCCTTGAGACCACGGAAAAATTTTAATTTACAACTAACAAAATTAATGTAATAAAAGTGATATTATAAACATTGTAATTTGTTTTAATTTCACAGGTTATTGGTTACAATACTTATGGCGGGTTGCATATAGGTTCATGAAAAGGTTCAATGAATCAATCGATATTTGTGATGCTAACAAAGATATTTCAGCGGCCATTCAAATGGTCCATTTATTTAATTATTTTTTGTGGCTATTTGTCATGCCTTAACCATAAGGCATACAAAGATATGAAAATTGAAAACAATAACAAAAGTTTACCTAGTTAATAAAATAAAGTAATAATAATTGTTAATAGATAATGGCAATTTACTTAACCTAACCAATGTTATTATAAAACATGGTATTATTTGAAGAACTTGGCAACTTTTTTATTTTTCACAGGGTTGCAGCTGTGCAGAAGAGATTTAAAAAAAAATATTTTAAGAAAAAAAGAGGTTTTAATAAATTTCGACCATGACAATTAATTTACCGGTTAACTTGTATAAGCTTCGAGTTATTATTTTTAATTATAATAATTGTTTCTATGAGTAAAAGCCGTTTTGGTTTATTTCAGACCAAAAAGCTAGACAAAATGTCGACTACATAGGATGGTCCAATTTCAATTCTGTAAATAGATTCAAGCTTTTTAGCTAATTTACTGTATTGTAGGAAGCCGATTTTCATTTAAAAATTTCAGTTTCTTGTAATTAAATAAATTAAATTTGCAATTTTTTCAGTATCAATTAAAAACACAATTTTTTTACATAAAAAAAAAAAACAAAAATCTTTAAAGAATATTTAAATAAGAGTCCTTTTTTTTTGACATAAAATGATGACAATAAATCCAGATAGCCACGGGACAAGTCATTTGTTTACCTTTTGCAGACACTAATTTTTCAAACTACAACAGTTTAGCGTTTCTCCTTTGTAATCATAAATGGATCTTAAAATATTAAATAATGATCTTTTCTAAAAAAATCCGTTACTCAAGTCTCAACTAAATACTAATGTCATTCTAATTTCTATGACTCAAGTCCGGGTTGTCGCTCCACTCGGTACTTGATAGGAGGTTATGATATGGACCTTCACCGAGGTTAGACATAGTCCATATATAATCTATTGTTATCTATAAACCCCGGACCTTGAAAGCCTGTTAGTGATAACAATATTACTTTATTTGATGTACCTACCTATCATAAAATTATTAGTTTTGTATTACTTTTGAATTCAACATAAAAATAGTGTAAGATTGAATTTAGGTTTTAATAAGTGTAGTAAAATATAGTAAAAACACTTTGGCCCTACTATTTGTGCCACTTGTAAGATAGTGTGTTTGTTTGGGTTGTGCGTGTTAAGGACAATTGGATTTTTTAGTTTCATACAAGTAAGTTCCTTTGTTTTATATCTCAACGTACTTCTTTACCCTAAAACGTAAATGTTTAGTTTACAGCCTCAAAATATGTGCTTTTTTATTGGAAACCGAGAAAGCACAGCCTACATACATAAAAAATTATAAAATGTAAAAATTCAGTAATCAAAACTTAGCTTTGCCAGGCAGGGAGTAAATTATTTCAGTTGTACAATGTATAAGTATAATTGATAATTAAAATTTAGGTTCAAGTTTTCATATTAATCTTAACTCTACAGCTTCTCTACTTTTCAGCCTTAACAAAATACCTGATGACCTCAAACCCTAATTTTTTTTTAGTTAGGTCTCAATAATTACTAAATAATGCAATAATATTAAATGAAAAACTAGGAAATACATAAGTTAAGTGTTAAATTTGTCTCGGAGGACAAATCGAAGGAGGTTCTTAAAACACCAGTTTATATTGTGGAACACACTGCGTACAATCAAGATGTTTAACAGCCAAAATGATTTGTTAGTTTAAACAATTAATAAATCAGAAATAATTTACTATACAAATTTTTAGGGCCAAAAATGAATAAAATCGTCTTCTTCTCTATCAAAATCGATATAAGCACAGTTAAATTTGACCTGTATTTCAACATTCAAATTCAATATGTTTCTTCAACCATTGACCTACCACCTAAGAAAATACTACTATGTTTATTTGTGTGTGTATAAATCGTGACTCAGGCGACATACTTTTCTGAGAAATTGAATAAAACAATAAAACATCTGTTACAAATTTAAGATCAAGACTTTATTTAATTAGCAACATGGCAAATTTTGATAAAGATATTAGAGACAAGTTGTAGTGAGATGAGTTTTCCAGCAAATTTTCAGAGGCTTTTGACTTTAATACTGAGATAAAAGATCTGAAAACTAGATGAAATGTAAAATTTATTAGAGTGAACCTGTTATAAATGAAATTAAGAACCCAGTTTGACTGAAGTTATTATTGAGAAAACATTGTCATTAGATTATTACTCTTATTTTTTATTTGAAAGCTTATGCAAAATAGTCACTTTCAAGAAGTTAATTAATAAAGAAGTATTTCCGTTTTAAAATTTACCTGATTATTGTTTTCATATATGTATTTTAATTTTTCAGATAAACTATACAATTCAAAATGATACGTGTCGAAGAGAGCCGCATAAAGTCTTACTTGACTATGGTAGGATGAGTAATTATTTTTAAGCATACATTAACTATTGTTATTGTTAATGATGTGCAATAACTGATAAATAAAATACTACTACGTACTAACTACTGTTGTTAATTTGATTTCAGTATAAATTCCCAGAACAAACAAAAAAGGAAATTATAAAAACACTTAACTATTACCACGGCCTTGTTTGTAATTATGAAACATTTTGTAAGTATAATTTTTTTTCCATGATATTAGCCAGCATTGTTTTATATTCAGCTTAAATGTACAAAAAATAATATTTCAGTATGATGTCTCAACGATTGTTATTATATTTGTTTTTGTTTTTCAGTGTTTTCCAACAGAATTGAGAAAAAATTAGTTAATTTGAGTGGCACTATACCAGTAACGTTTAAAGGTAAGTTGCAATTGATTTTATAAACTAGTTTATAATATTTTATATATTTTTTTTTCATTAAAAGGCACTACTTACCACATTCCTATTTGTATTTGGCTTATGGATACGCATCCGAATAATGCTCCAATTTGTTATGTTAAACCTACGGTGGATATGCGAATAAAAATGTCAATGAATGTGGATCACAATGGAAAAATTTACTTACCATATTTGCACAACTGGACTCCGGTAAATATACAACTTTGCACAATACATTTCTTACCTGACATAAAACGCCATACTTTTACTATTAGTTGTCAATACAAAATTTACGTTAATGTGATACATTGTTTTTGTCAGGCTACGTCCAATCTTCTCGAGTTGATCGGCAAAATGGCGGTTACGTTTTCAGAAACACCGCCTGTATATTCACTGCCACGAACCGATCAACCTGTCAACCCGGTTGCTTATCCGACTCAAATGCGTAAGTAAAAAAAAAGCGTAATTATTTAATTTGGTTTACAGATTTTTGATACATTAGATTTATACTTGTTTATTATGTCGGGTTTTAATCGTACAAAATTGAATAGGATTCTTATAAATTGTGTTGTATGTATTTTCAAAAATATAAATGGCAATTTTTTTTATTTAAAAAAGTTTGACTTCTAAATTTTGATGCTATTTACTATTGTAAAAGTAATGGTGTAGCAATGTAACTAAACTTGAGGTACTTTTAAGTAATTTTATTACTTTCTTTAGTAATTTAAATATATTTTTTATAACTAATGTTACTAATTACTTTTAGCTAATTGACAATACTTGTATGTGTATGTGTGATTTTTTCGAATCGAAAAATGTTCACTAGTTATACATAATTTTTAATTTTAACGAGTGAAAACGACGGGGAATGTCATATAAATGAACCTCTTGTACTATTTTTGAGAAAAAGAAATATTAGGTATGATTGTAAAATAGTTCTTTTTTTTCAAATCAAAAATTACTTAAAACTAAAAATCAAAATTAATTTACAAAATACAATTTTTGCAATATAATTGTAGTGAAATTTTGTTACAAAAGAAAAAAGATTATTTCCCTCGACACTGGTAAGTAATTCAAAAGAAGTATAGCTTATTTTAGTCTTATTTGTACTAAAAAAATGTGTCAAAAATTAGTTAATTATAAAAAAAACACAAATAATAGTAATTTAATATTTTAAGTGTCCTTTATAAACAAAAAACATTTGAAAATTTAAATATTAAAACTAAAAGTTAAGTGTTTTTTTAGCTTAGAAAACCGAGATCAACAGTAAGTTTAAGCACTCGTTTTTTATTTATAAATAGAAATATCGTTAACGGTTTACGAAGTTTGATTTGGAGAGTATGAAAACACGGTAATAGGCAATTTGTTTTTTATTTCTAGTATGTTTGGGTTTTCAGATATCGGTTAATTTGGGATTAAACCCTCCTATCACTTATGTTATATAAATAACACAATAATATTAAGAACTATGTAAACAGTACATAATGTTGTCCTATCGGATTAGTTTATATTTAGTAAAAAAAATGTTATATATATATATATATTTTTTTTTTTTCTTCTAGCATACGGTGGAGGTAATTCGAATATGATGTTACCCTATCCAACGCAGCCCAGTTCAGCCTCATCGAATATTCCCACAACGTACCATAGCAGTTCCACGACACCTTACCCATTATATAACAATCAATTTCCCACACCTTCGTATCCATCAAGTTCAGCTGGAGGAAGCACTAATTTTACACCTTACTCGCCTCCATATCCTACGCAAAATGTTCCGTATTCACAGCAAGCAGCGTCCATCAAACCAGAATATCCTCCATATCCGACGGCTACAGGCGGATCTACACCAAACACTTCATCAGGGGTATGTTAACGACGCAACATACAGTTGAATTTTCTTTCTATTAATAAAAAAAAAGTGCTATATTATCAAGTGATGGGCACATATGAATAATTCCGAATTAGTTGTTAGTCTGGGTGACTAATTTAGTTACCATCTTTTACCTATTAGTTGATTTATGTATATCAAATAAATTATTCAACTGAATATGACTAATATAACTATTATATTAAAAAAAAAACTACATTTTAAAATGATTTAACTAAAAAAGTTATTAAGAGTAAAATATAATTTTGTGTACGTTTTCACAAAAATGTTTTTAAAAAATGTTCATAAATTACTATAACAACAATATTATATTATAGGCAATATATATTGCCTTGTTTTTTTTTTTAATGTGGTAAAAAAAATTGTTTGATTACATTATTAAATAACTAATAAGTAGGTAGTATCAATTTTCGTAAACAAATATTTTTAAGAACTTATAAAATTAATCGTTTATCAACGATCAACTTTTTTTTAACAAATTTGGACACTTAATAAAATTAGACGGCTAATACATATTTTCCATATCAGTCAATCGAGCCGAAAAAATATTCTAATAATTAGTATGTTCTGCCCAACGTTAATGTCAACTGTATGTAATGTTTTTTTTGTTTTATTTTTAATAGTTGAATAGTAAAAAATAATAACTTTTATGTACAGTTAAGTGATGGCGGTACAATAACAGAAGAACATATTAAAGCGTCATTGATATCTGCCATTGAAGATAAAGTGCGAAGACGTTACAATGAACAAATGGGTCAGAACAAAGCTGAGTTAGATATATTGTTGCAGTCTCAGCGAGAACTGACGTTAGGAAAAAATAAATTGGATTCAATATTGACAAGCCTCAACAAAGAGAAAGTAAATAATGTTCATGACAATAATTATAATAAACTGTAGATAACTTTTATTCATGACATTTTGTTAATTTTTTAGGCCGAGCTAGAACAAAACATTCAGGTGCTGCGCGACAAAGAGACTGAACTGGAAATGGCCATTTCTAAACTATCCAAAGAAGATAACATTGATATAGACGACGCTGTTGCGACAACAGCACCATTATATAAACAGTAATTATTTTGTAAACACTTCTTTTGTATCTTAAGTTTGTTCTAAGAATCGTTGTATTGTCGTTTCAGAATATTGAACGCATTTGCTGAAGAAGCGGCTACCGAAGATGCTATTTATTATATGGGAGAAGCTTTAAGAAGAGGAGTAATAGACTTGGAAGTATTTTTAAAACAAGTACGAGCGCTTTCGCGTAAACAATTTATGTTACGAGCATTGATGCAGCGATGCAGACATAAGGCTGGTCTAGTTGCTTGACTCCCATCATAATATTACGTACACCCATAAAAAAACATGTATTCGATAAAATAAAAATAGATTACTCATATTATCTATGTTTTCAATTTAAAATTTATTTTATATTCCTTTAAATATATTATATTATAATAACATGTAAAATATAAAAAAAATATAAATATTTCTAAGTATATTTAGACATATGAGATATGCTTGTTAATATTTGTTGATAATAAATATTTTTTTTATATTTAGCAATAAATAACTTAAAAAATGTCCAATTGATGAATATAGAAAAAAATATGAATTTCATACCTTGCGTCCTTAAGAGGACGTTCCAACACCTATTTATTACGGAGTTCTGTATAGGCAATTTTTGCAAAATCCTTATTAAAGCTTAAACTGTAATTAAACATCTAGATATTATAATCTATAAAAAATATTTCTTATTTTAATTGAATTATTTATAAAAATGCATAATCATTTATTAGGAATGTGTGCTTATGAGCTTATATTATATAAATATGTTATAATAACATGTTTTATCTGAAAAAATATAGATATATCTAAGTATAAATAGACAAATTAAATATGTTGACTAATATTTTTAAAAATACACCTTTTTTTAAACCTTATAACAACATAAATTATAATTTATAGCATGTATTGTTAATTTTTATTAGATATTTTTTTTAAAATAATTAAGTAAGTCTTTTAGAAATAAACTCCAGGACTTTACCGAATTAGGTGATTTTTGTTTAGTTATGTTAAAGACAATACATGGTTCTTTTAGACTTTTTGAATTGACCTAATATTTATCTAAAACTACTATTATTATTATCGTTGTACATACATTTTCTTAAATTGAAAAAAACAATTGTAACAAAAGTAATGATTATTTATTTAGCATTTTATTACAACAATATTGTTCGTGTATAATATTGAAAACTTTGTAGTTTTCATTTTAAATGTTGCATACAATTTTTTGTAGAAGGTAATTATTTATAATTCAAAAAAACTTAGCCGGTAAACAAAAACTTGTTTTCAAACATAAATCCCAACCCATAGTAGAAGGAACAATAAACCACAGCCAGTAAATATGGCGGCAACAAACGATATGGAAAGTTCTTTCTTTAAGCTTCTCGTGAATTTTGTACTGGTCACTTCGTAGACAAAAAACCATGCCGTCAGAAATACACCGATGCTTAATAACAGTATTGTAAGGTGCGGGTATGAAGTTGGACTTATTGGTGCCATGTATTGTTTATATAGCAGAGATGAAGACATTGTTGTGCTAAAACAAAAAAAAACAAATAGTAATTATAGCTAAGCCCATTTTTGCGTAAATACCAATAATATATGCTTGACTTAAAAAAAAAAAGAAACCTGCTCGGTTTTTATAACCAATTGTCCAAAATGTGATTTTAGGATATTTTGTTAATAAATTAACCTTATTAACCTAAATCATTTAAAACTATATTCTAGCGCACCAATCTGTCGAATATTTATCCATGAAAAGAATTGTTTATTTATGAAAGGTGTTCAGTAACAGTTTTGTGTAAATGTGTTTTGTAATAAAAATGTGTTTAAATAGATTCAACGCTAATCGCTTAAAAATACTTTAATTTTCTTATCAATATGATACATTTTTGTTCTTTTAACGGTTAAATAAAAAAATATTGTTTAGCATAATGTAATATAAAAAGTAATGAAAAATATAGCAATTCAAAATTACTATTAATTTAATTATTTCAAATTTCTTTTGTAGAGAGAAGGTAGATCATTTTTATACTAAATAATTAAATTTAAGATAGAAAGTTAATTTTTTGTACTTGGAAATTTTTTTAAAAATTAACTATTAAAATTGACAATAAAATAATGAAAAATGTATGATTAATATTTTTTTTTAATGAAAAAAACAAAATTACAAAATAAATAAAGAGTTAAACATCATGTTTTTACTATAAAAAATAAATATACATCACTATAAACATATATCGTAAAATAAAAATTAATAAAAATTGGTGAATATTTAATTTATAATAATATAAAATAGTCAAAATTAAAAAAATAGTACAGTGCATTCAAATAATAATAATAAAAAAATACACTTATCATTACAATAAATTCTTATCATTTAAAATATCGACTAAAATTTGTTTATCATGAAGAACGTCGTCCACTTCATTTTTATCCCAAAGCATGATTACTTTAGAAAGTCTATTAACGTTTTGTCCTTGAATTTTTATAATCCCTCTAGTTTCTATTAACGAACACATGGTTATAAAATCGCTCAAGTCCCTGGCTTGAATGTTTCTTCGGGTACAGATTTTCTTGAAAACGTCAAATACCCTTCCAACAGTAATTGGTTGACTTTTTTTACTCGAAGATAATATCAACAGTAAAGCGCAAACTACTAATTCTTGTTGTAACGGAAGTTTCTCAGTATTCTCGTCATTATTGTCCAGCGCACTAGACGTTGAATATACATTGTTCAATACTGCCATGACATCTCCTAGCACTATTTTTTTCTCTATTTTTTCATCTGCTAATTCAATAACTCGTCTTGTGACGTCTAATGCGTAACGTACGTCACCTCGAAAAGATGCAATTTTGGCGGCCAACAGTTGAATGGCATTGGCTGGAAACATGTCGGAAATTCCAGACTTTTCTAGTCTGTGTGAAATGATATTGGCCAACTCGGATTTTGTATAAGGTGGAAAATTGAGCAATTCTGGTTGTAGAGAAATTTTAGACTTGAGCATGGGCAATAGTCGATCGGTAAGATCTAAAGAATTTGCAATACCAATAACGACAATATTGGAGTTGGTAATGGTCGGCCATTCAAATATTTGATACAATATGGTTTGATTTTTTGTTGACAGTTGGTCGATTTCGTCTAGGACTAGTAAGACGGACTTATGTTTGCTCTTCAAGTATTTCTCAATAGCTACTTTGCATTCTCTTTGTGCCGTACTACCGGCAAGTTTCAGTAGTTCAGCAATTTTAATATATACTCGATTTGCTGATTTGATCATACCGCAATTCACGTAGACGATATTGAAATTTTTGGTGACCACGTCGCTGTTGAACAGCGAATGCAACGATACCGTCTTGCCAGTACCAGGCGGTCCAGACACATACATGGAGGCAGGAACGTGGTCGTCGATGTGTTTGGTCAGAAAAGATCGCAAACGTTCGATTTGTTCCTCTCGGCCGGGCAACGAGTCCGTATAACCGTTGTGCAAGTTCGACAAAGCCGTGCCGAAATGTGATTTTTGATTATCGCGTGCCATTTTGGATGAAGCAAGAAAAATTTATGGTCTCTCGAGCAACACCATATACAGTAAAACCGACGCCACTGTTAATAAAATATATTATATAATGAATTTTATGAATAATAACGAATTATCGAATATACAAACTGGTCGTTCTTTACAATATTATAGAAAATAGATAATATATATATTTGGAAATACCGGTTTACAAACGATTATGGTCGATAGGTACGGTGTTTGTGTGAGTGTGGACTGGTCCTATTTACTCAATTTATCTCATTAAAAAAAATTAAGAAAACCGACGGTCGGTGTGAAAAAGCGATAACGAATTGTTATAATGGTAAAAAAGAACCGGCCGAAACAAAATTAACGGTGATTTTTGGGAACTCGAGTAAACTAAAAAGTACATATAATAATGCAAAATTGAATTATCGCTGTTTGCGGTTTACCTCGTTTGTTTTGGTTCCTTTGAGTTCAGTCCCGGCTTTTTCTTTGCGGCTGTTGTCGACGTCGAGTTCGGCGGCAATTTTTTTTTGTATTGTGTAAATTCATTTGTGATAGGTATACTTTTTTCTGTAAACGTCAAGTGATCTGAAGTTAGCGACGGTACGGAACAGTTGTAAACGCAACTTACGTACGATTGCATGAACCTAGTGCCGGTTGTCGTATTCATAACACGAAAACAATAATTAATATTGAAAAACTGAACTGAACTGAAATTCATACACACACAACACATTATCGCTAGACGGGTCACAGCGCTGGTGAGTGGCGAGGGAAACGGTTAACTGTATATTATAATATATTAATATATTATATTTAATATATTTTAATATCAAATCAATTGCTATAAAAAATTAAAAAACCACCGCGACGTTACGGTTAAGTGTGAGTTTGTGTGTGTGACGTTTCGGTTTTTTGTTGGATTCAAATTTGGATCGTGAAACGTCAATTTGAAACCACTCGTTTGACGGACGTTGGCTTGGCCTACATAACGGAAATATTATGGTGACATCCACTTTGGCTTTGTGAAAAATCAGCATATACGTGCAATTGTTGTCAACAAGAGATGAATACGATAGGTTAACCGAGTAACGGTTGGTCAACCGGTTTGCACGACGGCCATGAGCAACGGTTTCCGGTGTGATGAATGAGGACGAGATAGCCGACAAAGTGTACGAGGAGAGAGAGCGCATAGTGGACTTGTACAAAAACGGACCGAGTGACGGTACAATTGTAGACCCCGTTGACGATCCGGCCATCAACGATTACCATAAACTCGACAGATTTGGCTTCATATGGTAAGTGGTTTTGGTCTTGCCAGCTATTATAACATGTACCTATAGTTTGATTTTTTTTTTTTACAGTGATGAATCCAAACTCAAAAAGGAGGATCCACAGGAGATCAAAATTGAACGGTTAAGAGAAGTCAAATGGTTAAAAATGATAAATAATTGGGACAGCGTCCCTCAGGAAAAGCTCAAACGACGTGTTTACAAAGGCATTCCAAATGCGCTGCGCGGTAAAGTCTGGGCAAAATTACTTCAGGTCGATCAACTCACCGACGACCAAAAAAATAAGTATAAAGTGGGTACATATTATTATAGATAAATAATTGTATTTATCTATGTGACTGTCAACATGTATTTAAAGTTTTTATTGTTATTATTAATAGCATATGTGTGAATTGGCGTGGGAGCATTCGCCAGACGTGAGACAAATAGATCTGGACGTCAACCGGACGTACCGCGAACACATCAATTTCCGTAAACGATACAATCTCAAACAACAAGAACTGTTTAATATACTCTCTGCATATAGTATTTATAATTTGGATATTGGGTATACTCAGGGCATGTCGCAAATAGCGGCTTTGCTGTTGATGTATTTAAGCGAAGACGAAGCTTTCTGGGCATTGTCTCATCTTATTTCAAATTCTAAGTACAATATGCATGGTACGTAGAAGAATTGTTATCTTATCAAATAATCATTTAATAATTAAAATAAAAAAATAATGCATCAACATGAATAAGTAACTATGTTAACGATATTCAAGTTTTTTATATTTAATATTCAGGGTTTTTTATTCCTGGTTTTCCAAAATTGATACGATTTCAAGAGCATCATGACAAGATAATGAATAAGCTACTGCCAAAATTAAAAAAACACTTAGACAGAAATGGAGTTGAAACTGGTTTATACACATTGAAATGGTTCTTCCAGTGCTTTTTAGATAGAGTAAGTACGTTAAAAGTGGCTAGTGACTTTTAAATCTATGAAATAAGCACTTAATTATAAAATATGCTCCAAAACCAAAGCTGGATGAAATTTAAAAAAGCCAATAAAACATTAGTCAACAGATAATTTGACGAAAAGTAGATAATTTTTTATGGGCGGATAATATTATTGTTAACTAAACAAATAAAAGATGGTTTGTTTATTATTTATAAATAAAAAATTATCTTAAATCGTTTTTCATTAATCTTAAATAATTAAAAAATTGCACCTAATAATTAATATTATTTAAAAATTCAAACAAAAACTAAATAAAACATTGTAAATAATAAATAACTTATTTATTTATTTGGGTTGAAGAATAATGTACATAAATCAAATAAAAACAAATTTAAACAAATAATTTATCATGAATAATCAAATAATAAATGATAACTTTTTTTTCTTTAATATGTGCACAAATAATGCCCAGCATTGCTAGAGAAACATAAGAATATGTACAAAAAAATTATACTTTCTGTAAAATAATCTTTCTAAAAGAACATACTTAGTACTGTAAGCTGTCATAGTCAAGAGTGATTTTCGAACTGGCAAAGAAATAATAACTTGTAGCTTTTTATTATTTTGAAAAAAAAAAAATATTCATGATCAATAAAAATATGAACTAAACATTTTATACTAACACTAGTAAAAAATTCAAAAAAAATTTGTCATGCCAACAATAAACAAATTGTCAATATAAAAAAAATGTATGATATAAATACTTTTCAAGTTGACAATTTGTAAGTTATTTTTTTAGAGTTGTTTTGTCTTAACCAAAAAAAAAACCCGACTTAAAAATAATAAGTGAAATATAATCTCATAATTAGTTTATCTGTAATCTTTATAAGAAAATTAAGAAATGTAGGCAAATGGGATAAGTCTTAAATAGCAAAGGTGAAATTAATATGTTCAAATTAAGTTTCAACATTATTGTGTTTTATTAATTTTTAGATACCGTTCAAATTAACATTAAGAGTGTGGGATGTATTTTTGTTAGAAGGAGATAAAATATTGTCGGCTATGGCGTTTTGTCTATTGAAATTACATCGAAGTCAATTGTATACCTTAGGAATGGATGACATACTTCATTTTTTACAAGTAGGTTTAAAAAAATAGCGAAATAGGAATGTACATGATGAGGAAAACCTAACTTACGACAATTGGCGAGAAAACCATTTAAAAATGTTTTGTGCTTTCAAGGTAAAATTGGAACAAAATTATCAATACTCTCCTGATTTTACCATGGAAAAACTACAGGAATGTTTGGTTGAACTAAAAAAAAGTAAGCTCGACACCGCTGGTCAGCCTTCTCAAAATGAACAGCTGAAACGTGAGCTTGGAGTATTCAACCCTAAAGATATTCCTGTCAGAAAAGTAAGTTGAGGCTGTTTACAGTATAAATAATAAAATAGTATGTGTATAAGAATTAATAAATTATCCTACGTTTATTTTTCGCAAACGTAATATATATATATATATATATATATATATATATATATATATAGTGATGTTAATAATTAGATTATATAGTGTTGTTAATAATTAAATTATATTTGTTCTTATTATTATTACGTTAAATACAAACAATATCGGTAAATAAAAAAAATATATATTCATTTTTTAATTAATTTGTGTGATCTATTTTAGCCCCAAACTAATGGTGTGGACAAAACGAGACAGACTACCCATGCCGATCGAGTTCCTAGTTCACCCGAACAGGATTTGCAATATCAAGGTGAGTGGACTAGATTGTGAACACTTGCCTCATGATTAATTTAATTTGATGTCTATGAAAACTAGTCTTGAAAACTTGATTTTTGAAACGCTTATCTTTAGTAAACACTACTAGGACTACTATAGTTGAATTTAAACAACTGCCATAAGCCAATTTTTTAATTGAATATTAATTTCTTTATACAACTTTACATAGCGTCATAATGTGATTTATTATTTATTTGTTATGTATTTATATAAATTATAATTACTATACTAATATACATTTTTTTTTTTAAAAAAAAAGTGTGATTGCTTTTTTGTTACAATATTTATATATATTTTTTGTTATTATACTTGAACATTTTATACATTATAAAAAATAAAAATTGAATGCTGGTGCTGTTCTGTTAACATAGAATTGAAAAACACTTGATATTTTTTTTATAAAACCTCACTACACTATTTTAATAAAAAATAAATTTAAGTTGTTACCTGTTAAGATTTTTATCTGAATTAAAAACTTTTTATAAGTTTTTTTTTATGAAATTAGGCTTAACTGGACACAATTGCACGCCGTAGAATTGCTTTCTAACTTATTAATCGTGTTGTTGGTAAATCAATAACGGAATGAAAATTACCAGATTTATTCCATTATTCTTAAAGAACTAACTATTAATGATTATATTAATTTAAAATATTAAGCATGAAGTAAGAACATTTTAGGGGAAAAAATGTGTTTTTGTTATCTACAACTTTAAAGCTCTTTAGATTTAAAAAAATAGTTTCTATATGTCAAAGTGATTTTAATAAGACCATAAATAACAATGTCAAGAATAACAATATAAAGACAAGTTCAGCTAAATAAAACTGACAATTTGTTTAATTGTAAAAAACTCAAATTACTTATTTTCAAATTTTTTAATTCATATTTTGTATCTTTTTGATATGCTTTATCTAATGAGCCTAGAATCAATTTTCTATACTTTTTAGTTTAAGAGAAAATTAAATATTAAATTATAACAATTTCTTTAAAGTCTAATAAAAAAAATTGTATGTTTTGTATACATATTTATAATCCATCCAGTTCGTCTTGTGTTCGTCCACACTTAAGACTAAATATATCCCAACAAATCATTTGCAGACCTTCGTTTGCTTTCACTTCTCAAGTGATGAGTATGACCGTTCAATTGCATCCGCTGGCTCACACTTCTAATGTTAGGGGTTTGCCGATATCTAACTCTTTACGTGAAATCTAATGGACTAGCTCATATTATATTATTATACCTATAAACCGATCAAAGCAACAAAACGTTTAAACATTTGCCTTATCGTTCAGTTGGTACAAGTATAATTGAACTTTGGAATTACGATTATTTGGTTTTACCGATCGGTTAAGGGTTATGGTTTATTGCCGTTGACTTGAGAATAAAAAGATTGCATGTAAAAAAAAACTAAAAATTTGTTCTCTGAGTATAATAACTTTGGCTTTTCTATTTTTTTAAGGTGAGTTGAAAAAGTAAACAAATTATTTATATATAATTATTGCACTTTTTGCTTTAAATTGTGTTTTAAAAACATCGAGTAGTTGTTTTATTGTGTAAAATTTAAATATATACATCGATTTTGTAGGTTCGATTATTAATGAAAAAATCAGTTTGGACGACGAGAGTTCCATTATCGGAGACAGTTCTAGACGCTCGTTGTTGGACACCAGTGTCGCTTCGGCCGCTACCACGACCGTTTCTCCGCAAAGCATTCAAAACGAAGACGAGGGATCAGACGTGACGTGCACGAGTCCACAACCCGATGTGCTTCGTATTTACGTACCGTACGATACTCCGACGAAAAAATCACCGACTTCGCCCATTACAAATAAAATAACCATTCAAGTAATGGACGAGATGTCTACACCCAGCATTTAGACAAAACTGTATGTGCTTGAGGCAGCGTCTACTAGTGGTTTCTTTTTTTTTCTATTAGTAGCACATTATTTTATGGCTGTGATAAATGTGGTTGGTGCCTATCTCACTTTTTAGTTTTTTTTATGGTACTTCCCACACATTTTATTATAAGAGTAACATATTTTTTGTACATAACCTTTACCCGCATTCGTTCAACATTCCTTTTTAAATTTGTATTTATTTATCTTTTTTTTTTTTTTTTTTGTGGGTATTATTTCTGTTTATTTTTATTTCTTAAATTGAGCTAAATGACAAGTAGAATTTACAAACATCCAAACATGTTTTGTCTCGGAGTTAACAATATTAGTATTATCCTTAAACATCTCCAATACATTTCCAAAATATCTCGTCAATTATCAGGGCAATAATTTTAGCCTTTTTTTTCTCCATTAAAAATGCTAGTTGTAAATGTAAATAAGATTTTCAGACTTTTAAATTTTTTTTTTTTTTTTTATTTAGTCTGCATACAATATTATTTTGGCCTGTTGGTTTAAATTATGACATTTGATCGCAAAAAAAAAAAACATTTTCATATAAAAAAAAATATATATAATGACTGTTAAACACCTTATGTAGAATGAATCAATAAAAGTTATTTTTAAAAACATTACACTTATACTCCATTTTACTAAATATTTTTAATTATTTAAATTTCGAATTTTAAGTCCTAATCATCAATAAACATATTTATACTCACTTCTTTTATTGACTGTAACTATAATTTATGTGCATTCCAGTAACATTCATCTTGGGGTGTTTTTTTTTTTTGTAGCAAACTATTAACGATATTTAATTTACGCTTTGCAAATATTGATTATATGTATGTGATAATAAATTATTCAGTAAAAGGTTTTATTAAACATAAGTCCTTTTTTTTTTTTTAAGAAGTACAGTAAAATTACAATAGTAGAAGCTTATTTTTTTAACCATGAAATGTAGAATAAGTAACATTTTTTTTAATTTATCAAATACCTCAGTTACTCAGACCAAGTAACAATTTAATTGATATAAAACGTAATTTACGTTTACTTGTACTCTAATAATTACACGTCATTTACACTTAGAGAAATTATACTCCTGTTACATTAGTTTACGATAAGTTCCTATTATTGTTAAAATATCCAGTTAATAAGTAGCGATGAAGTGAAGAACTTCTGAGCCAAATAGAGAAAAAGGTATACTTTAGTCAAGCTAAACTTGTTTGATATATATTTTTTTATTTGCATAAGCGTATTTAAATATATTAATTTTTTAGTAAGCCATTAGCTAGCGAACAAACTTCTATTAAGTCGTTGTCACTTTTTTTTTATGTTACTGCCATTATTATTTGTAACAAACGCTCTCTAAAAATATTTAAAATTTATGAATTTCTTTTTTATATTAGTGTTTTAGTTATTGATTTTTTACACAAGAACAATTAACCATAAAAAACAATTGAAATGTATTTTTTATTTTACCGATTGTAATTATATAGTTTATAAAAAAAGCTTAGTAATATTGTTTTAAAAATATATACATGTTCGTTAAAGTATTGAATTGAATTGTTTTTTTGTTTTTTAATTTAGTAAATGGAACAATTACGAAAATAATGTTTAAAATATATGAATTTTTTGTTCATTTATGTTTAAAAATTTTCTTGTTTGACAATATTCTCCTTACGCCGTAAACGTATTTTTTTTTTTTATAAAAGAAAAATTAATTTTACCATACTAGTGTACGTTTACAATTATTTAGTTTTTCTTTTATAAAAATATTGATTTTATTAGCTGACACGATAAGATACTTTGTAGACTAAACATAATTCTTGGCGGTAAAATAATTTTACCAAGTTGTAAATTGTAATTTATCGGGAAATCTATTAAACATGTATACATAATTATGTGGTTTGTTAGTTATTAATTGGAGTTTTAGCTCTGTATTATTTATTACGATTATGTTTTGAATAGTAATTAAATGTATTAAAATGAAATTTGATGTTGTGTGTAATATGTTATATTATATTATTGATGACGTCTCGTGTCAGTGTCGAATAAATTGATATTCAGATTCGTCACAAAGCTACTCGAAAAGGATCAACGATATTGTTGCAAAGATAAATTATTGTCTTATCTAGATGGATCTTCGTCTCGATACTTATCAGGTTTACCTTATCTGTCTTATATTGTAATATAGTATAATATTATATACGAGTAGATATCAATATTCTTCTGTTGTATAGACACTTAAACTACTGTAATTCGCATCCAAACGAAATCCCAGAAAAACCCAATAACTTCATTACAAGGTGTTAAAATATAATATGTAATACCTAATTGTAATCATAGGCAAACTTTAATTACTACAGTTATTTTAATACAACTTTTGTATTAAATAATTTTACCTTTATTCTAATAACTATTTAAGTTCTGCGTTCAAAACAAAAAAATGTTTTTAAATTTTGTAATTATTTTATTTATATTTAACCTCAGTAAACATATTAATTGAGGACACTAAGAACCAATAAGGTATAAGACATTTGTTTTATAATCTTTAGAAAAAATGATTTTTAAATTTACACTAGGTATTTAAATTTAAATTTTCTTAATTATTATTTTTAAACTATATTTACCGTTCATATTAACGGTTGCTATGATATATTTTAAGCTACATAAAAATTTGTTGAAAACATTTTTCAGAGGAATATGTAATAGCTAAAACGGTATTGTACTATAGTATAATGTATAATATATTATACTACTTATACAATTAGCACTCAAATAACATTTAAAACAACTTGTTCTGTTTTACTACATCTTACCAAAGCTGTTGAATGAGCTGTACCAAACATTGTTTTAGGATTTATCATTAGTGCTAAAATAATTAAATTAACTGTCAAATTAGCAAATAGATAAATTAAAATAGAGCAGTGGATATTATAGTGTACTTATATACAATATAGCAAAGCTTGTGGGCGATGTTCATTGGTTGTGTTCGAAATATTTTAAAACAATGCATAAATAATTATTTATTAGATAAAAAAGGTCCCATTGGCAAATATTACACGGTAAAAAACTCATTTTTAAAAAAATGTCACTTGTGTCTTTTTGGTTTTCATCACTTCGTTTATGTATAATTATTTTATGTGACGAGGACCAAAAGGATAATTTTTTTAGCAGTGCAAAAAAAACTGGAGCTTTTTTGCACACTACGACGAAGCATTATCTGTAAAGGAAAAAAAAAAGCGAGTAGAAATTACAAAAGTCCAAAGTTCGTCCATTTTCTCCCCTCCCGCCGCCATTAACCTTTAGCCATAATCGATACCCTAACGCTTCGAGGCTTAATATTGATACACCAAGAAAGTCATTTGGAAAAATGGAAAACACCGTTAGTGACCACCATACGACAGTTGAGTAGGCGAACGACAAGCATTTCCTGTTGCCAAACAACTAGGAAGTGTAGTACACAAAGTTTAGATTCTCCAAATATGACAGCGACAATGACACGATGATGACATTGTGACCATTGGCGCAGTTAGAGGGCAAGTTAGGTTCAGACTTCAGGCTATTTAAATACTCTTATAGTGCCCTCGGAATTTCGGTAAAAAAACGTTACTTGGAAGCTATGCTTTATAATGGGTTGCTTTCGGGTTTTTGAGAGCCTGAAAGAATTTTGGAAGGATTCGAACTTTCCTACCCACTCCTCTTTTAATTGAGCCAATGATTAACAAAGAAAATAGGTATTAAAAAAAAATATTTCTACTAAATCCCAATTTCTATACAAATATCGTATTATCTTGAAGACGATATAATTTTAAAAATTCGTCTAAACACTGACATTGTCTAATTGATGGGGACGTGAAAAGGTATTGAGTTACAGTGTTGTGTATTTTGTTTTTGGGGCCTTGTACACGTTTCCAAGTATTACACACATAACATAATTTCACAATTCTTCAAATTATAGGTTTTATACTGTCTTAAATCTCAAGTAAGTATCTTTTATAATATAACAATAGTATCTTTCTGCTTTCATTGCGTTTTTTTATAATATTTAAAAGTGAAGTTTTGATGAAAAATTGCCTATACAACGCGCCTTAATAGTTGCTAGTGTACCTCAATGTATTTATTAAAACGTTTTTTATTTTTATTTTGAACTAGCCGAGGTAGACCATCTTTGCTTTGTTATTTTCTTAATATACCGGTACACACCATCTACACCCACCCCGGCCAAACTCTTTTACTATCAATGGGGTACGTACAATCTATACATACACACAACCACCGGGGGGGGGGGGGTAGCAGTGGAAAAAAATCGAGTGTGTAGGTTTCTTTTTATTAATATATATTAGTTATACATGAAATATGATTTATAACATTTCGACTTGGGTACACACAGTACACTAAAATGACCGCATGGTTGTTTTATGTTCAAATTTGAGGTCATGATATTCCTTTTGTAAGATTGCTGACGTACGGTTTTCAGGTTCTTTGTGTTTACTCGTATTTTCAAATTCGAAAACGATCAACGCAGCCATTAAAAAAAAAAAAAAAAAAAATGTACATTAGTTTTACCATAAAACCATAATGTGTACCTGTGCGGGATGCAACTATGAGTGGCAAAAAAATATTATTAAAAAGATAATCGATCTTCGTTTGAGTACGCTTTTTGCTGAATCACTGCGTATTCGGTCATGTTAATATTTTATAATTTACACTTACATTGCTCAACATAAAAACTCGGATAATAATAATAATAACACTAATACATTGAATTTGAAAATAAATAACAAATGTTTCCATTTTTAATGGGCTGTCTGTCGAATTGCATCCTGTCGACTTCAACCAGGAAAACCCAAGTAATAACCATTGTGAATAACGTGCCGGTGCAACATCAGTGGTGTGATCAGCCATCATTAATTATATTGTTTCCAATTGGGGGGGGGGGGGGGGAAAGGGGGAAATTTAAAAATCTACAACTTAAACTAAACCACAACACGATTTAATTAAACACATATTTTATTGTCCGTTTAAATAATTTATAGTAATATTTGAAAGTTTATGGTTTCGCAGACGGAGGTGTTTATTATTGAAAGTGATTAAATTATATGCAGTCATCGTGTAACCTTTTGAGTATAGAATTTTGAAGTCGATCGATTGGTCGACGTTTGGGTTCAAATCAAGCCAATTTTTGGCACTACATTTACAAATTGCAATATAGTATAACTATAGTATGTGTTGCGTGTATAAGCCTCAATGCATAGAATAGATAATTATTTGGTATACACACTATATAATATACACTCGCGACCACAATATGAAGTATGAAGTAATAGAATTACCCATTACAATATAATACACAGTAAGTACTGCAGGGTAAGTATGTAATATGTTTCCTTTGCCTGGTGTTATAGTTTAGACATAGGTATATTGTTTTCCATGTCGTCCATATAGTACCTATAATATCGCCTATTATATACTGGGCCACTTAGTGAGCTAATTTTTTTTTTCGTTATTGCAATGCACAAAAAGTACAATGTGTATTATTATGTACAGGTGTATACTGGTAAAGATATGATTAAGCGTAACGAATCTATTAAAGAGTAAAAATATTACATTGTATAATATACCTATACCCGCTAGGCATTCATAATATGTTAGGTAATTTCATATTGTCCTATATATAAACCAATCGTCGCATTGTCAAGTATACCTACTCGGTTTCCTTTACGGGATTTAGCCCTATGCAAAGGAAATAAAAAAATAATGCACTTTACGGTAACTTATTTTGAAACAATTGCAACATACTCGACAAGGGCGTCCACCTTAAAAAAAACCAGGGGAGGCCGGATGGTAGGATAGAAAATATACAAACACACACACAATTATACATGCATATGTATACTACTATCAAACTATGATAATTTTGACTAATGGACACATTTCATTTTTCAAATATTATGTCTATCTATCCTCCCTCCTCCTCTATACATATCTATAATCATTATTAAACATAATTCTACAAAAGAGTCATTACCTTAGAGACTCCAGGGAAGGGTTGCCTCTCTCTCTCTCTATCTCCCCCAAAGACACTCGTCGCTGATATACCCTTCTAAGTTAACAAAATTATAAGTCAAATGATCCTGAGAAAGCCACACACCTGTTACCACAAATCGGATTATTTACTTATTTTATAAAACGACGTACTTTTTTTTTAAGAGCAAATGCAAATAATATGTATAACAATATAAACAAATAATAAGGATAAGATAAATCATTAATTAAAATATAACATATTTAAGAAATGTCATTCGTTTAGTAACTTTTCACTGTTCACAGTTCATGTTATTAAAGTATTATTTTTATTTTTAAAAGTTATCACATGTAAGTTTCACTAGAACTTGTTTCTGTGAATTTCAAATAGGTAACATGATTTTTTAACTCTTTCATAAAAGTTCTTCTTGTAGCTTATGAAGAACATTTGCAGAGCTGTTAAAATACAACTCTTATTGTTCAGGTTCTTTTATAACTACCTATTTAAAAATGGAATTATCTGAAAAAAGTTCCAGAACTCTTGTTGTTACATCACCCTGTGGTGATAATCTAGTTGGTATTACTATTAAAATCGTCCTATTAATCGAAAAATAGGCGTTTCAAAAATGTCTATACAAAGATATGATATAATTATAAACAAAGATATATTCGATGTCAGAAAAAGTTCTGACAATAAATGTATTCAATCATTGTTTTGGTCATATTTAAATGTCGATAGTAACGATTAATGGTTCATTTGACATTTCTAAGCCAAACTGTCGAGAACGGTCATCAGATGTTTGTCCACAAACCTAACCTGAATGAATATGGACTTGAACAGTTTTTTTTTTTTTTTTTAAGAATACTTTAATACTTTGCTTCGCAAAGCTATGATAGTGCGATCCTAATTGCGTGCAATGGAAATATAGATGGATAATTTGATTTCGTTCAATTGTTATGTTACGACGTTATTGCATTACCATACATATTACTATGGCTAATTATGGCTTCTGTATTTGTAATCGTTAACTATCGATATTTTATTAAAAAATGCGAGTAATTATGTGCCTACTGTATTGTAGGCACATAGGTGACTAGAGTACATGCTCCATTGATTAAGAATATAAATTATTATTTCTTATAGCACCTGTACCTACTAAACTTACACAACCGTTTGGTGTTATAGTTTTGTGTATTGTCATTTTAACACCATTATTTACCACAGGTACAGGGCATTATGATTTTCCGTTTGAGTAGGAGACGTATATCGACACAAAGTAATATCTAATATCATATATAACTATCACTGTTGGGCAGTCATCAGTTCAGTCGGTCGTCGATGCGGAAGCCGTCGGTAAAAAAAAAATCACAAAAAATACCATTTTTGCTTCTCTGGTAAATAATACGAACATACTTTACGCTTAATCGCACCAACAACAATAATAATAATAGTTTGTCATGGATTCCGAGACACTTCAGATTGCAAAAGAAGAGCTCCGAGAGGACGAGGTTACCCGCGAAAATGCTTTAACCCAAATAAGATTGTGGTTGAGACAAAACAAAAAAATTATCAACTCGCGTACGGGTAAGTGATCTTAAAATATATATATATATCATTTATATTATGGACCGGGCACGGTAACAAGATTTTTACTTATTATAGTTATTATAAGAAGTTAAACAACTGAGCTCTAAAAGGCCTAGCGACTGCGACGATAAAAGTGCATGTATCGAGGCGCATTCAAATGTTCACTAAAACTTAATATTGAGCTAAAATGTCTATACTCATACATACATATATACTAACACAGGAAAGAGGGATCTATTTTTGTATTTAATGTTTGTTCAACTTCCATAACGCACACAGGCTAGGTATCTATTTTTGTGCAAGAACATACCGAATTTCTATTGCCAATAATCCAAGTTCTCATATTTTTATGCGATTTAAAATTTCAATTCTGATAAAAGTTTTGAATTCCTCGTCATCTCTTCTGTGGTTTGACGTATCGACTATGTCTTCTTACCTATCGTTTGTTTTTATTAAAAATAGTTTTTTAAACTATTCTAAAATTTTGGAAATCTTATATGTTACTATCTATACAATCTTTTGGTGTGAAAAAAAAAAACCAATTATATTCTATAAAAAAACCGAACGATATTATAGCACCGACGAACTATTACATCTTCGTGTAAGATAACCAGAGCATTCTAAATAAAATTATGCTACGTTTAAAAACAGTGCATCGAAAATATCACAAAATAGGTGTTAACATTCTAAAGCAACAAATAAAAAAATTAATAAATAGTCGCCCTGTAGTCTGTGTGTTTTAATTCTAGACGAAAACTTCTTGTTGAGGTTTCTCAGAGCTAAGAAGTTTAGTCTACCCTTGGCCCAGGAAGCACTTGAACGGTACTTGTTACTGCGACAAACTTTCGGTCAGCGACTGTTCTACAAACTGGACGTCAAATGTCCCAGACTGGAAAAACTGTTGTCGTTGGGGTGAATATAATAATAATTGTAATATATTATGTATTGTATTTAAAAATAACAAAAAAAAAATATATATTTTATGAATTTCAGGTACATATTTGTAGTGCCCAAGCGGGATAAAAACGGCCGCCGTATAATCATAACAAGACCCGGTAAGTGAAAACCAGCCGACCTGGGTTTAGTTAGGTACGTTTTCATACTATAATTCTTTCATAACGATTTCGAGCCCATTAAAAGTGCAGCTCTATTGACCCTATTAATTAAAAAAAAAAAAAAATCACATAGTACATTCGTTTTTAGACTAAAATCGCCGCCGGTTTATAATATTCCCCCAAAAGGAGCAGGCTTTGTTGTGTGTGAAAAGATAGTTTGCATAATTATTGTTATATACATTTTGGTTATGATTCGAGCAAAAAACTGTTTTGATGGAGTAAAAAACAAAATTTATGCAATAGTCATTAATGATGTTTTCTCGTCATACCCTTATTTCTTAAGCAGTTAGGTATAGGCAATTGTTTTGCAAAGTCATAATTTAAAGGTTGAACCTTAGGTGTTGTTTAATTATTAGTTCAGTAATTAGGACCGTAGACATTATATGTTTTTTAACATATAATTAGACAAAGTAAAGAGATCTAAAAAAACTTCATCTGGGTTCACCGTCAGCTTTTATTTTTGCTATTATTAATCCAACATTTACAATTTATACTTTAATTCCGGCCTTTTTTTTTTTACTTTTTCAATAGGTACCTAACCGATTTCACCAACTATGTTAAAAATGTAAGGGTAGTTTAACGATTCTGTTACTATAGCCTACCTAAAAGTGTATGTACAACAGATGCAAACGGCCATAAGTATTTGTGTTTAAGATTTAACTTGAGTTTTCCAAAAATACCGACGAAAGAACTCATTTAAAGTTCCTCCTCTTCTCTAAAAACCGGTGTCAAAATTGTTTTTCTTTGACCATTTCGCTTTGTGCCGTTTTAACGATATTTTTTTTTTAAAGGCTATGACGTCCTCTTAACCGTCCTATATATTGTCGTATTATTGTTTTCTCCGTAAATTTGTAAACTTTTTTTTTTTGACACTTTGATCTAAGTACTTGTAATTAATAAACCGTGAGCCGTATTACCTCTTAACTTGTCCGTTGTGTTTTTACAAGGCGTTTTCGACCCTTCCAAATGGACCAACGAAGACATGTGCCGAATGCACGGAATGACATATGAAACGCTGATGGAAGACCAAATAAATCAAGTCCGTGGCTTTGTACATTACACTGATGCCGCGGGCATGAGTTTGCAACAGATGACACTGTTCACGCCACGAGAAGCGATCAGAATCGTTAAAAACGGAGAGGTAACCATATTATTATTACATTTGTTGGCCAAAAAATAAAAACAATATATAATTTTTTTTTTGATAAATTTTTTATTTACTCGAGAACGTTAAACATTTTATTTTATAACCAAAGCAACCACTTCTTAGAACGTTAAGCGAATATAATATACAAAATATATAGGTAATACAATATATACACATACATCAATATATTTATCTTTATGAGTATTTTTTTTCAGAGCGCTGTCAAATTTTGGAACTTTCGACTGGTTTTGGATAGTTACTTACTTTTATAGTTTAATATTAGAGTTGTACATGGGGGGAGGAAGGGTAGAGTACTAAATTTTAAACTTTAAAAAGTAACTATCAAAAACCGGTTATTGTCCAGTCAACATTATCAGCAAATTATTCTCAATTTAAAAAGTCAGTTAACTATAAAATACATTACCGTTTAAATTTCAAAAGTTGATAGAGCTCTGAAAAATAATAAAATAGATAAATAATAATTTTATAAAAATGAGTGGTTTACGTTAAATTAATCACCCTCTATATCACGGCGTTGTTTACCAGTATGTTTTTTTTTTGGAACTTTTTTTAGTATCAGTCTCGCAAACAGGTTTTGAATAAGTAAAAAAAAAGCGGCTAATTAATTTTGAGATTTTTATTTGTTGAAGCAAAACGATTTTAACGTTTTTTTTTTCATGTTGTCAAAAACGAATTTCAAGTCAGAGTTTGAAATTGTTTACAAACTCTTCGTTAACTTGATTTTCAAAAAAAATATATAACGATAGCGGCTAATATCTCAAATGAATTTTATAACAATGAGAAGAACTTTAATTTGTATTTAAATGTATATTTATTTTATTTAAAAATATATATATCGACTTCATTTAGAATTTTTGGAAAATAAATTCGAAATCAATTAAAAAAAAAAAAAAATACATTTTTTAAGATTTTTATTTCAATATCTTCATTTGATAGGAAATTGTTAAAAATGTCCTATTATATACACATATACATATATACATTTTTTTTCACTAATTTAAAACTGATTAACATACACCTCATAATATATAATAAACCACCCTTAGATACACCAATAATTATACAAAAGTGGTTTATTATATATTATGAGGTGTATGTAAGATGTGGTAAGATATACCAATTATATATATATATATATATATATATATATATATATATATATATCACGCCTATATATTTGAATACAATTAAAATATAACTATTTGCTTTCTAGAGAACTCTCCCAATGCGACATAAAGAAATTTATGGCGTTAACGTGCCCACAACGCTAAAGTATGCATTGGATTTCGGTATGTCGTTGGTATCTGAAAAAATTCGGAGTCGAGTAAAAGTAATTAAAAAACGTTACAATATAATATTTATCACGCTTAATTTTAGAGGATGTTATGAGCACAATCTTTCAGCTTTTAATTAGATGTATTAATATTCATTAATGTTGTATTACAAACAAGAAAATGTATCTATTTTTAAGTAACGTTTCTTCGTTGCTGTTTTTAATCGACTCTAAAGAACCATTCTTAAAAAACAAAAAAAACGTACAGTAATTTGTTTTATTTTTTGTCGAAATTTCACCTTGAGAAAATATTTTGGAGGCTTGTTGTAATACGATAAGCCAACGATGGTGTATAACATCCTCATTAAAAAAAAAACAACCAATAAGTTTTACACGGCGCTTAACAAGTCTGTTACCCTATGACAGATATTCAGTACAATTGAAGAGAGTCATTCGTACGTGGACAAGACATTGCTTCCAAAGGAATACGGTGGAGAAACGGAAATGTCAACGATGATAGGTAATTACGATATTTTTGGTTATAAAAATTTTGCTCTAATAATATATTACATCCACACGAGTGTAGATTTGTGGAGAGAAGAATTGCTGGAAAAACGGGAACAGATTCTGAAAAATGAAAAAATGTCTGTCGAGGAGGATCTGTTCAGCGAGGGTGCACGACAAGGTCGAGTGTCCGCATTGAACAACAACAGTCCCCAGTTTATGGTCGGTAGTTTTCGCAAACTTGCAGTGGATTAGTTTTTATTAAAACTTTTAAACTACCTAAATAAATATATACATAATAAGATCTGAATTCGCAACGTTAAAAATGTTACCTTAACGAAAAATAAGTATCTGAAAATAAAAATATTTATATCAGTAAAAACACTAGTTATAGGTCTGTGAAATTATATAATAATATATATGATGGCTAATTTGAAAACGCAAAATAAATAAATAATAATAATAAAAAAATGTTCAACATTTTTTTATTGTTATGTCTTCAATTATATGAATATTATTATTTTATATACAACTACTATTGTTATCGAGTTTAAATTAAATTTGTATAACTTCAAAAATAATTTGAATTAACGACAATTTTTTTTTTAGTATGAACATTTTTCTTTGTTATTAATAAACAAACGAGTTTTTATTAAATTTCAATTCAATGATAATGTAACTATTTCTTATTTTTGTAATAGTCAATAACAATTACGTCCAAATTGCAAAACAAACTAATGTGTTTGTTGTATTTTTAAACAAATAAGTAAAAGTGTAAATTAATAAAAGTTACATACCCGACATCCAGGTATGACAGTTTTGAGCAAATTAATTTTACCTGTGAAAAAAAAAATGTATACACAATATATATTATGTTATTATGTATAAATAGTAATCCTCAGCAGTTACATTTATGATTTGTTTAATGAAAAGAAAATGTTATTCTGTTGTTAAATTTACTGACACAAATATAACTGTTTAATAAATGTCCTTATACAAAAATAAAATGTATAGTTTATTAGTGACGAAAACTGTTTTTCAATATAAGACAACGACTAACACGTTAAATTTGTTGTTAATGAAAACTAACAATTTTTATTTTATATAATATATTATATACTTTTTAATAATATTAAAAATATTTCTAATAATTTAGTTATTATTAATAATTTTATATTTTGTTCTACCAAAAACTGAAACCTATCAATTATAAATGTATTTTTTAAGTAAAAAAATATGTTATATGCTAAATGAAAATGTATTTTCAATGATTATTTGTTATTAAAATAAATGTTAATGAATTTTATTAATATAATAAATACAATTTAATTTATTTTTGAATTAATTGAAATAACAAATATAAAATTATTGCACCGTTGAAATCGTCAAAACGTTTTAGTTTAAGTCTGTAAATACCAAAGGTGTTAAATTACATCAGTGGTGTTCACAAATTCTACTCAAATAGTTTTACACGTTTTTACTAAATCAATACTAACCTTTTAACTTAATGGTATAAACGACGGCAATTCCAGCAGAGGAGCATGTCGTCTTGGCACTATATGATATCTTTCTGCTACGTTTAATTCAGTTACTTTTGGAATTGTCGTTTCAAAATATCTAGGTTCGTTTAACTCGGCTGTGTCTTTACTCGTTGTGGTGTTTAGAACATGAGGGTACAGACATTTCTGACCGTGCGGACACTTGTTCTTTGTCGCAAACGACGGACATAGATTCAAGTGCTTTTTAGGACACTTAAAAAAGAAAAAAAGTATGATGAAAACATTTGATTTTTTTTTATCGAAAATTGATAACAAATACGTATGCTATGTTATTGTTAGAAGTAAATATTTGTTTAAACGTTTTCCGAGACGTACTTTTATGCCGAGAGCGCAATAACCGTGTAAAAACTTCTTGCAAATAGGCGTGTCTGGATTTCTATATTCGTGTATGTACTGACAGTTGAGTTGAACACACACTCCGCTTAAATAATAGTTGCAAAACGGAATTTTTTCTTTCACTATGTTATGCGATAGGGTACAGTTTTTGTCTACACATTCAGCCGACAAATATCTAAAACGATAAAAACATTTTTGTCTCATTCTCTTTTTTTAATTACTTAAAACGTTTTATGAACGATAGTCTAACTTTGAGCATAACATTATGAATTTTTTGTAGTGTCTCTTGTCGCATTTTCCTTCATTTAACAATGGACATGTACCAAAACGATTGAAAACCAAACATAATTGTTTTGTCAACGTTCTTTTAATCGATCTGTAATCATATAAAAATAAAATGTACATACATACAATATAATAAAACATAACAATTAAACAATTTTTTTATCAGAAATATTTTAGCTTACCTGTGTTGATCTAGAGTTTTATTATTGTTAATAAGTTTAAATTTATTCTTATCTTTATTTTCTGTATTGAAACTTAGTCGAGGTTTACAACTGGCGTTGGTAGGCGTCAATTGGCACTTCAAACTCGAGCTTTTAATTTTACTCGCATTACTGTTAGGAGTATTGATTTTAGATCTATAAAAATCAAAAGATGAATGTATGATAAATATAAGCAATACTAGCTTTGAAAGATACACTGAAGTGTACAAACCTTAATTTTGGATTGACATACGAATACATGGAATGCGAGTTCTTCTTATTTTTGATTGTTTCAAAGTTTGTATTTTTTAAAGGTAAAGTATTTTTAACGGTTTGTTCGTAATTTAATATAGTTTTATTTTTTGTATTACTTTTTAATTGTAACTTTCTCATCAAAGCGAATCTGTGAGATAAGTGTTTTAGCTTGTATTTATTTGTTTTTGACTGAACCGAACCAATTATCGATTGTCTGATTATTTTATTTTTTCCAAACAAAATTAGTTTGTCCGTCTTCGGGGATTCAACTCTATTAAAATCGTTGACTAGCGATTTGTTAGGCTTGGTCCATTTTAATTTATTACTACTCATACATATTGATTTGGTCGCCGCTGTTGAATTTATTATTTTATTCCACTTGGTTTTGTTGTACGATTTCAACAGTGTATTGCCAAGTTGCTTACGAATACATTTTCTGTTGTCCAAAGAAAATTGGTTGTTCAGCTTGTATTTGCTTTTGATTAATGATTGCCGTATTAACTTTGTTTTACCAATCTTAACAAGTGCTGGCGAGCTAAACAATTTGCCAGGCAACTTTTTCGGTACAGTTTTTTTAACAGACTTTTTAACTGATTGTAATAAGTTTAAAGAATTTTCAGGTACAGTCGAACTGTTATCACAATATTTATTTTGAAATTTTCTATTAACATGAACATTTTTTGATTGGCAATTGGTTTTTTCACTAGTTTTCACATTAGTGGGAGTGTTTTTGTCGAGTGTATAGTTAAAGGAATCCAAATGTTCATTTGCATTTTTTATATAATTATCAACATTGAACAATGTCTGGGAAATATTTGAAAACAAGTGACAATTGTCTAATAATGTTGATTTGTTGCTATTTAAATTGCTTGCCTTTATAACCTTGTTAATTTCAATTGAATAATCCTTTAAACTTTTCCAAACATCATCGCTTAAACAAAACTGGTTTTTATCGGCAACTGTTTTTGTGGATGTCATATTTCCTAAGTTTGGTTTCACATATATGTTGGACATGTGTTTTTTTTGAGCAAATAATTCATTTGTTGATTTATTTTGTTGAGTAGATAACTCTTTAGTTTTCATAGCATGTTGGTTATTCGACAAATTAGTACCATTTATTTTTGTCGGGACAAATGCGTTAATTTTAAAATTATTTACTTTACGATACTTGAATTTGGACGTAATCACATTTGTATTCATTATGTTTTCTTTTGAGTGACATTTATTCTTCTGCAAAGCCACTTCATCCTCATCGAGTTGTTCTAAATCAAACGAATAAAATATAACATAATAATATCAATATTAGTATATTGTTTTAATAAAGTAAAAACTTTTTTTTCACATTGAAACAACCTTATAATATTCTATAATTTAAAAAGCCTTGCCCACAATAGTCAGCCAAATCTCGAACTGCAACACGAACACGATTAAGTTAAACGTTGCGAGGTAATCTATGTAATGTCAGAATTATGACAAATTTTTGGGCTCGCTAATGTGGGCGATGCTTAATATTTAAACAATACTTCTCCAAGATCTAATTAAATATCGATTCTACATTGTACGTACTCTGTAATGCGATCAGACGTTCAAGCAAAAGAGTTTCTTCTTTTTCCATATTATCTCTATTGTAATGATTATTTGCCGCCATCGCTAAGTTAAATTAAATAAAAATATTATAAGACGACAACATCATTAGGTGCAAGAAACAGATTATTGTAAAAATAATTACATACTATCATCGATTAACTTTCATATACCATAATATTATGCACAGGACAACTCGGAGAATAAAATAAAAGTATGTCAATATGTTAAATAGTGACCATTATAAATCTATGGTAATGACGTAAAACGTGAATCAGTGAATGTAGTTTTTGTAAATAAATAAAAATATCATGGGACTTTGTGCGTTGTTATCATGTCAAGGTCCTGGTAGTGTCTACTGATAAGTTATAAGTGATAACGTTGCATAACCTAAATAAAAATAAAGAGACAACAGCTGAACGTGTTACCATTAACCAGGCCCCGTACACTGATAACAATTAACACGAGGAAGATACTTATCACACAAAATCGCGGCGGCCATCTTCTTAAGGTAGTAGGTACACCACATAGACCTATAAAGATTCTTTATAGGTCTATGGTACACCAGTATAATGCTACATCTAAACATTATTATTTATTGTGTATAGATATATCATACCTATAATACTAACTAAATAGTACGTTGTAAAATAGCATAGTAGACCTAGAAAGAAATGTTCTTTGTGGTCTATGTAAAAATAGCTGTCACATATTTGTTTACAATAAAAGTGACCCTTCTGCTTTCATCTATTCCGTGGCAGTGTTTTGGACACAACATGGCGACGTTATTAGTTTTCACTTCGTCATTATGTTTTATACAAGCTGATGATGATAGTAAAATAAATGAATAGTATAATCTGAAATTACCACAAGTCGACTATGTAAAATACTAAAAACAAATAATTTTGTTGCATTTGCAACACATTACATAGTACACGTATTATATTATTTATATCAAAATAATAAGTCCTAAGGGGCTGTGACACTTATGCCATCGGCCATCGTCGAGGGAATCGCCTTATCAACCCCTTATCACCGTGTTTTCTGTGATATACAATTTTTTTAATGGACAAAATACCTATATAGCTTCATTTGCTTGTCTGATTAGTATTTACTAATTATTGTATTAAAATTTTTAATATTTATGGTAACTATAAATAAAATTTAAATTCTATATGTACATATTACTCATTTAATTCGTACTTTTGTTTCTCGATTTATGAAATCAAAATTTTACTGTAAAAAAAAGAAAATGTAATTATATTATTTTTTTAACAATTTTTTCAGATTGATGAACAAAACGTTTAAATTTTTGTTTTCTTCATAATTCGAGTGGAAATGGTAGCTAAAATCAAAAGTGACACAACAGATAGAATTTCTATAAAGCGGTAAGTAATATATTTCAATATGTGTTCACTAAGATTCCATATGGAGTACGATTATTTATAAAATACATATATTATATAAGTTGTATTATAAATTCAACCAAATGGGACCATATAACATTAATTTATGATTCGGTGATTTTCTGGGGTATTCTTATTTGACACAAATATGAACATTTTTGAAAATGTATAACATTATCTAATATGTTAAGTTATAGAACTTTAAACAGTATGTATTGATTGTAAGTCTTGAAATTGTATATAATAAATATAATTAGGACATTTTGTAATTTCTGAACTGCTTGAATTGTTTGACTTTGACAAAGTTTATTTTAATTTTTATAATTGCGCTTAATTGAAACAAGTTATATCTTCACACGTTTTGTAATTTTGGGGCGATAGTTTAAAACTAATGTAATTGTTTGTCAAACATGATTGGAATTTGACAAAATATGATCATTTAACATTAATTGTTATTACATTAAAGGTATTTTATTAATCATTATCTATATAAGCTTCGTCTTATTTCTTTAAATAATAGCTTCTCACAATTATTTTGTTATACATCATACAATAAAAAAAAAATATAATGACAATATCTTATTTAACGCTTCATTATGATAAAAAATGTATTAAAATAATGCCCAACTCTTTTTCTGTTTGAATAAAAGAGAAATTGTAATTTAAATAGTATAATATATCGACTTAACTGCAAAGTTTGGCTTTTTATTTAAATAATTCAGATTTTCTGTGTAGAATACCATTTTTTTTCTTTAAAATAATTGATTGACTGTTATTTCACTCTAGTTTTTCTACTAATTTGATTTTATTATTTATAAAATAATTACTAAGTTTAATACTGAAAGAAAAAAACAAGCATTATGATTAGTCACTTAAGCTTATCCTCGTGTCTGTTCTAGTAGAGATACTTGTGAAGTTCATTGGTTAATGACTCGTATTGGTATTATACTATTTGTTGTGTAATACAATCTTAGTGGTTTATCTAAGGTTTCACGTCAAGGGGAACAGTAATTGATAAGTATTTGATTTGGTCTTTATTTTGTGTACATTGCAACATGATAAATTATGTTATTTCATTATGTGTAGGTGACAAGAACAATGGTTAGGTAAATATGTTGAATTATAAAGTTTTGAGTGATGTACAGTAAACAGGCTTTACGTAAATGTAAAATAATTCGGAATAAAAATTAAGCACGGTTTATATGTGTAGTCTATAAAAAAAAAAAACATAGAATTGTTATATCTCGATTTTTGAAAATGAAGGATTTTGCAAAAATCGCATTTGGTATGTGTCGTAATTATTGTATAAGCGTTATAATTGATGACATTTTAATACATGACTGAATCATATTCGACTACACAAAATCATTGAAACTATTTCATGTATAATTTATACTCATCTTTTTTTTTTTTTTTGTTTCATTTCATATTTAGAAGTATGGTTCTCGAAAAACATGGAAAACTTACCATTAACGAGTAATGATTTTCCTATAAAAGCTACATCGTCTTATCAAGCTGTAACACGGGTAAAATAATAACAAACTTTATCGCTTTCGCTTTATTACTGTTGCCTTTGTGTGAATTGTAAAAAGAAAAATGTTTATTCAATTAATTAAAATTGGAGTTAAAAAATATGTTTAGTAAATGCCACTGTATTTGACATAATTATTTAATGTGATGTATTTTTTTTAAAAATTTAAGAAAAAAAAAAATTACAATAAGTTTTGTGTGACAATTAGGTTGCCGTATTGCATGAATAAGTATAATTATGAGGATATGATAATACTTTTTAATTTTTTCATGTAAATATGTATGTATATATCTTCGGTGGGCAACATTTATAAGAAGCGATTCAAACGTTTTGAAACAAAACCATTTTTAAATAATTCAAAATAATTTGAAATTTTTAAAGATTAAAATTTTCGAAGTCCACAAATTTATTGAATTTTTTTTATTCTTGTACATTTTACGATGCTCATTTAATTTGCTTTTAGTTTTAGAATTTTGCTTATCAATACCTACCTACTTTGGGATAGTTTGGGTGATAGTTTGGTTTTTTTATAAGTAGTTAGCCAAGTGCCTATTCGAAACCAAATTGAAAATTCTATTTTACAATGACAGTAAGTGCTACCACAGTAGCTTAATCTCACTTAGTTAAAATTAAATGTTTATATTATGTTTGCAATTATGTTCACTGTACGTTTTATAATTTTACAGGTAAAAAGGTCAGGCGAAAGAAATGTGGGTGTAAGCTCTGATGACGACATGATAGATATCACAACCTCAGGAACAATGACTGAACGTTCATTAAATCGACAATCCCCATCACATTCACCGGGTAATAAATTATGTTTTCTATTGGTTTTTAATAAATAACTATTGTAATGTTTTCGTTCAGAGTATTTCTTACCGGAAGAAAAAGCTTTAAGGCATAATTTTTAATTCCATTTATTTAATGAATAACTAATTGATGCAAACCTGAGCAAATTTTGTTCAAATGAAAATGTAAAAAAAAAAATGTATTTAATGTTTGGGTTTTTTATTTCAAACACATTTTTATTCTTAATAAATATTTTAATTTATCAACATTGCACAAGATTGCTTTTCAAAACAACAGATGACACTGTGTAGAATATGTAAATTTTGATAACTATTGTATTGAAAAAAAAAAAATAACGATCAATATCATATTACTCTACAAGGTGTCTTCCTTTTACCAAAAGTGCCATAAATGTGTTGATAATGTATGACAAAATTATGAGTTTTCTCAAATTTTAAGGTATTGATGTCATTTTTGGCGGAACAGTAAATTATGGTGAGTGAGACGATATTGTGTTAGAATTGCGATTCAATTTGTTTTTCCCCAGTAGTTAGTAAGCATAGTAGAACTAACGTCTAACTAAAACTAATAAAGTTCTGAAATTTTTTTTTAGCTAGTTGAGTAGATAATTAAGTTTTTGATGTATCATTATTCAATTTTATTTTTTAATATTACTTTTATGTTTTGATATACTATAATATTAGAATTTCAAATAATACATCAATTATTTTTTTTTTCTAAGCCTTAGTGAGGCTTACTTTAAGTGTACATCTTTTTTTGTGTGTATGTGTTGTTTTTTTTCTATAACACATGTCTTTAGCTTAAAACTGCTTTATCGTTTTGTATAGCGCAATCAAACTGATAGTTTTGTTTCAAATGATCAGAAGCTGTCGCAAAATTAGCTATTGAAAATATTATTTAAAATCAAAATAAAATATTAAATAGTTGCGTGTTTTTTTCTTTGAAATGTTTGCAATATTTGGGCTTGAGTATTTTTTTTTTTTTAAATAAAAAATACTAGATTTTAAAATTTTTTAATTTTATTTCTAGGTTCAGGTGACAATGAAGATATACCCGGCATCGGCCAATATGAGGACTTCCACACAATAGATTGGCAACGTGATGTAGCTCGAGATAGATTGCGTCATCGATACATATTAAAACACAAAAACAACTCTATTATAGATGTGGTAAGCCCAAAGCCGACATCTTTTTAAACTCTTTACGATAAGTTATTAGTAATAAGTATAATAAGTAATCATAATCATTTTAGATAAAAGCGGCCCACGATGCGTGGTCTGGTTGGCTTTGCGTGCTATTAGTCGGCCTCGCGACTGGTACCGTCGCCGCAATTATCGATATTGGTACGTCGTGGATGTCAGACTTGAAATTCGGCGTATGTCCTCAAGCCTTTTGGTTGAACATGGAACAGTGTTGTTGGTCGTCAAACGAAACATCGTTTGAGTTTGATAAAGGAAACTGTTCTCAAGTATGGTTCAAGTATTTAAATATAATGATTAGACCTGTTATTAAAAAAGCTTTGGACTAATTTCAAAGATCACAGCATTTAACCAAAAAAAACGTATAACATTATATTAAAAAAGTCAATTAGTTAATTTCACAACTTTGTATGAAAATTATCTCTTTTTTTAATTATAAAAAAAAATTATTATTACATATCTACTTTGAAGTACGCTGTTTAATTTTGAAGTACCCAAGAATTTTTTTTAAATTTCTTATCTTTTTTATTAGTGAACATCAGTTTGACAGAATAAATATAAAATATATAACACTTGTTTTTGAATTATAACAAGGTTAAAAAGATTTATAAATAATTTAAAAAAAATTATTTGAAATTTTCAGTAACAAATTTTTGGTTCTTTAATTGTGTTGAGTTTATCATAAAATTATTATTTTTATTATCTTTTTTATTTTTTCCACAAATCTGTAGATTTATATTTAGGTGAATTTTATAATGGTTATTTTTTTTAGTCCGAGAAGTTATTGAACATTATTATTATTACTCAGTTTTTTTTTAACTGGCATAAACTTTTTATAGTTTCAAAATGTATTCTTAAAGTATACCAATTTTTTAACTTTTCAAACCAGTCCTTTGAGATTTTTTGAGTTCTTAGTTTTAAACAGGTTAACTACTAATTGAAAAGTTTTGTTTCGAGGTCTAACAAATATTATTTTTACTATTGGATACACCTTTCTCAACACTAACTACACTTTACTTGAACAGAATAAAAACTGGCCAAAAATGTACTGTTGACTGTGTTAATTAAATCTGAGAAAGTAGGTGTAGTAACATTTATTTTCAGTTGGTTGAAATGTTGAGACCTTTAAAATTTGCCCAACCCCCAAATATAGTTGAAAAACAACAGGTTTATAATATGTTTTAGTATAAACAATTTAAATCATTTCTTATTTATAATGTTTTTTTTTAACTGAGTAATTTTGTATTGATTTTTTTAATTTTATTTTTCAGTGGTTTTACTGGTCCGAATTGATGACCTCATCGAAGTACGGAACTTTCGCCTACATAGTATCATATTTTTTCTATGTAATTTGGGCTCTTTTATTTGCTGCCCTCGCCGCTGGACTAGTTAGAATGTTTGCACCGTACGCATGCGGTTCTGGTATACCAGAGGTATGGTTCAAATTTTTAGAACAAAATTATTTTTTTAACTGGAACGTTATTACTGAAATTTCGATCAAATTGTTTTAGTCTTAGTTTTTGGAATTAAGAACATTGAAACGTCATTTTAGTACAAACGAAGAAATACAAAAAAACTATTTGTCATATTAAAATAAAATTCTTTAATTTATAAACATATTTTTTTAAATTATTTAATTATTCACTAAACAAAATTCAAAATGAATATTGAAAGTAATTAAGTAAATGAAAATTGTTTATTTTAATTATTCTTATTTAAAAATAAAAACTTGAATTTGATCGACTAATTTCAGTTAATAAATAAAGAACAAAGAGTAAAGTGTTCTCTCTAATAAAAATCGAATAAATTGAACCATAAATAGAAGAACATAATTTGTTCCTTAGTAGTAACGTCAAAAAATGAACTAGATTAAAATAATTCAAATGAAAACAGAACAAAGTTCCTTTTTAAATAGAACCTTTCCAACATCCAAGTCGGTATAATGTGTAAATTAATTTAGCACTGTGATTTTATAGATAAAAACTATTTTGAGTGGTTTCATCATAAGAGGATATCTTGGAAAATGGACGTTGCTGATAAAATCTGTCGGAATCATGATGTGCGTTTCTGCCGGACTGAGTTTAGGGAAAGAAGGGCCTATGGTGCATATAGCGTCGTGTATTGGTATGCTCGTAAAAAAAAAATACTAATGTAATAATTTGTAATCAATACATATTTTAACCGTCGCTTATGTTATTTGTTTAGGTAACATTCTTTCTTATTTGTTTCCGAAATACGGACGCAATGAAGCAAAAAAGAGAGAAATATTATCTGCAGCGGCTGCGGCCGGCGTTTCAGTTGCTTTTGGAGCTCCAATTGGAGGAGTTCTTTTTAGTTTAGAAGAGGTAAAATTGCCACACCGACAACTTGAATTTAAATTGATAATATTTTTTGTTTTTGTTAATATTTAGGTCAGTTATTATTTCCCTCTAAAAACGTTATGGCGATCGTTCTTTTGTGCTCTCGTCGCCGCATTCGTTCTCAGTTCAATTAATCCGTTCGGCAACGCACATTCCGTTATGTTTTATGTCGAATACCACAGGCCGTGGATGTTTTTCGAACTCGTTCCATTTATCGGTCTGGGAATTGTCGGGGTGAGTATTTAAAAAGTTTTATGTTCACTAAATAAGCTTGTACAAACATAATTTTTAATACAGGGAGTTATTGCTACTATATTTATCAAATGCAACATCAGATGGTGTCGTTATCGTAAAACGTCAATTCTCGGACAGTATCCAGTCATTGAAGTACTAGTGCTCACAGCTATAACGGCTGTACTGTCTTACCCCAATCCGTACACGCGTATGAGTATGAGCCAACTGATTTATCTCCTATTTAGCCAATGCGATGTATCTAATAATGATCAACTGTGGTAAGTTTTATCCCTTCGTGTAGATCGCAAGCAGCAGACGTGGGCGTTATTTAAATGAAAAAATCCAAATAACTTTTAATAATTAATAATAATAGTTTGTTGCGCACCTAATGAAAATGTATTGTTTGTCATTTGTTATTCAAATAAATACTGCCCAGGTGTGCTTGATAAAGCGATAATATTAAATTTTTTTAATAAAAAATTAACTCCCATTTAGCGATTACACTAACGACAAGGCGAATGTCGCAGGCCCAGGCGTTTATACAGCCATGATACTCCTTTCTATGGCGTTTTTCTTGAAACTAGCCCTTACGATATTCACTTTTGGCATAAAGGTAGTGTATATTTTCTATTTGCACATTATTCGTTATCGTATTATAATATTGTAGTCGATTTGCAGGTGCCTTGCGGATTGTTCATTCCGAGTTTATTTTTGGGAGGAATCGCCGGACGAATTGTTGGTATCCTGATGCAACAATTGGCTGCTAAGCATCCTCATTTGTGGTTTTTCGACAACAGCTGTGGATTGCCAGGCCAAGAGGATTGTATCACGCCGGGATTGTACGCCATGGTGGGCGCTGCGGCAGTATTGGGAGGCGTCACCAGAATGACAGGTATTTTTGTTTTGAGAAAATTATGATATTTTGTGACTTTAGAAGTGATTTGAATATCCAGTATCCACCATTTGTCTCATTTTCAGGCTTCAAGCCCTTAAAGTACACCTACAAAGTAAATTAAAGGAAAAGTTCCCCCCCCCCCTAATTTGTTTGGTTTGTCAATGTTGACCTTATATTTCCTTAAATGCATTGTTTATTGTAATTTAAATTAATATATAATATGTGGTATTTTTTTACTTTCAGTATCGTTGGTAGTTATAATGTTTGAGCTGACAGGCGGCGTGCGGTATATAGTTCCGATGATGGCGGCTGTAATGGCTAGCAAGTGGGTTGGTGACGCGTTGGGAAAAGAAGGCATGTACGATGCGCATATTCAACTGAACGGCTACCCGTTTTTGGACAGCAAAGAAGAAATTGTTCACACGGCCATCGCTGCAGACGTCATGCAGCCACGGTTAGTTAAACTGTTTTGACATTAAATTAGTTAAATAAAAATATCGGTCATGATTTTACATTTTTTTTTGTTATAATCGTTAATAAAGGCGTGCCGAACATCTTAACGTCCTCACTCAATCTTCGATGTCATTAGAAGATACGGAAACGTTACTGAAAGAAACCGAGCACAATGGATTTCCTGTGGTCGTGTCGAGAGAATCTCAATATCTCGTCGGCTATGTATTACGTAGAGACTTACAATTGGCAATTGGTAAAAAAAAACAATTGATTTATAAATTGCTATTTTTTTTTTGGAATGTTTTAAATAATTGTAATAAAAAAAAAATGCACACAATTTTTGTAGAAAACGCAAAAAGAACAACAGACGGGTGCCTGCCGGAATCGTTGGTCATATTCACCGACGTTACGCAACAAATTTTACCGCCACCTCTCAAGCTGAAGAAAATATTGGATATGGCTCCGATCACGATCACCGACCAAACGCCAATGGAGACCGTAATCGACATGTTTAGGAAACTGGGTCTTCGACAAACGCTGGTCACGCATAACGGGTTAGCTAGCAGCAGCTGAACATATTTTATTATAGTCTCAATTAAAAAAAATTAACAAATAAAAACGCATTAATTATTTCTTTCACAGGCGACTTTTAGGCGTAATAACCAAAAAAGACATTTTGCGCTACATCAAACACATGGACAACGAAGATCCCAGTTCTGTTCTGTTCAATTGAGGAATCGCTCTATCATAAGAGAATGTTTTTTTCGATTCATTATTTAGCTCAATTTTACTATAGTTTTGTTGTTATTTCGGTTCGACGGTTGGTTGTTTTTTTTTTTAGTAACTGCAGCTGTACTAATCGTCGAGCTCTTTCTACTTGTACGAAATCAAACAACGAGTATAATTTAAATAGCTAGTCAAGTAATTTATGTATATATATATATATTTTTTATTTATATATATATATGTATTTTTTTCTGGTGGCGTTTTTTTTTTCGATAGCAAAAAGTGCAGTCGTCGCATTTTTAGTGTTACGTCTTATATTCTCCAAAACAAATTCTTATAAATTGTCGATTAGATTGAACTTAAATGCTTCAGTTATAATTAAAAATGAAAAAAGACGAAGTGATGGAACCAGTTTGTATTTATACGATGTTTTATAACTTATCGATCAATGCCATTTTGTCGTAGCGATGCAAAAATAATTATGCTACTGTAATAACAAAATGTATGTAAATTTGTTCTAGAACATTTTATTTTTATCCGTAGTTATTATACTTTTTTGTTAAAACAAAAAAATAATCTTATGTTCTCCTTTTCATTTTTGTGAATTGATGGAAATATTTTAGTAATTTGTTTTTCTTTTTTTTTAACCATAAATATATTATTTAAACTTTTGTTTGTAAATAATTATTCCATAGTTATATAATATTATAGCTCGAGTATGTATAATTGATTACCGAAAAAACATAAATCTGTCTATTATTATTACTATTACGTGTCTTCAATCTTCATTAACTGATGTGTTTGTATTTTAATTTTATATTTATTTTTTGTTATCGGTATTTTTTTTTTCCATAATTTTATTATCGTTTTGAATACATATTTAAAAATAACGCGTGAACAAAAAAAATAAAAATAAACTATAGCTATGTTTGTTTTTGAACAAGATGTTAGTCGAAATAATAATGCAAAATTAAAAAAAAAAAATTATGTTATATATTTTAAGTTTTTGAATGATTTTTCAAAAAACCATTATGTTTATATCGTAATTAACTATCAAACTATATATTATCTTACCAATACAAACTATATGCGTATTATTTAATGTTTTTTTTTTTTTTTAATTTTGTTTTTTAATTGTTTTACCTATTTGTTATGTTTACAAAGGCACGTAAACCAAATGACCAGGAGGATTCGGCGGCCTCTGCGTGGGATGTTGTTCGTACAGCGTAATGCCGTTGGCCCGATAAAATGTGGTGTTGATCACTTGTTTCCTGCCGTGCTCGGGGCCCATGAGTTTGTTTTGTTTTTTCGTTTCCCATCCGTACTTGTAGTTGCCGGTCGGACACAGCCTGTACTTTTCTTCTGGCAAAAGCTGATCTCTGATCTTCAAATAACGGTACCGCCCTTCGCCGTTGCTGCTTATGCCTAGAGTTCATAGGTATACTTGGACTATTCTACGGTTTCGTTATTCGAGTTATCGCGTAATAATAATAATACGATTTTCAAGTACAACGTGTAAAACATGTTACCGTTGTACAGTTCCGCTCTGACTTCCGGCGGAACCGGATACATGACTGGCAGGTTTGCTACTTGGGCCACGTTCAGGTTGTTCTTGGCCGTTTTCAATTTTCCCTCCATTTCCTTTTGGCACGAGGCCAGTTTTCGGTATATTTCTTTGCTGGTCCGTCGCATTTCCAACACTTCTTCGTACAAGTCCGCCGTCTTGGTCGGTACCGCCGACGTGGGTTTTTCCGGATTTTTGAACACCTTTTCATAGTTGTTTACGAACCAATTCATTCGCATCAGTTTGATCTTGTTCTCCACTTCTTGCATGTGCATCTTGTGTCTCATCTCGGCCACCGACATTCTTTTGTTAAATTTCTGTTAATTTTGTGTTTAATTAAAAAAATTAATAAAGTTTGTATCGTTGTAATTTTTTAGAAATCGCTCTTCGAGTAGATTGTTTTTTCGAAAGAAACGGTTGTCACAGCGACAATCGTACATTTAGCAGCCGATAATTACTACTATATTGTCAATGACGGCGTTCGAGGTAGGCAATATCGTTGCATCAATGAATGTTGGGTATTATTATTTTCAGGGGCAGGCGGGCTCCATCAGACCGGACCGTGGCCATGCGTTATTCAATGGGTCTAGGCCCAAGCCAGAGATGATTATACAACATATATATATATATATATATTCTGTTTATCTGTGGCAGAATATATAGTTATAGGTTGTTATGCTTAAATAGCAGATGACAAGTTTGTGCATTCGGTTGGTTTGATTTTTTTATTTCAACAAAAATTTCCAGGTTAACAAATACAATAGCTGTGTATTTGTTTGTGCGATAATTAGGGGTTGGTTTTATGTGAATAAAACAAATATACAATACCTATCTTTATTTCAAAAAAAAAAATATTGTAACAATCCACACCTTCCATCTCGCCGAGTCATTGTACCCGTTCTATTCCACTTGAGAAAATATTACCTACCGTTGCCTATTTGTTTCTGGCTTTGAACATATAATAACATTCTCGGTACGGTACGCATGTGTTTAATTGTACAATTGTGAATTCAATTATAGAAAATCAGATTAAAACGTGTACCCATGTATATATTATAACATGCATTTCCATCATTTATCACTCCCCGTCGATTTTTTAAGTGAAATAAAACCACGGGTGGGTTAAACGCTTCTCTTTTTTTTTTTTTAAAACATTTAATCTTAAAAATGTTTCGATTCGATGTGATGATATCATTTTGTTGTTTTCACCAACAGAGTGCAAAATAATTAAGTGCTAATCGACTATTAATTTTTATTTTCACACGAGTTGCGGTCGGTGAAAAATTACTTTCGGATAAGTCTATAAAATAACTATAAAAACTTATTAGTCTGTAATAAAACTTAGTGTTAAAATATGTCAAACTAAAAACATTAAAATTTTTTTTTAAAAAAATACCCACTATTTCCACCCTCTGGTTGCTCCTGACTGAATTACTCATTAAAATGTTTGGCTATTAATGTGATTATTATTTATATAATATCAACAATCACCAACTATTGTGATCTAACCGCCGAGTAATTTGTAATTTATTCCTTGGCAATTTTCAATCAACAATTAAACACAGTAAATAAATTACTGTTTCACAGTTAATTACAATTTGCTGTTGAATAATATATTTCTAATTTGTTCATCCCATCAAACCACTCAGAAAAGCTTTCTAATCAAATTAAACGTCGAAACTTATCGGCGATTTAATTGAATTTTTCATAGCTCCAACCTTTTAATCTGAATCGTTTCCCATCATAAGCCATACATTAGTCACCCATTCGTTAATCATTACAAACATTTAAATAACTACATGTTGAAATATTAAGTCGTTTAGTAATTTTTGCAAAAGCAGTCTGCACCACACAATGTATTGAATTGTATTTTTTTGTTCACTTATTTAAATATTGTCAATTATATTTTATCCAGTTTGGTATAAACAGGGTGGTTTTTTTTTACCACGGGGTCCATCAATATCTCATGGGGTTTAATAAACAATTTTTTTTTCACGACTTTGATAATCCATTAGCGCTTAAATCACTTTACTGCGCCTTTGTTCGGTCAGTTTTAGATTGTAATTCAACAACTTGTGGTCTCCTTATGCTTCCGGTCTAATTCAGTCTCTCTCGAGGCCATTGAAAATGGCTTCTTGAGACTTGTAAGCTTTAAATGTAATATTCAACGTCTGCCTCACTCATCGTACGAACCTTTGTTTTTCATGTTTGAAACTTGACACCTTACGAGTCACGTGGGTAGTAAATCAGGATATCTGTTTTATGTGTACAAATCGGCGAATGGCCATATTTACTGTCCAGATTTATTATCTAAATTATCTTTTTCAGTTGCTTGTCATTTGACAAGGCAGGCCGACACTTTTTTTTTATGTGTCGTTCCGGCGGACGTCATACGGTAAAAATTCTCCTCTAATTAGAACCATGTGAACAACTTTAACATTGATATTGTTCTTCTTGTGTGTGTGTGTGTGTGTCGCAAAGGAAGAAAGCGGTCGAGGACCTTAGCTATACTATATGATGTCCTATAGCTATATATATATAGGTACTGTTATGGAGACGGTCAGAGATACGTCAACGTGGAAAATCGACGGTTTTCCTTTCAACGATTTGCCAGCGTGCATAAATCAAGCGCACGTTATACGAGGTTATTACAATGGGGAAAAAATAAAAAAAAATAATAATTCATATCGGTTGGGTAAATTTATGTAACCGCGTATAGCGCAATGTATATTATATTATTCGAAAAATGTTCAATCGCATAACGTTTGTCAAAAAATTAACTACCTACCAAAAAAAAAAAAAAAAACAACAAACTATTTGACACCTCACGAGGCGGACGTTTTGTAGGTATTTTTTATAATCATTTTTTTTTTTTTATTATCATATTATTATATTATACGTACAAACGCGATGAAAGTATCAAATGTTATTATAATTACATATTATTATTATCATCATCGTATAGTTATGAACGCTGCCACCGCATATTTTATAATCACCTCGGTTAAACTACTTAGAGAAATTATGATTTTTTTTTTCTTTGATATAGGAAAAGAAAAAAAAAACGAAATTCTCTATTTTACTTATGCCATTTCACTTAATACTATCGACGTGACTATCGATTATTGACGATGGTAAAATATAAAATACAACCGGAGGGTCAAGTCGGTTCTTGACCACTTTCTTTCAAGCCAATGACTTTTTTTTTTAACGGCCACCCAAGCACTTATTATTACAACAATAACAGAATCCATAAGGTTCTGCGTTACATTTTAATGATATAATATCTCAATGGATCTTGTCGTTGTCGGAAAAGTCACAGGTCTAAGTAATAAAACTTCCATTTCAGGCGAATAGGATGTTTTTTTGAGTATACATTTGAAATGTTAAATTAAAAGGTAAAGGTAATTATTTACCCCCGAAAATGCATGCAAAAAATAATATTTTATTTTATTCGTTTCGGGGTAGTGTTTCTTTATCACGTACAATTGTGTAAAAAAAAAAAAACAATATGGAGCCAAAATACATTATGAATTATAGTATTTTAAAAAAAGGACAATGCGAAGAAAAATCGTTTAAATTGCATACTTTATTGCATTTAAATACACATAATTTTGTATATATTATTTTTAAAAAAAATGTTAAGCGCATATTTTTAGGTTTTTTTCAGCGCATAAAGGCTCTTTCTTCTCGAGTTTCTTAGCGCATACAAATGACAGTGAATTCGGTTGGCTTTCTCCCTGCACTAGAGAATCTGGTCGATGGAAACTGTTGATGTTCATCCTATTTTATTTTCATTACAAGTATGGCATAAAAATGTGTGGTGTCTTGACTGTGAGACCCTGTCCGTACTCAACTGGGGAGGAATTCGTATATGCCTTGCACTGTTCGAACACATAGCTATAGGTATAAATAAATCGGTCTGACAACTAGAAAGCCGAAAATAACAGTGGGTATAATTTTTCATTCCGACCAACTGTGTGTAATGAATCAATATCAAGTCTGAGCGCATTAACGTCTGAGAAAAAAAAGAAGATTGTGATTAAGATCGTGCGGTAGGCACGGCGAACATTAATTTTTTTTTTTTATCAAGTATACTTGGACAGATTTACTAGATTATTGTTTTTAATATTATAAGCTCATTTCACAACAAAACCTCCGATTGAGTAAATTATCCGTTAAGGCAATATCGCGATGACGAAATAATACAATTTGGAGAATTTTAATACAGTCAGTTTTTTAGTTTACGTTACCAAATTGTAGTACACAAAAACTGATGACCCCGTTGCGAAGAAAAAAAAAACCATAGAATTGTGTATTTT